GGGGGTACATCTCCAACTATTGGATGGAACAAAAATTGGTTTCTAACGTATCAAATTCTCCTACCCTAGAGCAACCAACAACCAACAGCTGGAACAAGACAAATTCCATTCGAAGAAACTTTAGGGCATCAATAGATGCTATGACTCTAATGTCAAGATGTATTTTGTTCTATTCACTACGAGCGTGTGCATCAAAGGCAAATGAGCCAAAGAACTGTTGTTGCGACTGGTTTGCTTTTGCTTGGAAAAAGAACAGGTACCGTGAATCCAGCAGAACAACAAAAAAATTCCGACCACTTGTCTCAGATGGGGTATGAACAGTCACAAAGCGAATCATGTACCTATGCAAACTGCCATTAGAATGCTACAGTAGGTATCGAATTCAACACAAGGACAACATTGAGTTTACACTACTTCTGCCATAATAAAATCTCTCGTCGCACAGCAGTACCAAGCATACAATTTTCGTCGATTTTGGCAGCCTTTTATTGACTAGACTCTTGCGTGATGATCTACTCCTGCATTACATCTGGAACAAGGGCGCTTGTCGCGGCAATGATCGCCTCATCCTTTACACTATGACAATCCTCCTCTCAATCAGGGTCTCGAAACGAGGGGTCTAGACCACGATCATTACCTATTCAGTACTAGTCTTGAACTCTAAGTCTTCAATATTCAAAAAAGCTGATAAGGCGAAGCGGCCTCTTTTTCCTAGCTTCCGTCTCGACTCGCTATTTTGATCCTTTTCATCATATGCTCGTCTTCTCTACTTCATACTGACCTCAAAATGCCTCCCAAGTCGAGTGAGCAAGCGCCGCAGAATCCGAACCCCAGGAAGAGGGCTTCATTGGCCTGCAATGGGTGTAGAGTCAAGAGGACAAAAGTGAGTCTCCATTACGGGTCGTGCTTTACTCGTATAATCCACTTTGTATCCCGAACAAGCCATGGGAGCACCACTTGCTGACTCGAACATACTGACTCGGCCTAGTGCGACGGAAGTCAGCCGCGGTGTAGCGCCTGCGGCGATCGACAGCAAGACTGTGAATATTCTCAAGCTGAAAGCAACAGGAAGTGGGTATGCCTTGTACTTGAACTTGAACCAAAGCTAACAGAGATTATCAGACGCCACAGCAATGCATACATCCTCGCTTTGGAAGCCCGAGTCCAAACTTTGGAGAAGCAACTGGCCGAGCAGGGCAGCAGACATCCCGAGTCACCACCAGACTCTGTTAAGAATGATTCAGTCATCCAAGAAGATGTAGCCATTCAAGAAGAAACAGTCTCTGTGGTAACGAACCCACCCGTTCCCGAACCTATCGAGCCGCCCGGGGACGATGTGGATGAACTGGCAAATGCACTTGGATGTTTCACCCTGGGAGACACCGGCGAGTTGCGCTACTTCGGCGAATCCAGTAACTTCTCCATCATGCAAAACCAGGCCATCAAAGTCCCTTCATCGGTCCAAGCTAGAATGCGAGGTATCGAAGCAGCTCGGGCAATGCCTGGCTTCTTTGAACCCTCGGATGAGCTCCGAGATCATCTCCTCGCACTATACTGGAAGTGGCAGAACTGCTGGCAGTATATCGTCCCAAGAGAACTCTTCGTCCGAGACCTCTACGTGGATAAAGCTGAGCGATACTGCACTCCACTGCTTCTTTATACCATTTTGGCCTTTGCTTCGAGGTACTCAACGAGGCCCGAATTGAGAAGTGACCCAAATGATGCAAACACCGCAGGAGAGGCGTTTGCTGCCCAAGCTAGGACCATCCTGCATCATGAGTACGAAGCTCCGACCTATACGACGGTTCAGGCTGCAGGTTTACTCGGCCTGTACTGGGCTTCCATCGACAACGAAGGTCTTGGGTTCATCTACATTGGAATGGCTACGCGAATGGCCATGAATCTAGGACTCCATTGCGATTGTTCATCATATGAGGCCAATGGTTTCATCACCAAAGGTGATGTCGAAGCGAGGAACGTCACCTTCTGGGGTATATACGTTCTAGACAAGTAAGTACCCAGTCAAGATACTCTACACGTGACATTTACTGACAAGCATAGACTCTTTTGCATTGGAATGGGAAGACCCGCCAGTATCCAGGAATACAACATCATGACGACCAAGCCACATGGACAGACGCCATGGAGTCCTTTATTGACGGACTTTCAGGTGCAGATTTCAAGTCCCCACCTCAGCCCTCATATCACAGAGAACGCAGGGTATCTCTGCGAAATCCTAACGGTCACGGCCGAAGTTATCGACCAGCTGTAAGTCCATCTAGGTGTGGAGTTCGTGACTCAAGCTTACCAAGTATAGATATGCTCAGCGATATGCATGGATAGGCAAAGAGAGAGAAGAGCGCGTCATGAAAGCCCACCTGGACGCTGTAGCGCTCCATGATCGGCTACCCAAGAGCTTCAAGATCTCACCTTCTAGCCTACAGGTCTCTCCTCCCTATGTATATCAACTCCAGTAAGTCAACTATCATCCTATCATGCTGTTCACACTAACATGCCATTGCAGTTTGCAGTATCATCACACGATACTACTGCTTCATAGGCCGTTCTTTCAACTTCTCAACCCTGGCAAGAAGGGAGGAATCCCGTATGATCCCCTTGGTGGTGATATTCACTCCAAGTCGGTCAAAGACTCAGCAGTCAGAACGGCAAGAATCTTGCAAATCTTCAGGAAGAACTACACGAATGTAAGTGTGCCCAAGATACAAAAGTCTTAACTCGTGAAGCTTACAACGCCAGCGATGTATTCCCATCTCAGCCGTTCACCCAACCTTCACAGCATCAATCATCCTTCTGCTCCACATGAAAGCCGAAGGAGACCTTGGGAGAAGCGAAGCCTTGAGATGTCTCAACATCTGCATCACGTCGCTGTATGAGATGAACCTCATGTGGAATTGGGCTAACCGGTCCATCCGCGCCATTCGATCACTCGCTGCTGAGTGGCAGATTGACATCTGGGCTCATGGCCTGGCGCAGGAAATCACCGAGGAGTGTCGTTTGCAGTTTGAGAGATATGAGATGGATGACCTGCCTATTCTTCCTCAGCCTCAGGATGATTTGGGACTGACACAAGGAATTTCGCTGGATGACATTTTTGAGTCGTGGGCTTATGAGCAAGCTTTTGGAGACAGTTCTTTTGACTTCTTTCAGTAAGAATGGAATGCAGGAAGGTTTGGCAGGACTGGGAGTGTAAGCTTGTATTTATATCTCGTTGACAGTAATGAACACGCGGTAGATGCCCTGCACAACAGGCATTACAGTGGGACGGGTTACCTTCTAGAGACATAAATGTAACCGTAAGCCGGGATTAAAGACGGGTCTGTACGCTCCAGCCGCTTTTCTTGTGGTTATTTGATATCCGGACAAGCTCCTCTTTATAATTCGTACCTCTCGGAAACATTCTTCCAGATGTCATATGCTAACGCAGTACTACTATTTTTCAATTCACATCATGAGAAAAAAGTCGGGATATGCTCAGTCACCCAATTTCAATTTGAGTTAATTACTCTTTGTCTAAACTATCGATACCTAATTCGTCGCACCGTCTTCTAATGAGTAACTTCGCCTTCTGGTCACCAGACAACACCATGCCAGACCATGAAGATTCTGGTACTACGCCCTCAGGTAGCTTCCAGTCATACTTGAGCAGCATATGACACAGCGTAATCTTGGTCTCATTGGCGGCAAAGAACCTTCCGGGACACGAATGCACGCTGTGTCCAAATCCAAGCATATCACGGCTGATACTGACCAAGTGTGCCTGCTTATCTTGACCGGGAGTGTCGCGCATTCTTACAAAGCGGTATGCATCAAAAGTCAATGCATCTTCATAGAAATCCGTATTCCATTGATGAGTCGTATCGCAGACAATCTTAGTACCTTTCTTGATGACATCGCCGTTGGGGAGAGCGACATCGGTAAGAGCTCTTCGTTTGAAAACACCTGTGGAAAGTTAAGTATATGGGCATATTGGAGAAGGAAGTTAGCTACCTAGAAGCATCGGCCGCAGTCGTTGTGATTCCTTGATAACGCTATCGAGGAGTTTCGTGTTGTATAGTGACGTCTTTTTCATTCCAGCTGTGCGAAGAGCACTAACTATCTCCTCCCGCAGGGGCGTAAGAATTTCAGGATGGAGTGTAATGTTGAAAAGTGTTTCTGTAAGTAAATCGGTTGTGGTGTGTATCGCAACTAGTGAAAGTCCGATCTGGTCCCTTGCTGGATCTGCTTGTCCTGGGTATTCCTTCTCAAACCACTCGATCGAGTCATCGAAGGGAACCGTTCTGCCATCTTTCATGGCCTGTTGCTTGGCAGCATGTCGACGATCGATGTGGGGCTGGAGAAATTCGCGCGCCTTCTGTAGCTTCTCACGTACGGCTTGGCAAGATGGCAAGAACCAGTGGACGAATGACCTACTCCATAGAGGATAAGTGAGAAGTTCTGAGCCTGGAATAAACCATTGTAGTGTATAGTCACTTGAGGCCTTCAGCCAACCTTCGTCGCGACAGAGCTTTTCACCCATAAACACACGAGACGACATTCGTGAAATAATACGGACAACGTCTTGGTGAGGCGAAAAGTCATGCCATTCCGCTGATTCACCTAGAACATCATGTAATGCCAAAGATGCTTCCCCGGATAAAGGTTCGTTGAGCTTAGCCAGAGCCCTGATCAAGTATTTGTTCACGATTGGCGTTAGAGCGATTAGTGGAGCCCCAGGCTCGAATCCAGGGATATGCCCATGAGCGTCCCACCACAGATCAGTGAGAGATTTCCAATAATGAGTGAAATTGAAGAGTGAAACAACGCTTCGATACATATGAGATGCTAGTAACTTGAAAGCATGCTCCGGGATCGGAGAACAAAGTTTAAGCAACATAAAAGAGAAAAGGTTGTATAAACAAACTCACTTCTTTGGAAGCTTCCAGGAATTCAAGTTGCCGGTTACTCTTCAAGGCTTCAACAAAGTGAGGGGGTATGACGATGACCTTTCCCCACTCCGTATACGCTTCGTAAGGCTGATCATTGTAAAGCGATCTGCCTTTTTCGAGAAGATGTTTGCTGTTCTTGATGAAATCACGAACAGCGCAATTATTTGAGAACTCGAAGGGTTTCCTCGGGTTCAAGATTGGATATTTCCCAGTATTGCTAACTAAAAGATATTGGAAGATGAAAAGTGAGAGTAAGGTGAGGATACACAGAACGGCAAGCTGAGAGCCGCCTAAGATGGCACCAATATCGGTCTGTATTGTAATTATGAATAGTCAAGGCGATACAATGACAAGATGTTGTTCTTTGTTAACGTTTATATGATAGGTAAAGTTTCGTACGGGGTTCTTCTAGGTAGTGTTGACTGACCAGAGTGCTAGGCGGGGTACCTTGAATAACCGGAGACTGCAATTAGCTCCACATATTATGGAGACATGGGCCTTTTTGCGTACAGGGAGGTCGATTGAAAGGATAGGTCAATCGGTTCACATTCTCAATTACCCTCTCGAGAGGCCTGGAACACGTGACTGAGCGTGGACACAGCGTAAATGTAACAGTAAGCCGGGGTCAAAGAGGGGTTTGTACATTGCAGCTGCAGTTCTTTTGGTTATTTGATATCCAGATAACCCCTCTTCCCAACTGCACCTCTAGGAAGCCTTCTAGATACCATATGCCGGCAGATGATCGAGTGCTGGAGGATTATAAAATGCTCCATATCGACGCAGAAACAACAAGATAGATCGAACTTGACTTCTACATCTTTGAAAATTCCAAGGTTAACCACATCACGCTACAATGTCCAAGACTGTCAAGGTTGCCGCCATCCAAGCCGAGCCCGTCTGGCAGGACCTGCAGGGTGGAGTGGACAAGTCCATCCGCCTTATCCAAGACGCCGCTAGCAACGGTGCTAACGTGATTGGCTTCCCCGAAGTGTTCATTTCCGGTTACCCGTGGTAAGTTCCCTATCTTAAAAAGTGGGCAGATCAGCTTATTCATTTTTAAGGAGCATTTGGGCCAACTCTCCTGTTGACAATACCCCATGGATCAACGAATACTTCAAGAACTCCATGGAGAAAGAATCCCCAGAGATGAATCAAATTCGAGCCGCTCTTCGTGAGGCTGGTGTTTTCGTTCTGTTGGGATATAGTGAGAGATACAAGGGAACTCTTTACATTGCCCAGGTGAGTCCAAGCGGTTCCTACACTACCATATTTCAATCTGACACTAGTAGTCTTACATTGATGAAACCGGTACGATCGTTCTCCACCGTCGGAAGATTAAGCCAATCCATGTTGAGCGTGCCATCTACGGCGACGGACAAGGTGAATCCTTGGACAACGTAGTTCAAACCAAGTTCGGAAAGGTTGCCGGTCTCAACTGCTGGGAACACACTCAACCCCTCCTCCGCTATTACGAATACTCCCAAGACGTCGACATCCACGTCTCCAGCTGGCCCTCCCTCTTCCCATCTATCGGTGAAGACTGGCCCCATCATATCACGCCCGAATGCTGCAAGGCCTTCTCCCACATCGTGTCCATGGAAGGCGCCTGCTTCGTCATCTTATCCAGTCAGATTCTCACTGAGGAGAACATTGAGAAAGCTAACCTCAAGGACTTTGACTACACCAAGAACGGCGGCGGTGGATTCACTATGATCTTCTCGCCTTTTGGTAAGGAACTCGTGAAGCCGTTGGATCCGGGTGCTGAGGGTATCTTGTATGCGGATGTTGACTTGGGTGAGAAGTGCAAGGCTAAGCAGAACTTGGATATCGTGGGACATTATGCGCGACCTGATCAGCTGAGTCTCAGGGTTAACCGTCATCCTGCCAAGCCTGTGTTCTTTGCCAATGATCTTTGAATCTACGGCTTACAACACGTGATAGCGGAATACAGGTAGTTAGTTAACTTATAAAAGTGCATTGACAAATAGACTTGTAGCGGAATTTCGATCGAGTAGTTATAAGAGATAGCAGCACGCAGATTCTTCAGCTGTGTGATGTGAGGATAAGTATTGCTAAACCTTTACATACATGGTTTATACTAACTAACAACTGCTTTCGTTTGAGTGAATAAATCAGTTCCCTCATACGGAACTCTTGTTTTGCTAAACAGGCCCTTGAGAATATTGCAGGGGGTGTTGCTATCAACACCAAACTCGTATAGCTGTCCAAAATGACTCATCATCCGAAGGACTTTCCTCAACTATACGAAGAACAAAGGTATCTCTGAACAGCAAGGCTAGGATAAGTTTTCTCTCAAAAGTATTATTAATCGCAACCTCCAGTAGGTTAAATCTCAGTAAAGTCAGGTGTGCAGGTTGCATCAGCCAATGAACTCTAACGACATTGCATATTCCCCAACTATACAATAGGGACATTTCGTTACCTTCTTATATGACGGGGACTGCCTGTTGGAGAGCTTGCCGTTGGACATCGAAGAGGCAGATAGACCCGAGGTTCTGTGATTAAAGTAGAGAGCCGAACGAACCCTCCGTTTGTAATCTAAGTGACCACAGTTTTCGCACTCTTCCAAATACCCAGTTCGGACACAGTAACAGTCCTTTTTGTGTTCATGATCAATATCCAATCTCTCATCACAGTAATATCTGTGGACCAAAAGACATACTCCACACCTATGACAAGGGAAAGGGCTATAGGAGCAGCTTCTGCACGATCTGCACAAGCCCCGGTTAAGTTGTGACTCAAATATCACCTGTGTTTCTTTCTCCAAGGAATTTGGCCAAGGTCGATCGTCCCAGTAAGGACAGCGCTCCTCTCTGCCACTCCAGAGCTGTTCGAATGTTTCCCTGGTATAGCCATTCTTATAACTTGCTGTTCTTGGGTAATATCGGCGGAACCTCGCAACATCGTAACCACATATGTCCAGAACACTATCCCATAAGTCCCCCATTAAAGAGGAATGAGAAATGAAGCAAGGCTTGCACATAGCTCCATATGCGTGGTGCGACAATGGGTTCCAGTCAGAGCCGAGTTGGTCAGGGTCGGCACCTCTCGATAGGAGATATCTCAACAGGTCTCGTCGCTCGAGAACTTTAGAAAAGGACCTTTTGTGGCTTGAGAGAAACCCTTCGACAGCACCCCGAGCCCCATCAAGTTGCAACTCGTAGCCATGGCTAATCAGAAGGTCCAAAGTTTTCCGCTCCTGTTCTGGATTAAGGTCCTCTCTTGGAATTAAAGTCCACGCACGACAGAATAACCGTGTGGTTAATTTACTGTAAGCTGAATTGTCTGCAAAGACAAAGGGGCTGATAGATAGGGTTTGATGCAAAACATTTCTTTCCTACATATCGTATCAATGAACCTGTCCCAGATAGCGAAACGAGACTCCTTACTGATATATTTCTGCAGTAGTTTAAACGACTGAATAAGCTTGGAGGGCTTGAGATATGTATGGTGGGATCTGCGCCAGCATGTAGGAGCATTTCTGAAAACCTAATATCATCGCGATAGAAAGCAGCTAAAGTTAAAGGATCTCTGTATTTTATTTAGTTTAGCTTAATTCTAACTCTTAGACTTCATGGGGAGCATACTTTTGTCCGTTTCCTGTTATCTCAGTAACGTCTAGACCTTGATGGATGAGGAATCTGAAAGTTGCGAAATTTCCAACTGAATGCTGCCATGGAGCAGGAAGGTTAGCTGGGTACAGGTCACTGATATCTTGTCAAAGCCCATTGAATGCCTACATGTAACAAAGACCATCCGTCCTCATCATGGTCGTCAAGACTAGCCTTGTTTTCAACGATTAATCTCATCAGATCTTCAACGGATCCCTTTGATGCCACCTCGAAAACAGGCGAGTTGTTAGGTAAAATGTTACAAACTATTACTCGTGGTAATAAGCTTGTGAAGCGATTGAACAGCAGCGGGTCCTGCTGCACGAACACGGTGATCATCTTCTTCTTGGCCTTGGACTTCAAAGTTAGACCTCCACGGAACCCTCTTCTATGAGGCTCATTGACTGAAGCGTCTTCTCGGGTCAAAAGAGAGTTCTCCCGCCACTTTGTCGCCGAAATTGTGATTACAGCGTCGTTGATATTTAAGTGTTTCCGTTTGCTTTTTTGAAAGACCGCGGGTCTGGATACTGTAGCATCGAAAGAACTTATGGGCTCTCCTTTACTTAGCCACAAGAACAGCGCATAGCAGATAGACTTACCGTTTTGGTTGAGGCTTATCGAAGGTGCACAAATAATGAGACTTGTGAAGAGCTTCACCTCGTTCAAGACATCCTGGTCATCTCCTCCCTTTTTTTCAGAAAGTACCTCATCTTGAACAAAGTATAACAGTCTTGACAAGTCATCGACTATTTTCTTCGAGTCGTCAGACTCCACAACGCCTGGTCTTTTCTCAAGTAGCTTCATCAATCGAGCTATAGCATCGTCTAAAGCCACATCTTCCGCAATATTTGACTCTGTATCGTCTAGCTCCGTAACTCTGGATGGCATGCCCGATGAGTCGACTTTTATAATCGCAGCAGATGTGCTTGCCACCTGTAGGGCCGCAACGCCTTGATGAATCTGTTGAAGGGTAGGAAGTATATCTGTCAAAGCTGGTAACTCCCGGGTCTGGACGATGACCATGTGGAGTGTAAGTATGTGCACATGCCACTTGACTACACCTCGGATATGGTCGAGGTCCTTCTCTTCGAGACAGATCTTGAGCTTTCGCCATAGCCGGCCTCTTCGACTGTCAGCCCCCGAGACATCAAGCTGACGAAGCTTTGCCTCAAAGGCGACCAGGTCGTCTTTGCATTTTTTGACCAGCTGCTCTAGTTCTGGTCTGTCGCTAAGTCCAGCTGTCGATGCAGACACTTGCAGTAGTCTTTGCAGAATAGCCTCAAGCTGGGAAATTTCGTTGTTGAGGAATCCGATCGTCTCTGGGCCGTCTTTGATTGCTGATAAGATATCATGAATTGACTTGGAAACAGAAACCGCCGCCGCCACAAAGGTGAGTATGCTGGCGCCAAAGCCAACGGCCTCCATGGTTGTGGATGTTTATTGCCGGCGATCCAAAATTTCAGGTAGGGGAGAGAATGTTGAGAAAAGAATCAACAGGGAAGAATTGATTCAAGAGGAGAAGCTGACCAGAAATGCCTTGAGGGACGCCTTGAGTGATGCCTTTTGCGGTTGTTAATGCAATAAGCACAGCCTGATTCGTGACATTGAACATGTATTCCACGAACTGGCTACAGTGCGAGATACCCCTACATTCGTCTACCCCGGCTAAGGAGATAGAGAAACCGTTTTATTGGGTTAGAAGCTAACGGCCATAATCCCTGCTTTGCAGTGAAGGCTTTGTACACTGTATGAAAAACAGATGCCATCTTTGGCAAATGCGGTGCGCATGCTGTGCCGCATGATGTTTCGGGCCTCAATTCAAATGCGCGACTCTTGGAGCAGATCGTATGCCTTACGGGCTAACATTCCTACTTTTTTGTCTGACGTACTCTTTCAAAGCAACGCGTGGACTTACCAGTGGGTTGGATGGATAAGCTGGAAGCGGAATAGCAGTAGCTGAACTAGACTTGATGTTCTCTTCAAACGGAGTCGGAGGTATCAATGAACAGTTGGTACTGTGGTCTAGTTGGTCATGACATCTCGTTAACACCGAGAAGGTCCCCGGCTCGAGCCCGGGCAGAACCTCATTTTTTGCATTTTCGCAATCTATAATTCGTGCATCTCCCATCTTGTTATTTTCCAGAATCTTTTTGTAATGCTTGAAACTCTTATTTTGGAAATCCCCAAGAGCTCCAGCTCTCGTGTTTTTGGATTCTATGTTGTAATATTTAGTACAGTATTGGATGGGTCCGACCTACCTCACGATGCTTCGCCGGTCTTGGCGAGCCAGTCTCTTGCAGCAAGACAAATAGACAACGGTACATTTCAATATAGTTCTTACAAAAGAATCAGCTACCTGGTCCTTTCTTTGTACTATGTGAATGACACAGTCGATGGTAGCATACGAAAACCCTTCTAAGATAGGTAGTATTTAAGTGTCTCCTACCCTACACAACAAGCTTCACTTCATGTCTCAGCCTAGGAACAGGTCATATACCCGGAACGCGGTGGAGCAATTTCCATGTCTCATTGTGGGTCGATGGGGTTAGCGTAGATCCTTCTTAGTTTCCCGCTCTTGACTCTTTATGGAAAATAAGTGGGAACGAGCTCATTGGGCTACCGAGGTATGTTGTGCCAATGGCTAGGAAAGGCTCCTCATCGATGTTGCGATTGACAAGAGAGTTATGCGGCGCATGCCCGACCTTCAGCTGGCTGGCTGAAATGCTAAGGACCATACCAACGATTATTTTCAACGTGCAGGGTCCAAGGGAGATTTTAATCAAGATCAATCAGCCGGGCTGAACACCTGGAGGTGTGTGACGAAGGGGGAGCTTCCATACCTAAGTGTGTCAAGGCGCGATTTCGGCAGCGTTATCCCGAGACCTTAACGATATACAGATTTACTCCGGCAAAGACATGCATATGGTCGACCAGTTTAAAACGTGGCTAGCAGACCTCACCTCCTGCCTGAGTCTTTTCGCTCTATCAGTCGCTTTGTATGCGATTCTCACACAAATGAGGTCACATTATTTGTTAGCAGCTATACTCGCTGTACCCGTTCGCTCAGCGCCGACAGCTGACGAAACATACCCGTACCGCGGTCCTGATGTCCCTATCGGAGATTGGGTCGACCACACCATCAATGGCAACGGCAAGGGATTCCACCGTCTGGTCGAGCCTCTAGCCGTGAAGCCTGCCTCGACGAATCCCACCAACAATATCAATGTTATCTCGTTATCATATATCCCTGCAAAACACGAGGAAGCCACTGTCGGTATCAACATCCACTACCAAACGCCCTTTGGTTTAGCCACTGAGCCCTCTGTTCAATGGGATACCGGTGCTTCAGCCTTGAATAATCTGGCTACCGGCAAAAGCAAGACATACGATCGCACTCCTCCTTGTTCTCTCATCAATAATGTTATCCAGTGCAGCCAATTCTTCCATAATGTTCACATCGAAAATCTCGAGCCTGGCACGACTTACTATTACCAGATTCCCGCTGCCAACGGCACCCCCCAGTCTGATGTTCTCAGCTTCATTACCGCCCAAGCCAAGGGCGATCTGTCAGAGTTCACCATCGCTATCAATAACGACATGGGCTACACGAACGCCGGTGGAACCTACAAGTACAACGAACGAGAGGTCGAAGATGGCTTGGCTTTTGTCTGGCACGGTGGTGATCTTAGCTATGCGAATGATTGGTACTCTGGCGTCATACCTTGCAACTCTTCCGAGTGGCCCGTTTGCTACAATGGCAGCTTCAGTACGCTGCCGAACAATGACACAAATCTCGATTACTTCAACACAACTTTGCCAGCCGGAGAAAGGCCGAACCAAGGTAGTCCTCGTGGTGGTGACATCGGTGTGCTATATGAGTCCAACTGGGACCTTTGGCAGCAATGGATGAACAAGATAACCAAGAAGGTTCCTTACATGGTCCTTCCTGGAGATCACGAGGCCACCTGTGCCGACCATGACAATTACCCGTATGTCCTCTCTGCATACCTCGATGAGTACATAAGGAACGGCACCAGCAACAGCTCCACCCTGAACTACTACTCGTGTCCCATTCCCAGCGCAACTTCACGGCCTTCCAGAATCGCTTCCATATGGCGGGCGAAAAGTCTGGTGGCGTCGGTGATTTTTGGCACTCCTTCGATTACGGGTTGGCCCACTTTATATCTATCGACACGGAAACAGACTATGCTCACAGTCCTGACAAGATGTTTGTTGAAGATCTTGAGAGGGTGAAGAAGAAGGAGGAGGACTGTCTCGGAAAAGATAAGGACTCGCCAAAATGCAAGTGTAAGGGCGAAGACAAATACACGCCGGAGTGCGAAGAGGAGGAGTGCAAGTGTAAGCCGATCAAAATGCATGAAGAGACGCATCCTCTAGACGAAGAGACATATCTACTGTCTGATGAGGTTCATCCTCTGGCCAACATGACGCACATCATGGATGTCGGTCCGTTTGGGAAGATCAACGGTTCGTACAAGGATAACAAGGCCTATGAGCAATACCAATGGTTGAAAAAGGATCTCGAAAACGTCAATCGATGCAAGAGTCCCTGGGTTATTATCATGGGCCACCGTCTTATGTATAGTTTCAAGTGTGGCGACTACCATGAACACCTGCGCGAAGCCTTTGAGAGGTTATTTCTGAAGCACAAGGTCGATCTCTACGTTGCTGGGTAAGCTGATATCTCCACCTCTTCAAAAGTACCCGACTAACCTCTTGTAGCCATGTTCACTGGTATGAGCGTCTCAAGCCCATACGAAATTGTATCGTGAACCATACCTCAATCGTCGACACAAATACCTACCAGGTGAACCCAGGCCATTCTATTGTCCACGTCATCAATGGAGCTGCTGGAAATATCGAGAGCCACGCTACAACCAATAAGTCGAACTCCTATCTCACTGAGGTCATCGATAAAACCAGCATCGCTACCTGTCCAGACGTGTAGAAGAAAGGTTCCAAGAGGTGTCGCCGTTCCCAATGGCGCGTTGGAAGTTAGGAGAGAAGGCGTACCAAATTGCTCGGTATGTTTAAAGAGTCTCAAGTCAGGATTTGATGCTAATTATCCATGCAGTGTTGGTGCAACATTTAACATCTATGGGTCTAGCGATAACTCGCTCGCTTTGTACAGGCAACTTGTAGAACTAGAGATAGTTGAAGTTGACTGGATATCTACAGGCTTGGAGGTCTTCCAAGACGGCCAGACAACTAGATCCCAGAGGACACATAAGCCCACAGCCTGGGTATCAGACAGTCACAGCGGGCTTACTATCTATGTCAGGCGAGATACCAGGGGTCCTAAATGGAATCCTGCGTCAACCCTGCCTAAAAGGCTCCAAGAGTGGCTGATGAAAAGTACATGTCAAAGCTCTGGCGTTGATGGGTTGGAAGTCCTCGAAGTCCTTTCTTCGATTTTCACTGTTAATGGTTCTGATCTAGACAAAGTCCTCTGGGAACAGGGAATCGTGAAGGTTCCTTTTGAGAACATTGAGTTAAATCTGAAGAAGGCTATGATCAAGGTGTGACTTCCTAAAGTCGACGAACGAAAGCCTTGTGCTTAAGGTATCAGATAGCGACCTATCCTGATATAATCTATAGGATAATAAAAACAGACCTAGTAATAGAACTTTACAAAAGATTGGCTGGGTACTACGTTCTCACCGATATTAAATTCTTTTACGGACAATCCGAAATCAATGTATATATTCACGAGTCTTCCAGTAATCCCTCTATAGCTCCTTGCTCGCTTAGGAACTGAGATGTAGCAAGTTTCGAATACTTGAAAGAATCTTCTAAAGCCTTTTGCAGTGCAAGTTTCGTTTCTTGCAGATGATTGAAGAACCAACAACTGCAGGTTAGCGAGCTATACATGGAATTGATAGCTTCCTCCAAGGCTACAAGACTATACCCATGATATGGGTGGCTAGGCATGGGCTTAAGGCCGATCTCTGATAGACTTTGGTCTAGATACCCGATTCGCATGTACAGACATTGTCGGCCGACCAACCCCACTCTTGGTCATTGAGGAACTTCCAATGCTGTTCTATCCTCCGGAAGAGAATGCAGATCGAAGCAATCCTTGCTTGCTCGATGAAACCTGTTTTATCCTGTCAGAGTCTTAGAATAGGCATCAAATGTCGCTCAACTTACGAATTACTTTCGAGTCTATGGGCAGCCCTAGAGGGTGAGTCGGGCCTCGACTCGTACGGATAGCGACTTGAGCTACCTCACGGAAGATTCCTTGGAAGAGGAAGACCCAGGATATTGTCAATTGAGAAGTAGATCCCTCGAGTAGAATGGCTTCACACGACTCACATCGGAATTGGTGACCCATGTGTCTACCCAAAGGTCCATTACCTCAAGGCATTCATACCAGTCGACCAGTACAGCGATCTTCGCAAACATCTCAAGGTCGATCTTGCGAGGAACATCTCGTGTTCTGTTGTGTAGTATGGTCATCAGTATCAAGAATGCTTCACCATCCCAATTCCACCCCTCCAGTGTCCACTCGTAACCTGACCCGGGATCTTGTGGGTTCCAGTTTTCGGTCAACAAGTCCTTGAATTCGTACGACGTAGCAAATAGAAGTGCAGAAGAGAGCCCGAATCGCAGTTCTGAACATTGTGATTTAGCCTGGACAAGCGATGACTCGTGTTTTGTCGGTACCACAGAAGCTTCCTTGCTTTTCGATATTTTTGTCTGATACTTCGGTAAGGCGTCGGGCCATGATTTCTCGAATTTGGCGGGAGGAAATGCTGCGCCAGGGTTACGGAGTATGAAGAGTGTATCGGCATCGGGATGGATTTTGTTTACCGCGGTGACGGTCATTGTCGCGAACGGGCGGAGGATCTATGGCTCTCGTAGGTGTTTAATTTTGGTTGGAGGAAGAAAAGAACAAAGAAAAAGATGGAAAGGCAGTTTGTGCAGCACCCCGCTCCTTATGCTACAGCATGGCAGAAAAATGGTATCGTGGAAGCTTTAGATTCGTGATTTTCAAGGTATAAATCGGTGGCGGAAAACCTTATACCCGTATGAGACTGGAGAATTTCCATTGAGTTTGCCGTGAGGCAACGAATGTCAATGCTTGTTCAGGGGCTATAAAGAAAAACCGCCGTATCCTTTCCATGCTGTATAAGAGGACGCCATTCTCAGTCGGTGGGTGAGTTTTAACATTAGCGACCTACAACATTGAGTGATAATTAGTCGTATCACCACCCAAGCTACGATGAGGTTATTGGTTCTCGCGATTACAAGATGAGAGGATTTCACATCACATAAATACTAGCTAGGGACTCAAGCGGCTGCCAAGTCTCTCCTTTCGAAAGCTGATTTTTTTTAGTATAAGCCTGCCGTCTTCAATAGCAATACGGTCCTCCAGCGGAAAAAACGCTCGCTGGTCATTCCATGACCCATCCCGCTTTTGTAGCTCCGCTGTAGGACGGACCCCATCAAGTTTAATATTGCGCGCTGTAGTCATAGAGTCTATTGTAAAGTTACATATTAGTATTGTACTTTTCCTATATTGCAATTGTATTTGCTACCTGGGCCTTTTTAGGACGGTAGGGAAGCCTTAACAAGACTTACTTGTACTATTCAATTGACAATAGCCATTGCTATTACTGAGTACAGTGTTTAGGTCTATCTTATCTGACTTGGATATTGAGTTCGTCCTTCTCATCTACTTTATAGGAGGGAGTCTGAGGTTATGTCCTTCAGTGAGCTGAATAATATTATTGGCTTGCTTTTGCAATTGCACTGTCATAGTGTAGTTGCTATGCGCGTAGAATAGAGAAAATAGTAGTAGGTACGGATTTGTTGTTAGAGCCAGAAAGACTTATTGTATAGTAGAAGTTTAAAGAATGTTACAAACTGAGTTGCTCTCTGCTAGGTAGGAAAGGAACAAAGATTTATACAGGAGAGACAGGGACAGTTACTCGGAGTCGGTGCACTATGGTGTTTTATTCACATTTTGAGGCCAGCTAGGTAGTATTCCACGCGGCCGGACTGTTTCATCCAATACCTGTCTCTTGCAGAAGCTGAATGCACCCATGTGACCCACGTCCTCAAAAGCTGTTCTGCCTCTGAGGTACGTTTATCCACCCTTCATAGTCTGTCATCCTAGACTTAATCTAGAATTCTAAATTATCTTCCTGGTGGGTCTCAAGCACACAGTCGCTCGTTGGATAAGCGACACAAAGTAAAACGAAACCCTTCGTAATTTGTTCCTCGTCTAGTTCGCTCTGGTCATCTTGATTGACGCTTCCCGAAACCAAACGCACAGTACAGCTCGTGCAGGACCCAGACCGGCATGAAAACGGTATATCAATACCACGCTCATCAGCTTCATCGATGATGTATCTATCATCAGGACATGGAAAGGTGTAGTCTCCGTCTGGGGTCTTCAATGTGACTTGGTAGGTGGACATGGTGATATCGGTAAAGACTTGTGGCGGAGTAAAAGATAGATGGAGAGGTGGCGGTGCAAAGGTGCTTTTTGGGAGGCTAACTTTAAGATTGATGTTTTAAGGTTGAAGGATAGGGGTGTCGAGAGCTCGGAGGAACAGAGAAAAGAATTGCTTTACAGCAGGGGGAATGAAGGAATTAATGTAGCTCTGGTAACAAGTCTGCCTTGGCCAATGGCAGATTATGGACTTGCAATGTATCGCCGTCAGAACTATCATTGGGCTGTTGAACGAACTGAGACACGGCTCTGCCACCATGACGTCAAAGGTCGAATATGATCTTCGTTAAAAACTACTCAGATTTAGGAAACGGGCTAATGGATCGGCCCGGGCATAGCTGAAAGAATGATTGAGCGGTCTGAGCGGGCGTTTAGCCAACATGTCAGCACCAATTGGGTTCTGGTGCGGAATGGTGGCGCCTCTGTATGTAAGACAACCTAACGCGACATGGCGATGCGAGCAACAATTTCAGGGAAAAGGTCAAAGAGTCTGGCATAGAACGGTGAGCATACGTCATTGCGACCTGATGAGATAACTGAACTGGGCATCGTGCATATCCGAGTCTCAGCCAGTTACATAAGTTCTCACAAGTTCTCAAATTCATTTACCTCGAGCTGCAACGGCTTCACTTCACTTGAGTTCATCCAAACAACCAACACGAATCATATCCAGACCATTATATCTAACCAGTATAACTCAGAATCATGTCTGTAGCTACAGAGAAGGCAGTCCTCCCTCACGTGGCCCATCATTTAGATCCAGCCCTCTCAACCGAACAATCGCAAGAAGCTCTTTTTACACGCATAACAGAGCTTGTTAAAGAGGCTCCAGTCATGCTGTTTCTGAAGGGGACACCCAAATGCCCCGTGTGTCGTTTCAGCCGGCGGATCGTCAGGCTCTTGAACGACCGCAACGTCATGTACAGTTCCTTCAATATCCTGTCCGATGAGGATGTTCGACAAGGATTGAAGACGTATGGTGATTGGCCCACGTTCCCGCAATTATGGGTTAACGGTGAGCTTGTCGGTGGACTAGATGTGGTGAGTTGCTTCCGGCTGTCACCCATATAGGCCGATTGCCTAAAACCATTCCGTCAGGTCAAAGAAGAGTTTAGCGCGAATCCGAAATACTTAAGTGAGCACTCAACGAAGGAAACTGTAGCCTGATCAACAGGAACGAAGATATACAAAAGGATTCAATTGGGCTCCCAAGTCTCCATTGCAGTTATCTCCTTCATTTCTATTACTAGAAATCAATTCGCTACCCCGTAACTGCCAACCCACATGCAGTCTGTCTGCGCGCGCGTTGCTTCCACTGCTGGGCCGTATTCGCGGAATCATACCCTGGCAGTGAACGTATCATCTCGGATAAGTAGGAGACTAGCAGGGATGTCAAGTAAACAGAGTAGATAAATAAGATGAGGCACGAATACTTAACCATCCTCGCGATGAAATCTTAACACGTCAAGAACGCTTTCCTAGTCCAATCAAGGTCTGATCGAATGGGAACGCTGAACGAGTTCCCAATAAATTCACCACGCAGTCTCTGTTGCTCGTACTCCACCACCTCAGCCTTCACATCGTCAGAAAGACCATCCAACACTTGATCCCATTTTCTCCACGATTGCATCTCTGTAGAAGCACCTCGATCATCGTCTGACTTCTGATCAACCTTCATTGGTACCTTCCAACACATCACCACCGGAGAACTAATAACAGTCTCCTTCTTGCCAGATATAGCTGGGCTACTTTCAAAACTCAGCACTTGACCAGGTCCACATGAGGGTCGTTCCTCAGGTGAATACTCATCAGCGCTTGAAGCATTCATGATAAGGTGGAGCAGGCAGTCTTCTTGCTTTGATGTGCCATCCCAATACTTGATATGTGGATTGCGGGAAATAGAGGATTTGGAAAAGTAGATAGGAACGCCCAGTGTGGCAACTGGATTCAGTGTTGGACTTGAGGAGTCTTGACTTGAAGGCATCGTGAGCGACCATCATGGAGGCACTGGAAAGTCTCGGAGTCGAATTCAAGCTGGGGGCTGCAGTCGCTGCGGTGGACTCCAACAGTGTACAACTTAATTCTGGCGAACACATTGACGCAATGACTGTCGTCTGGACTGCCGGCATGCGAGCAACGCATTTGACGCAGCAAATTCCCGGAGCCAAGGACACACTGTCTCGGCTTTACGTGGACCAACACCTCCGTGTTCCAGGCCGTGAGCACGACTTTGCTACCGGGGATGCCGCCCATGCCGTCGCTGATGACGAAGGACACGTCGCTTTAATGTCCTGCCAACATGCTAATATCCTCGGTCGTTTCTCCGGACACAACGCAGCAGCGGACTTGCTCGGCGAACCAACTCTTACCTACTCTCAGGCTGGATACGGTACATGCCTCGACCTTGGATCATGGGGCGCGCTCGTAGCGCATGGATGGGAAAGGGACGTCAAGATCACGGGACGCGTGGCGAAAAAGGTGAAGCAATACATTAATCAGAAAGCAATTGTTCCCCCGCAGGATACCGAGGAGGCGATGGAAGCTTCAGTCCCTGGTCCATATGACACGGAAGAGCTTTTTGAGAGTATTCTCGCTGTAGTCGGGTAGTCTTTATTTAAGCCCGCCTCATTCGATATTACATACTCGAACATACGTACACATTCGTTTAGCATCAGATCGAATTTCAGAACAATTAAATGGCTGACTTAGTTATACCTCGTTCAGTCTCAACTGCTCAAGCCCCAGCTATAACTCGTTATTGTTGGCTAGCTCAGCTCAACACACTCGTGCTGTCTCCTCCTCTCTTCCTGGCATCTGTCCTGTTCTTCACAGCCAATTGGTGCCTCTTGCCTCCACCTTGAATATTGAGCTGCTCCTCCGGCGCTGGCAAAGACAGGATCAATTAATGTTTCCCCGTCATGAACGAATGACAACTTCCCTGAGCTATCATTTTCTCTCTGTAGGTACCCATTACCGACGAGCACGCTTCTTGAAGCTTGAAGAAATGCCGGATGTGTCGCGTTCTCTCCAGTTAATAATATCGTATCCAGACGGACTCCTTCAGGAACTGTGCCGCAGAAAGCCTTCAACCTTTCAGTGACGCAAGTCCAGAAGTTGCTTCCATCGTCCAAGGTAGATAGACCCAGGTCCAGATCTGATAACGTCCGGTCACCTTTTCTGGGCTGGAGATGCGTAAATGCCTACCAAGTCCTGATAATCTCCCCGCGTAAGTCGGTAGGAGTGATTCCCACGACTAGGGTCGTCTCCAGGGGAGCTTGATCCTGCTCCTCATCACATTGCCAAAGGATCTTGTAGTTTCTACACAAACCCTTGCCATGTCCCGCGAAAACGGCATACGACTCGAGAAGCCGGCTTGGGTACCCACCGGCAGTTGGCAAAGGAAGTACAACTTTCGGACGGGGTAGATCAGCGGCTACCCATGGTCGAAGGTTCGCATATTCGAGCGCGTCCCAAAGGTCTACTTCTGCCAGGCCTTGAATTCGGGGGTGCGACAAGGCGACTCTATCTAGCGGGCCCGTGACAGCAATAGATGTCGCGTCGCGTAGTGAGACAAGCATGGCGGCGATAATGTCGACATCGGGCGTAGCTGGTCTTCCAATCTTTTTGTTGAAAGACCATCGCAGCTTCTCCTATCTGGATAGCGGTGAAGGCGGAGGAGAGTCAGCTAGACGCTTCAGAAGTGCTGCATATTCCGGGTTTGCCGGAACAGATGCGATATTCTTTACAGTGTTATTATAGAAATGCACTGCAGCAGTCCTAGTAATTGACCAATTAGTTTGGTTGCGGTGGGTAAGAGTAAGCATAGGGATCACAAATAAAAAGAACGTACCCAGAGGATAACGATAGACTGAACCCAATTCCAGGCGCTTCGTAAACACTCCTGGGTAGACAACCAGGGCAAGTAGGAAACGGCTCGAAATAGTCACCAAAGGCCTTCGCGCGGGCGATCAGGCTGAAAAAAAAGTGCTAAGCGCATGGTGGGATTGAGAAGAGCAAGAAGTTGCATGAAACGCAATGGAGAAATGGTGAAGTAAAACAAGATGCTTCACAAGTTTCAGTGGTGCAAATGGTTTGCTGGTCACATGACAACTGCATCAGCCATGCACGACCAACAGGTCATACCCTGTACAAGATATCTGTTTTTGAGTTTTTCTGCGGCGTAAGTTCCCAACTGTACAAGATATGAAATGGTAATCACAAGTCTATTCAGGTTCTTTCAAGTTAAGAAACCCAAAGCAAAAACGCCCGAAGGAGGGGAACAAGATGGCATCAGCCCCAATCTTATTTCTCAGTATCTGTACGTCCTTGGTAATCTCTACAGTCTTTGTAAGCTTTGTTAAAGTCGTGGAGGTAGCTATTCATATCGAGCCTCTGCAAGCGCTGGCCGCTGAAGAGTTCAAAAGTGCATCTGAGTATAATAAATGACTAAAATCTTAGAGACTGCGTTGCGTTAGCAGTAGCAGAGCTATAGGCATACATAATCGAGGGAAAGGTGCTGATAGCTACGCTAACCAAAAATAGTTCGGACATGGAGCTGAAACTGACACTAACCGAAATGAGTAGTTGTAGATCTTGGCACGTCGGTCCCGCTGACTAAAGAACTAAGCGATCTTTTCTTCTGTGATTAAACCTCCTTCTCTCAAGGTCCATAAGAACAAATGGAAACAAAACAAGAGTATGCCTCAGAACTTTGAATTCGTCAACGTCTCTAACCCTAATGGGCTTACCCCTCCCCATATCCGGAGCTTGACTCATTCCCACGCCATTCGGCAAAAACATGCCAAAGAGAGAAGACTAAGAATGCAGAAACACCAGGAAGACAAGTACAGAGAAGCGGAAAGGACTTCTTTGGACAGGGTTCTTGACTATAGTCGTGATCCATTTGCCGCACTTCCGACACAGCTGTCATCTTACGAAAACTTTCTTCTCAACTATTGTATGTCCGTCCATTTGTTTGTGCGTAGCTACTAATAATAGTCTGAAGATGTTCGCGTCGTCGTCCCGCAGAATGTGAAGACCTGTCATTTGTTCCCTCGTTTAAATGACCATGAGGGGAAGGTCTTGCGCGATTGGGTCGGCCTTGCCTTGACTGACAGCGATCTTCTCTGTTCCGTTATTCTCCTCGGATCATGCCGTCACATCCTTCTCAACAATCCACGCCCCGAGTTAATGCAGATCGCATTACAGTACAAGTACAACGGACTAAAAGCATTGCGTCATGCCGTTAGTGGCGCCTCACCGACTGTCAATGCGGTGACTATCGCTAAAGCTTGTGCTATGGCGCTAGATGAGGTTGGTTTTTATGTTTCCCACGAGGGTGTTTCTCTAATATCTGAGTAGGTTCAGTTTGGTGAAGCTTCCGTTGCTCGACAGCATATCCAGGGTGTGCTTGCACTGATAGAAGCTGCTGGGGGCTCTCGGTGTCTGGATGCTACAGGCTTGTTGGAGCGTATGTATCATAGATTTCGTGACATGAAGGAAGATGAAGAGCAACATTTGGTGTGCAGGTACCGAAGCGAAGCGGACTTGGACTCTCCCAACCTGGTATCCTCAAACCCATGGAATCAAGTCTTTGCGTCAGGTTATGTTTAAGGTACATAGAATTATAGCAAAGGGTCAGGCTGAAAGATGTACCATTATCCATAATTGATGTTAGTGGGTTTCTAGCTCCTTTCCACTTTGCCAAGCCTTATAACTTCCTGTTCAGGTAAGGCATGCCGGCACTCAAGCTGGGATCTATGAGTTGAAGAGTATTAGGACGATCCCTACCATTCTTTTGGATTCGATGAGTATTGTTCCATTCTTATCAATTCGTTTTGTAAGCTCGGAAGCTTCATGCTACATGATAACATATGCCGGCCTTACTAGTTCCCTTGAAAACTATATATATGTCGAGCTGCCACCTAATCTGGACCATCTCGGGATCATCTACACCAGAACCATCTAATCATATATCATCAAACATACCGACATGTCCTCGCCTGCAGTTACCATCCCTACCGGCTCATGGGTCCTTGTTACCGGTGCCACTGGCTTTGTCGCTGGCCACGTTACCCGCCAGCATCTCCAACGCGGGTACAAGGTCCGCGGCACAGTCCGCGACCCAGCGAAAGCTGAGTGGCTCACTGAACATTTCAAGTCCTACGCCGATATTGGCTCCTATGTGCTCGTGAAAGTTCCCGATCTATCGATTCCCTGCGCTTTTGACGAGGCAGTAAAGGGAGTCTCGGCCATTGCTCATATCGCCAGTGTACTTGACTTTGATCCCAACCCCAACAATGTCATTCCCCAGACTGTCGGCGGAGTAACATCTGTCCTTGACAGTGCATCCAAAGAACCCTCTGTCAACCGCTTTGTTTTCACCAGCTCCATCGTCGCAGCAGTCTTCCCTACAGCGGACCAAGAAGATGTCATCGACCGCAATTCATGGAACGAATTCTCTGTCAAAGAAGCCTGGGCTCCTCCTCCTTACGAACCATCGCGTGCAATGCTAGTCTATGCCGCTAGTAAGGTTATGGCTGAGCAAACGCTGTGGAAGTACGTGGAGGAGAAGAACCCTCACTTTGTGACCAATGTCGTCAGCCCTGCGGGTATCTTAGGCGAGCCACTTAACGAGAGACATGCCACTGCACACGGAAACTGGATCTATTCGCTCTTTACTGAGAAGAGGGAAATGGTTGATGCGTACCAGACTTGTAAGTATCATCTGCTAAGAAATACTTAGAATGTCTTGCTGATATGAGACTCTAGTATTTTTTGTTGACGTCCAAGATATTGCTGTTATTCACGTTGCTACTATCCTCGATCCCGAGGTCAAAAATGCACGTCTACAGGCTTGGGGTCACAAGGGTCACTGGAATGAGTTCCTCAATATTTTGCGGGAACTTCGACCTCAGAGGAATTTTATTCTTAATTATCCTTAGATATTTTATCTTAAGATCTTAACTAATTAATCTAAGTCTGTGGCTCTTTTGAAGAAATGGGCCGGTCAGGATAATTGGAAGCCTCTTAGGGAGATTATCATTGAGGCTATAAACAACCCCTACTGGAAAACTCACTGAAAGTCTAACATTCGATCCGAGGTTAGACAACTGCAATCAAGATTCAGTTAGTACAAAGTTGCAATAGCACGAGACTTGGTCTTTGAAGGGACTAGCTGTCAAGCTATCAATTTCTCTAGCACAAGATGTCAAGACACCAATCATGCCTTGAGAAGCGGGTGCATATGTTTACCGAGTAGTACTGCTATAATCGCTGGTTGTTAACGTTTCCGAATAGTTAACGATCTATTTTGGGTGAGTTTCTTGTGACTATCCGATAGAGGGGGCCAGGTTGACTAAACCGGCCATATATCTTATGCCTGGAAATAAACTTGTATTAGTTTGCCTCGGCTATTTCCATTCACGTTAATTACACGCAGCGTACGCAGCGTAGAACCCCTAGGCATTTGTATTCCTACCAATGAAAAACGCTGATAGGAATGGAATCCTGGACCCTGCCATCAAATACCTGGTTTTAGGGTTCTTGGCACATGGGGAATTGGGGGCTGAGAGCTTCCTCTCTTGAGAATTCGGCCGTATCGAGAAGGCTATACGAAAAGACCCTGCCTGGGGTTAAGGCGGAGCCTGCCCATCCTCGTTGACACTCTATATCGCCCGGTAAGCTTTCGTTTGTCGTCATCGTGTTTACTAAGGATCAGGTATAACTTTGCACACCCGTTATCAGGTAAATTTGAAGCCCCCACTTATTCCATTTACTTCCTACTGCCTGTCACACACACCACCTTACTTTTCCTCTGTCTTTATACCTTTTGGCCTACTCTGCTTGATTATTCAATTAATTGATGATGGATGGAAACGATATTCTTCCTGAAGTTCTCACAGTACGACAAGACTCTTCTGACACTTGCTATTTTCCCGACAAAGCGGTAGCCAAGGGCTACAAACCATGTGGCTCCAAGTCGATTTGCTGTGACCTTGACGGGGATCAGGAATGTCTACAAATCGGTCTTTGTGGAAGGTATGACAGATATGGTACGCAGACCTTGTATCAGGGTGCTTGCACAAACCAAGACTGGACTTTTTGTACAAGTATCTGTAAAGCGAGTGAGTAACAGTTTTCAAGGGAATTTTTCACGTGGATCTGACCCAGCTATCAGGGATAAATGAGACGGCTCCGGTCAAACGGTGCGGATCTGACGACTATTGTTGCGAGGATCCCTCCCAACGACTGCTGTGATCCCCCCCCAGATCGAATTACAATCGTAAAGGTACCAGACTCGAATCCACCTGGTCCTGTTAGATCGCTTCGACCAGATCCTGCAAAACAGCCCGTTGGAGCAATAATAGGTGACGTTGTTGGGGGTTTAGCTTTTATTACCATCCTGCCCATCTTTGGCTGTTGCTTGTTCCGCCGCAGAAGAGGAGCGAGAAGGAAACTACTCAAAGATGAACTCGACGATAAGGACAAAACAAGCCTTGGCATTACTCTTGCGGAAGCTGATCCTGGACCCGGAAGCGTGTTGGTCGAATTGGACGCGCGGACAAGGGCTATGACAGAGGCGAATGCTAGTCCAGATAGCGTATTGGTGGAATCGGATGCAAGACCCATAAGACCAAAGAACATTCATGAGTTGCCAGGATAAGTCACGATTCAGTCACATCTTTGGGTAATTTGTGGCCTACTGTGATTGAACTTCGTGGTAGACGGAACATGGTAGCCTAGGGTAGGTGCGCAAGAAAAAGATAGTGGCATGCAATTATTGCTAGGTTTTGTTCCTACTAGTAATACAGAATGAACTTAAGGTACAGTGGCGCTGTCGGTCGTTAACAATGAATTCTGCTTGACATGAGCTTTCCAGCTAACAGACAGTACCCATTGGACTTATTGAACGGATGGATCGCTGTCTCAAGTGTTCATATTCCACCAGGGTTGTTATTTAACATCGCTAGCAATAGGGCGATTAGTGATCATCATTTTGTTACGGAATACCACCAAGCTAAATCTAAAAGCATCATACCATCAGCATACAATTACCGCAGCATTGCGTTCATCTTTAACGATTATAAGTTAGTGCACAATGGCAGCTGGGTGATAGAGGCTTGTAAGAGTTGACAAGACTAAAACTCTCAGCTCAATGGTAGACGTGAAATACACCGCCAGGCCAAGCGCCTAAAAACAAGGACCCTGTTTCCTTAGGTAATAACAACTTGAGGCTATAGATCATTCGTGACAATAAAAGGTGGATTTCGGATCTGCAGATCCCGGCGCCATCTCCCGGGACCAGCCAACCTGACCAAGGGGCAAATAGGTCTTGGCGAAAGCTCCTGCTCATAACTGAATGCTTTATAAATGAAAAGAGCTACTCCCCCTTGGGTAACGAATTCGTTAGCTGTGTTCTGGCCCACACAAGACTGTAGAATGCGATTGGATGAAAATCGTCTATGTGGGTAGATTGAAGGGACTTGGTTTAGCTCATCGGTAGTCTCAGCCCTATCCAATTAAACCTTCAAAGACTGACGTTAGTGTCTAGATAGCTACAGCTACTTAGCTACCGGCAATAGCCCCGTTGTTGCAGAATGTTTCACTAGCCAAGCTACCCCACGCAACAATTAAGGAGTAAGATAAGTAACAAAACGTACAGTAAGTTTAAAAAAAATTGCTATATTGCACTTTAATCTATCACTGCTGCTGGTGCACTATTTATGTTTCCATGCTCTTAGAACTTTATATTCTTAGTTAAAAGGAAAATCCAAGTTCTTTAGCTGTAAATGAGGGCATTGAAGCAACGAGCTGGCAGGACGACTCAGGACACTGCCGTAGGAACTCGTGAACTTAGTCACGCCCAGTAAAGCCAAGAGACTAGACTCTACAGTAGCGATTGAATCGCGTAGTTATAAGATAGCTTTTGCAAGCGCGTGTAAGTTTTAATTAATTGACGGTATAAGTCTAAAAGAAGTTAGTATCCACTGGACATAATCAATTCATGAGTTCATACGGTTCTGACGGTACAGACCACTCAACCTGGGCGTTGCTTTTTCATGTCTGATCGCGAGGCCGGCTCGTTTTTAGCGTTAATCCAAAGCCGCCTCAACTGGTGACGGGCTGGCGGGTAGGGCGATCCAAAGCATTGACGGAACTAGAGGAACCGCTTATCGCGAATCGGTGGATCTCGTTCATGTTGACTCGCCTTGTGGATGCCTCCTTGAGTAGCTTAGATACTAAAGGGGCCACTAAGTCTCTTTGGGTTCATTTCAAGCCTATTCAAGCTAGCTTCACCTGCATGTAGTCTGTTTCAGGTCCCGAAAGAAGGCATTGCGGGTCTTTTTCAGTTTTCCCTAGACGCAAGTCCCCAATGTACGTTTCCGGAATGTAAATACTAACCATGACCTCCATGCTTGACATGGCTTCAAACCTTTCTCACATTCTTGTTTCTTACTTCTTGTTTACTGGCCGATTACGATGAGGCTTTTCAACGGGATTTTCGCCCTTATTGTGGTTTCCGTGTCATTGGCTTCGGCTCAGTCTTCCGATTCCTCTGCGATCTTGGCCACTATACCACCGTGTGCTGTAAGTACTTCTGTAGTCAGCCCATATAGTAAGCATATGGACTAACATCAAAAGGTAAAATGTTTGGTTGCGTCTGTCAGAAATTCAACATGCGATCTCTTCGACACAGAATGTACATGCAACAACCAGGAACTGCAAGCCGACATTGAGAAGTGTGTCATTGCCTCTTGCACAATCAGGGAGTCTTTGAGTGGGTAATCCATCATGCTTCGAGGTACGATACATAGACTAACACTGAGTAGCAACGAAAAACGCGTCTATGACAATGTGTCACGAACCCATTCGAAGCCGTCAACACGAGTTGCTGGTTATAAATGCTACAATGGGGGTCTTTGCAGGTCTCTTTGTCCTACAAAGATTCATGTCAAAACTCTTTATGAAGCTGTCTTTTGGTCTTGATGACCTTTTTATCGGGTTATCTATGCTTCTCATCATCCCCTGTATAGTTATCAATGTGGATGGTTTGATCCCCAACGGTTTAGGCCGCGACATCTGGACTGTCCAGCCTGACCAAATTACCACATTCGGCCTTTACTTCTATATCATGACGATCTTGTATTTCACCCTGCAGACATTCTTAAAGCTGGCCATGATATCTTTCTTTCTGCGCATCTTTCCAACACGAGGTGTCCGAAGAACGTTATACGCAACCGCTGCCTTCAATTGTCTGTACGGTTTGGTATATATCTTCATCGCCGTCTTCCAGTGCCAGCCTATCAACCTCTTTTGGAACAGATGGCAACACAAAGAAGAAGTTGGGAAGTGTCTCAACATCAACTATATGACTTGGTCCAGCGGAGCGTTTACCGTTGCCCTCGATATGTGGATTCTATGCATACCACTTTCACAATTGAAGAAGCTGAACCTGGACTGGAAGAAAAAGGTCGGAGTTGGCATTATGTTTAGCGTCGGCCTCTTGTAAGTATCAATCATCCAGGTCTGCACACGTCGCTGTCACTAACAGATACATAGCGTCACTATAGTGAGTATCCTACGTGTTATAACCACGATAAAATTCACCGCAGGAGACGGTGCGAACAACGCAACTTGGGAATATGTTGAGTTCGACGTGTGGTCCACCATCGAAATCGCCACCGGGGTAGTTTGTGCCTGCCTTCCGAGTCTACGACTCCTTCTCGTCCGCATCTTTCCCAAGCTGGGTGGGTCATCGGCCCGGAACTACTACCAACACGACAGCAACAATTTCCACAAGGACCAGCCTGGCTGCACCTGTTCACTTTCACAACCCTTGGGGTCAAGCTCAGAGGCCGATAAGACGTCCCGTGACAGACGCATCGACTCTGTTGGTATCACTCGCGACAGAACTTACGAGGTGGAGTTTGGTAAAATTGATACTGATGAGACGGAGCTAGTTTATATGAAGGATCTGAATCAAGATCTTGCAAGTACAAAGTACAACGTTTAACGCCAAGATTTTATCAAATATGACTTTTTGATAGATTAATAAACTGTCAATACATGAGAGAATTTGATGTTGGTCCGTTTAGTAGTGTATTAATGGATTGCAGCTCAGGGGCTATTGGTAGATATTATCTGGGTTTGTTAAAGTCCTGGTGTCATTTGTAATTGAATGTCCTCAATATGCTCTATGCTATTTCTGGACAGCTGACGGTCAAGCGAGGACCCCCGTTGTTGGTGGAGCCCGACACCAAAGCCGTAACTACCATTTCCGAACGCATGTCACCCGACACGTATAGACGCACTATGCCATACAAGTACCTTAGCCGAGAGCCTAGTTTAGGGCCAAAGGGAGATCAATTACAGAGGAACACGTACCGTACACAGCCACATAAGCACATGTGGGGGGGGCTTGAAACCACAATAACTACTTTCCCATGCCCTCGTCAGGCTGAATCCTACAGCATGCATTTCTTTATCGAAGAATTTTTTCTTTTTCTTTCAAACCAGCATCACTATGTCGGGCATAGAAGCAATCGGACTGATATCAGGAGTATTGACCATTCTTGACACTATCAATAAACTTCGGCAAACGATCGAAGATGTACATGGTCTCAACCCGATGCTGCGACAAGCAGCTGACCGCCTTCCTCTTATCGATGAGATCTTGAAGACCATCAAAGCTTCGATCGATAGGGATGGTACCGATGACATCGCTTGCTCTTCAATGCAACCAGTCTTGCAGAGCTGTTCAAACAAAGCGCATTCATTAAAGGACATCTTGCAGACTGTTGCAGTGGGTGTGAATGGATACACACCCACAAGCCGGAGATATGTCTCCGCCATTCGCGGGCTCAGAAAGAGGCAGCAAGCTGAAGACCTCATGGAGGGGATGTTGAACGATGTGTACCTGTTGATTGGTAACAATATGCTGCGAAAGTCGATGGAACCCCGGAAAGAAGAGGAAATGGCTTCCAGGCCATCCTGCGCCGGCATGAATGTCTGCCCATCTGAAAAATCGAACGTTGGGAATTTCGAGAATCAATTCAACAATTTCAATGGCACACAAACAAACAACTTCTATGGAAAACAATACATTGCGGAAACAATGAATTTTTATTAGGACGGGAGGCCCTAGATATCGAACCTGTAAAAGAGCGAAATACATAATTCATCTATTATTAAAGACGATGTCGTTGTTCGCATTGTACTGTTGACCAGATCCTGTGTGATTGTTTTGAGAACCGTACCAGTTGTTAAATTGATTGCCACTACCAAGCCTCAGATTCTGGAATGATTCGTGGGGATGAACCGACAATTCCACCTTCTTCAACCGATCGATGGTAGTCTCCAATCCCTGCACCAATGTTCGTGATTCCGAGTTACTGGGCAGGGTTGTGATCGCTGTGAGGGCGTTGGCCAGTAATTTGAGAGCCACGATCTCTACCGGCTCTTTGCCCTGTACCTGAACCAGTCTCTTGTAGTCTTCAAGTCGAGAGGTTCCTTGTCGTATAGCCAGCATGCTGATTGTCTCTAGGAGGGTGCAAGAATTCTGGCGACAATGCGAAATTGTTGTATCTAAACCTGACGTTGTACTGTCGTTGTTCGGTTCGTCGGATAGGTCTCTTAGCAATTCAAGAGCCTGGAGAGCCAGACCCGATGCTTGCGCCGCCTCGTGAAAAGCAGCGGGAAGGCTCTGGTCGTCTTTGATATAGGTATAGCTCATTTCTGTCTTGCGTAGGGACTCGGTCGCAACGGTCAGGCTATTTGCGGAAGCCATATCGAGCTCCAGACTTTTCTGAGAAAAAAGGTAAAATGTGGAGTAAGTTCAGGAAATGCTCAGGTATTCGTTTTCCTAATACTCACTCATTAGGCTCTGGCGGCGACGTGGCACCGCACAATTTGTCAAGCCATTATTCTATTTATAGCAAGGCTGACAGTTGCCTGTCAATTCTAGGTTCGCCTCATTTTCCTCCCCGCCACGAGCCAAACCTGATTGTCGCTGCATGTTTGCAATCTATTCTTCTATCCTTTGCCAATATCCATAGTACACCTGATTTGTGGGGATCTTTCCTCTAACCCCCGTAAACAAAATGCTACAGAGGCTTCTTCAGTTCTTGGATGGTACCGATCCCACAGCAGGAAACGAGCCTGTGCCTGATTCCCCAGCGTCAGACCACGCTCCGAGGGATTCTTTCCATGCTTACGGAGAGAACTCGTCTCAGAATAACAACAGTGGCTCGGGTTCGCAAACGAACATCAATCATTTGCACATAAACAGCTCAACAAAATCTCACAGCTTCAAGGTAGACCTCATGAAGGCCTTGAAAGTCGTCAACTATCGAGATGGAAAAGACCGTTATCCCTCAAGAGCCACCGGTACATGTCAGTGGGTAACACGCGATCCAATGTTCATCAATTGGGACCTATCAGCAAAATCTGGTTTATTGTCTATAACAGCGGACCCTGGTTGCGGGAAATCTGTGCTTGCCAAATACCTGTTGGAGGAGGAGCTGACTGCAAGGCATAGTGGAGAAAATCGGATCGTCTGCTATTTTTTCTCTATGGATACCCCCGAAAGCATGGACCGGGGGGCATGTGCTATTCGATGCATACTACATCAAGTATTCTTGGAAAGACCGGACTTGATTAGTCCCGATCTTCTGAAACGACTCCAAACGAAAGGCGAGAAATTTCTTGAATCAATCAACGACTTGTGGAAAATCCTGATTAATGCTGCCCGGGCTTGCAGGATTGTGTGTGTTGTAGATGCACTGGATGAATTTCCAAACTTTGGAGCCTCGCTTTGCCACAGGCTTCGAGAGCTTCAACATTTGCCAGAAGGCATATCGCTCAAATTCCTTGCGACTCATAGACCCTACTTGAACATCTACGAAGCTCTGGGGCCACGGAGAGAATACACACAAATGATGTTAAGCGAGGACGCCCCTGCGATGAGGAGACATTTTCAACAAGACGTTGACACCTTTATTAACGAAAGGCTTGAGCAGATTGCCAGACGTGGAGGCATCGAAGAAGGCGGAATCGAGATTCTGCGGCAAGGAGTTACAAGAAATGCAAACAGAACGTATCTATGGGTGCATCTGGTCTTGGGCTGGATCGAAACGATGCAGAACTTGGACCAACGCAAGATACGCAGATTGATGTGTATGCTTCCATGGACCCTGGAAGAAGCATATCAAGAGATCCTTCAACGAAGTGACGAACGTCCAGGCAAACGGCGCTCATCGACACGTGACATACTGATGATAGTCCTGGCTGCCCAGAGGACGTTGACCTTGAGGGAGATGTTGGTGCTGTGCAATATTCATTCCAAGTGTCAAGGTATGGATATGTCCGACTTGGGCCAGGAGGACTTCAAGCGAGAACTAAAGGACAGGGCCGCGCTTTTTATTTCCTTCGTCGATGGCAAGATATACCTTCTTCACCAGACCGCTAAGGAGTTCCTAATGGAGAGCAACCCTGATGTCACAAGTTATCAGGGTGACGCCATGCAGAGGACCTTTCAATGGAAACGATCTATGCGAATGGACGACTGTCACGGACTTCTAGCTAGCCTCTGCATGAGATATCAGGCGCTTGGAGAGTTCAGAGTGAAAGCTTCTGAGGCAAAAGCGCTCTCACAAGCTTATGCTCGAGAGCACGATCTTTTCGAGTACGCAGCAGTTTACTGGCCTAGCCATTACCGTGACTCGTCAGATCACGTGCAATCTAGGCTACAGGATAGAGCCGAACATCTCTGCTCGCATGTCGGGGGAAAGCTCTCTACCTGGTTTTATGTCTACTGGCATATATGGGAGTCAAAAGACCCCGTTTCAGCCATTCAAGCGACTGGTTTCACTCCCCTAATAGCAATGTGCTATCTAGGACTTGACCGTCTGGTTGAGAGTCATTTGAGGAAAGCCAAGTACAGCCTCTCTACGCGGGACCGAGTTTATAAACGCACTGCCCTCACTTGGGCATCCAGGAGTGGGTTTGACCAAGTTGTCAAGTTGTTACTCGAAGCGAGAGGGTCTAGATGGCTCGGCGCCAGGGTTAAACTAAATTCTCGAGATCGCCATTGCTGGACAGCCTTAAGTCACGCTGTTTACCGGGGTCATCACAACGCCATAGAACGACTTCTTCAAGCTGGCGCCCGTCAGAATATTACTGATCGGACCGGCCTTTCAATCAAGCAACTTGCTCAGGACGACAAAGCAACACTGGAACTCTTAAATGCCTATCAAACAAAGAGGCGTAAGTGGAAGGACTGGTTCCGCATTATAAGCCATTATGTTGGGCTGTTTCTTTTTCTCTCTGCGAAAATTTTTGTAGAAGTCGTGATGCTCCCGGTTATGATTGTAGTGACATTTACTGGGGCTATTGCCCGGCAGCAGCGTCTCACAATGGTCGATAACATTTTTTCAGGTTATGGGACTTTCTCACAACAACAACACATGGTGTAGATGGAAGAGAAATTCGCGTTTTTTCAATCAACGAGTCATTTTAATGCGGCCCAGTATCTTTTCGAGCTCGAATGAAGATGTCTGTAGATAGCTCAATTCTTTTATGGCTTTGGTCGATAGCTACCAAGAATTAACGTCAAATGCGTGCGTCTACTAGCATTGTAGGGAAACGAAAATAGCTCTGATATGGTCATGAACGATTGACACTGAATCGATGCAACTTATGATAGATGTATAAAACTCATGCTACCCTGAACTATAAGAACATATCCCATTTTTCACGCCCTGTAAGCTACAGCTGAGAGCGCTCCTGGGACTGAACTAATAGAAGCGAGCGTTAGCAGAGAGCTTCAAATAGGTTATGCGAAGTAAGTGAAAGGTTCCAAGCGGGAAGAGGCTTGTGAAAGTTGGACATCGAAATCTTACCGTTGGTAAAGTGGGAACCAACACCAACCAACGTTTCATTTTGTCGGATTTTCTCTTCGCGCTTAGTCTTGCCGGCAGGGTAGTAATATCCGGCCGGGGCATGGAACGAAGTATCAGTTTGCTTGTTGGAAGGTACCTCCGTCGAGCCATAGGTTGCTTTGGTGCTTGAAACATCAGATGCTACCCTGTGTGGAAAACCATGATTAGTACAGCGTGTGATGTGAGGATAGGATGTGCAAAACTTACGTCTTTGAAGGCATGACTGTGATATGCTAAGTGGCTAGGAGGTTGAGATTATGCGGTCTTGCTGAGTTTGGAGATAGAGATAGAGATTGAGATGGGAAAAGAGAAGGCCTGGTCAGATCAACGTCGTCTTTTTATAAGTCGTCTGATCCAGCGTAGGCGTATGATCCCCAGCCAAAAAACATGTCTACTTGCTCTCCCGGAAAGAAATGGCTTGCTTGTTGATGCGGACAACACGTTGGACCCCTGTTTTGATCCGTCGTCTTTCATTCTCGACTTCATCCATGTACCACAATGACAAGTGTCTGTTTATATTGAACACAGCTCTCATTGGTCACTGACGATTTGTCCAGCGGCCCATCCCTGCCGATGACGAGGATTAAACTTTCTAGGTTTACGGACATCGGAAATGAAACTGCGATAGCGCGGATGTTAAGTGTGCCTAGACTTGAAGTCGACACTTCACCTCTTTCTGATAGAAGGCTTAATGTGAATTCGACACGGCGATTGGTTAGCGACGTTATGTCATTGGGTCTGATAGGTCCATGACGATTTGTAGCCCCTCCTCAAGTACCTTGACCATAGTCTGTCATGGACCATTAACGACGGGACATAAGCCCCTTATCCTCCTAATGCCTGCCTCACATGCAACTCACATCCGCTTACGCAGGCACACTGCTCGAAGAGTCCCAGAACCGGGCAGGTTTGGTTCAGGCGCATCGCAACGCCGCTGACTCTGATGAGTGGTCAGAGGATTGGCTGTTGGCTCTGTCGACGAGCTTGATAGGTCAGTGACGTTTTGTGACCCCACTGAAAATTGTCATCAGCCCCCTGACCGAGCCTCAACTATGAGCGGTCAGTGTGATTGAGGAGTTCCAGAATTCCAATGGTCTTAGTTGTGCAACTACTATTGGACAGTGACGATTTGGAAGCCCACTTTAGAGTGATGCGTCAGTCGGAACCAAGTTACACAGAAATCTGCCTTGTTGGTGGTTCGCAAAGGGACGTTTCTTTTGCAGCCTGACTTTTGGGCATTTAAGAAACAGTAATAGCGGCGCCGGTTCTCACTCAATCCAATCTCTCACCACCCTCACTTCTCTGGATTCTCAACGTCGGCATCAATTCATTCTTTTATCATTACACCAGCGGCGATGTCCCAATTACCAGCAGAGCTGTGCAATATTCCACTGGAACTATTACCACAGGCAGGTGACAATCAGTACCTCCGTCTCTGCCAAGATGAACAGTGGGAGCACCTCAAACCAGTGATCATCGAGTTGTATACTGGTAATTATGGGACGAACAACAAACCACTCAAGATCACGCAGGTTGTCTCTTTCATGAAGAAGTACTATCACTTCCAGGCAGCGTAAGTGTAAACATCTTTGTTAACCCTGAGACACTGTCGTTTTCTGTCAATATATGATCCGCGGAGATAGTCCGTCGCCAACGTTTACTGATCCTCTTCTGATTAGACAAAACACATATCCCCACAAATTCCGAGAATGGGGAGTGAGCGACCGCCGTCTGACCAAAGCCATGGTTAACGAGATCGCTGCTGCTCTTGGAAGACGCTCTGCCGCCAGAATGAGTACGTCGAGAATTACACTTAAGCGAGGACCCCACGAGGAGAAGCTCGACATTAAACGAGTCAAAAGGCATCTTGGTGATAGCTCTTCTTCTGCACGACCCGAGACCATACAGTCGGGATGGTATGTTCTATGTGACTTATCATAGTTCATCCTAGTAACCCTTCCCACTCAAGCTATCATCCTAGCCTCTGCCATACGCTGCGTTCGTTTCGGCACTGCCGAAGATCCCGGAGGCCGCCTCCCCATACGGGACACAGGCGGCAACGCCTGGCTACTTGATGATCAACGACTCTGATGCAACATCCCCCCAAGGTGAAGGTGTAGGCCCGTCTCCAAATATGCAACTTCTTCTACAGAAAGCGAGAGACGACCGAACAAGTCTGTTTCTCCAGGGGCGTTTGAAAGATCTTATTGTTAGCATGAGCCAAGATGATCGAAGGTAAGTCTATACCACCATCCTTCCATTAACCCCTATGAAAAAAGGCTAACCGCTCAATACTTTAGGATCTGTGTTGACTACTTTCATGAGTTCTATATGCACGGCTTCGTTACTGCGAAGAATTGGGGATCTCCACCGTCGATCGTTGACATCCCCACCCCACCTGCCTTCACACCATCGGCTTTCCTCCAATATCCATCAAGTCCATTACTATCCGATTCTCCATCTCGACCGAAACCTATAAACCCTCCAACTTCCCTTTGCCAGTGGTGCATCCACGTGAAGGAAGTTGGATACGAAGCTCTTCCAGATCAGTCATCTGATACAAATAGGACACCTACTCCATTTGCAGACTCTCTCCAAACAGCTATAGCGACTGGCGAGTTTACGGAGCTTCGAAATGACAACTTGCCTCTTTCACACGAGACTATCGTCAAGTCTCTAACCGAGAATCCGATTACTTTGCAAGTAGATGCCTGGAAATTGGCTATTATGGCCGGCAACACCGATTTGCTAAATGACTTAAGCAACGAATATGACGAAGAGGAGGACTTTCCCGACGCGCTTATGACAGTTTATCCTTACCACCTTGCAGCCTCGTTTCTCAATGGAGGTGGATCTTGTTGCACAGTCTTCGGCACTTTGGCTGCAGAATGCCCGCGCACACTTCTGCTTCGACATTATGTCAACGAGTTGGGACATACCATTCTCGATTCGTTACTAGTTTCCGTTCTACGCTCACACACAAGTGTACGTCCGGAGACAGTGAGTCACGAGTTTGGTGCATTTTCCAGATTTCCAGGAGAGGAGAAAGACATATGTGGCAGGTGGGATGTCGATAGTCCTGAAGTACGTGAGTTGTTTGCACAAGGCTATGCTCGGATACCCACTAAATGGAAGCATCCATTTTGCCATTCTGCTGTGCAAGCAGTATGTCACAGCGCTATGGTGGTACTGGGGCCTCGGGCAACTCCCGACATAGACTGCCCGAGTGGTCTGTTCCTACGTCGCTGCACAGAGTGCGGTATGGAACTGAAATTGGGTCCACTCCATGCGGTCGTTGTCACGGCGTTCTTTCTAGCCCAGTCAGGAATGCAAGGGGAGACTCTATTCGGACCACTAGCAATCCTAGTATGTCTTTTGAATATGGGCGCTGATGTCATGATTTCGGCGAACGTATCAGTTGAAGAGATAATAGGGTTCTCTGGAATAGGACACTGTCGGCACAGGCTTTTGACAGCATCTGAAATGATGCGGTCCGTCCCGGACAGCGTGGTTGAAAAGTGGAGCGATGCTTGCCAGGCAGGCTGGGACTCTTTGCTGCATACGCTTATAAAGGGCGAGACCCTTTCCTATGATCATGATGATCGCACTCAACTGCAATCAGAAGCCGATGGTGACGATTCTGATGATGAGTCAGGACCCATCCAATGGTTTCACGAGGATACGAAGATCAAGTGCACCAACAAAAAGATCGGACTTCTGTGGGCAACAATACACACAGAGTTTCTAACTTATCGCCGCACGAAGGTTGGTGATCCCTGGATCTCTGACAACTTTCAGATGAGTGCATTGCGTGCATGGCTCCGGGATGAGGCTGAAAACTTCGACACACCGCTAGTAAGTAAAGACATGGTGAATGTCCATTCAAAATGTGGCTGGTTTCTAGACGAAGACGACCTTCCAGATGTTTATGCAACAGCGTCGGATGTCTGCGCAGAGTGGTTCGCCAACATGGACGATTTTAAAAGGGCAACGTTTGTCCATGCACCGGATCTACAATCGTTGTGGTTCTACGATTAGCCATCTAGATTGGAATCTTGTATGTAGTGTCACATGGATAGCTTAGTTAGGTTAGAACACATCTAGATAGTTGTGGTCCAGATGAATTATTCAAAAAGAAAGTCGTGGTTGACTTCCTCCTAACTTGAAGAACCCCTCATCAGATACAAGGTCTTGTATGTATTAACCTACATACGTCACTTGTTAAGAGTCCTACCATCAAACGGCGATTTCTTGTCTTAGCTACCCCGCACCCAGTGCTGACCACTTGTTTACAGGGAACTTGGAAGCGCGCCATTTGGCTAAGGTAATTAAAGTATGCAGGGATTAGATATCGCGCACTACAAATAAACGTCAGCCTCGCCACCAACTTTTACTGTGAGACACCAACACGCACCGTCACTATGCGTCTCGTTAACACGAAAACCATCGACCTTGAATTCTTCCCAGATGATATTGTTCCCGACTACGCGATTCTGTCCCATACATGGGAGCAAGAGGAAGTCCTGTTCCACGACATAGGGCACGATGCCGCCAAATTAAAGAAAGGCTACGCAAAACTCGAGAATTGCTGCCGTATGGCAAGAGACAATGGCTTCGAGTATATCTGGGATGATACTTGCTGCATCGACAAAGCAAGTAGTGCCGAACTTTCTGAAGCTATAAATTCGATGTATCGGTACTATCAAGAGGCCACCATCTGTTATGTATATCTTGCAGACGTCCCTCCGGAGTCCTCAGTGACGGAAATCGCGAACAGCCGCTGGTTCACGAGAGGGTGGACGCTACAGGAGTTGATCGCGCCGACTGAGATGATCTTCTTTGATAAAACATGGCATGAGCTTGGTACCAAAGCAAGCCTTGTGAATGTCTTGTCCGAGAGGACGAGCATCCCGGCCGCGATTCTGTCTGACAGTGAACAGTTGGAGAAGACGAGCATTGCGCAAAGGATGTCTTGGGCAGCTGATCGGGTAACAACAAGAAAAGAAGACAGCGCATATTCCCTGATGGGTATCTTCGGCATCAATATGCCACTCCTCTACGGCGAGGGCGACAAGGCCTTTTACAGACTTCAAGAAGAAATCATGCGATCCACCGATGATCATAGTCTTTTTGCTTGGAGGTCTGCCACGTCTCGAGGCGGCTTACTTGCTCCCGATCCAGCCGCCTTTAAGAATTCAGGCGATATCATTCCTTGGAACCCATTCGCCGCTTACAACAGTCCAATCACTATAACCAACAAAGGTGTTCATATGGAGGTCCCGTTTGTCGCTCAGGATGTGACTGGTCGAAGCCTGTGTGTTTTATGTTGCACGACAATCGGCACGAGGGACAAGGTCCTAGCGATCCATCTGAGAGATTTGTACCTGACAATGGAACACTTCGAAAGGGTCATTACTGATCAGCTTGAGTGGATCGGTCTCGATACTTTCAACCTTGTCCAATACCCCGTCAGGCCCCTCTGCGTTAGACTGCAGGCACAAGCATTGGTCCGCAAGCCCAGACAAGACAAAGAGGGAGATAAACCCCCACCATACACCATGGATCTCGCTAATACCCACCTGTCACTATCGGAAGCCGCGGCCTTGGGCGACGAAGGAAGAGTGTGGTTCCTTTTAGCTCAGATGCCGGTTGGGTTATCTGAAGCCGTGTTTAGTGAGGCCAGATTAGCTATCTCACGCGCCGCTCGAGAAGGACACGAACGCTTAGTCAGCCAGCTGATGACCAGGAGAGACACAGCAGATCTGCTTGTCGACGAACAAGGTCGAACGGCCCTGTCATATGCGGCAGAAGGTGGTCAGGAATCAGTCATCAGATCTATTCTATCCAGCGCTAGAATCAAGCCCGATGCTCGGGATATACATGGACTGACTGCCTTGTGGTATGCAGTTTCGAACGGACATAGCTCTTGTGCAAAGATGCTTCTGAAGACGGGTTTGGTCTCTGGTAATGTTGGTGGCGAAGGCGAGACGCAAAGTGCACTCTGGCTAGCCACAGTAGCTCATGACGTCGAGCTTGTCACTATGCTTATCCAGAGCAAAGCCCTCGTGGGCAATACAGCACGCGAGCCAGCCCTCTGTAAAGCTGTAGCCAACAAGGACGTCATCATAGCCAGAGCTCTCCTTCAAGGCGGTGCCGATCCTAATAGAAAGGATTCCAAAAGGTACACACCATTGCACATTGCATGCAGAGATTTGAATTACAGCATGATAGACCTTCTGATATCGTATGGGGCAGACCCAGACATCCGTGATCCTTCAGGCAAAACAGAACTAGCATTCGCGACATTGCGAGGAGATATTGAGCTAGTGAAATGCCTGCTTGAGAATGGCGCAAATCCAAAGACAAAGTGTACGAATGGAAAGACGCCGGCCTCTTATGCGCAGGGTCAGGAGATGAAGAGTCTTTTTGAGGGCCCGAGATGGTATAAAACGTTGCTTGATAGGACTTGTACAGATCGATCATCAATGGGCAGTCGTCGTGAGAACTGTTGATAATGTATTTATATACCTAAGCTAATTACCAATTCACTAGCATGTAATGACAGATATGTATCCAGAAGCATGCTATCAACTAATATGGAAACCAAATCTCAATAACCCAGTACCATGAAATCTTTACAAGTCATCATCTGAAAGCTCACCAGGTAGAGGATACATCTCGTGGCTGGCGTCAATACCAATAGCTATCTGATACTCTTCGATCCAACTTCGCCTACCCCAACTATTCGGTGGATCATCCGGTTGCCCAGTATAGCGTCTTGGATATCTTGGGACTTCTTGGAAGATGACAGTAACGCCAACTTGCTTGAACAATCCTGTCAATGTTGGATTACACACCTCGTAGGAATCACTTATAATTGTTCTCAATTGCGGAAATGATGTCGGCGTCGCCTCAAGGAGGCGCAACATGTCTTCGCACAGAGGGCCAGAGGATGCTGGGATAAGATGGTGTAGAAGTGTAAGCGACTCAATGCTCGGCGGTAGGATGTCGATAAGTGACCTAGGCTCGAATCCTGCCGGATGGCAGCCCCAGATAGTACAGGAGGGTAGAAGAATTGTCTTGAGTTGAGTGAATAACTTCAAGCTTGGCATTGGCTGTATCGTTTCGTTTGAAGGTTGGCACCGAAGGTCAAGCCGGATTGACTCCAGGCTATCATGAAACCGTGGCTGATCCAGATATCGAACGATCGTTGAGATTTCTGACTTTGTCACTGTATATGATAGTGTCTTCAACTGTCCCGTACATTTGAGAAGACAGGCTGTAGTAGGAAAATGTTTCCCTGAATGCGGAATGTGAAGATGCATGAGACTGGGCATTTCGGGAATAGGTCCATCCAGATCCCCGCCAATGATAAACGTCTCAAGACTTGTGGCACGGACCAGTAGCTTCTTCATCCCGTAGTCGCTTTCAAGTGTTTTCAGTCCCACGGTAGTTGTTCCAAGAACATCCAGAGTCGGGTCCGAAACATCGAGCCGCCAACCGCGACCTTCCCGAATGTTGGGACTTCTGAAATACTGAGCATCTTCCATGACACCTAGGTAAGATATGTTGGGCAGTAAAGCTAACATCATAGCGAAAAGCTCACTGGCCACCACGGGAAGCCATTGTCCCGGCCTTACGCCTCTCGGAACCGACCCTTGGAGGAGAAATGATTGTCGAATGGTGTTTGTTTGTGATTCTTGGTCGTTGCGGGTATTCAGAAATAAAGAGAATGCGCTAGTGCTAAGTGACTTGGCACAATGGTCAAATATGGCTTTGCCCCCATTGAAGCTCAATTGGTTAAGTGACCGCCAGTGTAAACCGACAATCTTGACTGACCCAGCTAGATCTGGGCGCGAAGCAACGGTGCGGAGAAATGGTTCCAGTCGCCATTTCCAACCATGACCTGAGGACAGAGGGTGAATGCTTTCCACGCCGAAATAATGAAACAAGACTTCTTGAGAATTGTCTCTCAAATGAGGAGAGGCTAGACAGAGGTTGTACAGGGTTGTGGTATCCTGTACTGAGGATTCGACCTTAAAAGGTTGATCATATTCACCACAGCAGTGAGAGCAAAATTGACGGGTGATAAGGCGTAGTACTTCGGGTGGTAGCTTCTGGAAGGGATCATATGCTGAATTGAGTGATGGCTGCTGGCTCATGGTGTCTGTTGGAGAAGCTTGCGAGAAATCGAGAAGAGACCTTGAAAGACGGGGCAGTCTAAACTAATAAGCATAAGCATAGAGGTAGATACGGTTGGTTGCTTGATTACTTCTGAAACTCTAGTGAGCGCATGGATCATGGAGCCACTAAGCCACCTATTTCGTCTCCACTATAATTCAGATTGCTTAGTGGCCAGGTCAATCATGCATTGATGAAATGATAGATCAAGCACTATTGGAGTGGAATGATTACCACCCCACGAACTTTCAAGAGGTCATCTATGCAATAACGATAGAATTAACTTGAAACTGAATATTGATGAACTAACAGAATTAGAGATATATCAAAGCTATCGCATTTGCTAATCATCTAAACACCACCTTCCAACAAAATTGGACACACCCAACATCCAAGAACCCCCAACATCGCTGCTGTTGCATACGAAGATCATTTAATATAAATCAACGATCCAGTTCAAAGAACGCATTATTTCACTCGCATCGGGTCAAAATATTCCGAAACATGAAGACACACCATTCACGGCCTTCTTCATCAAATTTTCCTTCTACTGTTAGCCCATTAGTGGAGACTGTTGGTTGTACAATACAAGCCTTACAATTTAAGACATGGATAAGTGGAATGCTGTTTCTTCGGGTGCAGGGTCTTGATCTGCGGACCAGTAACCGAAGGATCCACTGTGTTGGTTCCAGCACCTTAGCGGTGATGACCGAGACGCACGGATCGTTGTAGTACAGATTTTCGTGTTTCATTCAAATGATCGTCAGCCCAACAATGCGTTTAGCCTCTAGGGATGCTTCATATAGAACGAAGGTAAGCAGCGGTGTGCTTTTCGTTGTCTCATACGCTCTCTCAGCCATGACCGGATAGCTTGCAGGATCACGGACTTCGCAGTGTCCACACTCGACCAAATCTAGGAAGTGAACGAATTGATGTCGCAACTCAAAGTGAAGCACGCGTGGTGTTACATGAGTTTGTACGCTACGCTGGAACCAAATTCTCTCCCACGAGAATGACGAGCTTAGTGACTTAAATAAGTGTGAGTACATAAACCTCCACCAGGCTATAACTTACAAGGTAACGTGGATTCCCTCGATATTGTCCTATAAAGACGCAGTAGATAAGAAGTAATGCGTTGTTTACTGGCAACCCACGACTCGAAAATATGTCCGAGAGGACATTGTCTTCGATATTGATGACTTTAATCCTGCCCCGGCGCTCAAGAGTGTCAAGTTTTGTGAGTAGCTTTCTCTATCCAACTCCAATCTTTTCCACTTTCCCACCAACTCTACTGTTACGCAGTTCGGCCAACTTGCTTGTAGACGGTATGGCCGTTGTTGGCACTACTGCTCGCTAGAATAGCAATGATCCCAACTTTGGCAAACACTGAAAGAGCAAGAAAGGCGCTGCGTGGTCACAATGCAGTACTACACGTCAGTGGCACTCTACACAGCGGAAAGCTATGCATACTTTGCCATTCTTTTGTAAGTACTGGATCGAAGACGCACCACGATGTTGTTAATTCGGTTCACTCTTAGGTCCCTGAGTCAGTGGTACTTAACAGGTTGGTTGGCGAAGACACGTCCCCGTTAGGTGAAAGGGATGTATGCCAGACTTTGGAAAGGGTGGAAAGGTTGAAATACTTCCTTGTTGTGAAACAAACTCTTGTATCAGTAACCAACAGCTTCTAGGGTTGAAATTTATTATATGCAAGCTATTAGAAAGTTATTTGTATAGCCGCCTCGCTGGATTGCAAGGTTATGTAGAATGTGTAGACATGATATTACAAATGCTATATAAACCGGCAAAAGGTAAGGACTGTTGCTATATACTGTAACGCTAGGAAGTAAGGACTGTTTCTGCTATTGCCCTGGAATATAAATATCCACCTTTCTTCTCGATTTCCTAACACAAAACTGAGGTTGTACTAAAACGACTTCCGCCTGGTAGAGTACCAAGACCTGCGTTGACCATGGCTGTAACGATTCGCATGTGCTCTTCTTTTCCTTCCCACTGAACGTGACTTTGTAACATGCAACAATAATAGCCTCATTTTTAGCTGCCGAGGAGCCGATAAACGAGTGAATCTGAACTCTGACTCTGCTGTTGTTACTGCAATTGTTGTCGTCGCACCCAATGGATAGGCTCACTTCCCGAGCTTTGTCGAATAGCTTCATATAGTGATCACAGGAGCACAGACCCTTTCCGATGAGAGCTTCGTTGAGCTCGGGATGGGGCAAGGAGTTGGTTTCTATATTTTAGACTATGGCGATCGGGTCAGGAGGTAAAGGTGGAGCGACACCATCGTCAGGAGGTGGAACGAAAACGGGTGGATTGACGGGACCTTCAACAGGTGGAGCGCCATCATCGACAGGAGGTGGACCGACAATAGGTGGAGGGATAGAAGGTGTATCGAAAGCAGGTGGTGGATTGCCATTTGGATTGTCAGGATCTTGAACAGATCGAGCGACGGCAAGCGGCTGCGAAGCTACCGTGCTTGTCTGGCTCATAGCTGCAATAAGTAAAGAGAGATGGAAGAAGCGCATTTTCGCAACTGGCAAGTGAGTCTCGTAGAGTTGGTGCAGTCTTGTGATCAAACGAAAAGCAGAGTGAGTTGCTTTGGATATTAAAGTCTTCAGCGGACTTTGCTCCCTTTTTATATTCGTCCTCAGTAGATTTAAAACGGGTATTTGCCAAAGTCCCAATTCATAACAGTGAACAAATGACTAATCTATAACTATCTTAACTTTTAAAAGGCCTCTGCTATCGAGGTAGATAAAGTAACTGGCATACGTCTTTGCTAACTATCTCCTAAACATAAAGTCAGGCTGTTCCCTTGAACGCCTTGACATCGTATATTATATCTCCTTTGGGAAATATCTGTTATTCCTTGCGGTTCCTTTAGGGCATATCATTTACCTGCGCTAGCGTAAGCTTATTCCTTGGGTTGCATCATCAACCATTTTGGCAGCAACTGTCGTTTGTGACTAACGTACCATGCCACCTGCAACTCAGCCACACAGCTGAATCTAGAATGTGGACTATTAATAAAAGCCTTGGCCACACAATTCTACGCGCCATGTCCACACAAGGCAGACAAGCTCTCTAAAGTACCAAAGCTCGGCAAATAATTACGATTCGTCATATCGGTTTCCATTAGATTCAATGAGAGCAAAGCCAAGAAGGTCCTTGGTCTGGATAAATGCCATTCATCTATGCCTAACCTCCTGACTGCAAACGACTGACGATGTGTCTTTGGTTCAGTTGGCCTAGCTCTAATTTATTCCTGGAACGTTTCACGAGGCTCAATCTGGCACACGGCCCCTTGACTGTTCTCGTTCTTAATTAAACTTGCACTGAGCGCGCTTTACAAATGTCTCACGTTCAGACTGTCGAACATTGATCGAAATGGCGAATAATCGAAAACTATAGTTTCGCTGGGCATTCATTAACTACTGGGGCGGTTGTCCGAGAACACTCTATCGGCAGTCCTTGTTGAGAGTTTCTCAAACCTCGATCATCAATCAATCTACTTATTGTTCGTCAGACTTTCGATTTGTTGTCGCGAATATCGCTGCTAGTCCCATAAGTAGACTTCGGGTTGAACGTATGTACCCATAAAGTTTATTTTGAGTGGCGACTCTTAACAGTGAATAGAATGGAGAGTGACTAGAGCAGCCGATGAGGGGAACGCCACGCTTGGTTGAATCACTAAAACCCTTCCTTTGGAGATAGCGATAATATAGTACTAGAGTAAAGAGGATGACAAGCAATCTATCACTTTTTGGTAGATGCAATTGCTTCTCTATATACGTCGCTACTAACCTGAGAACAGTCCAGCGCCAGAGACTCCAAATCCCAAACTGGACCACATTGTGGCTAAAGGCTTCCGGGGCGCCGATTTGTATACTGTATTCGGGCAGATACGAACGTCATTTGGTCAAGTGAGGGGATACAGGTGGGTCTGACATAAGAAGCGAATGTAGTGGCAGGCGGTGAAGTGAGAATATAGTGGATAGGAGGATTCAGTGAATCCGCGGATGACATGAGACAAAAATGGCTACATTGTAACCCAGAGACGATAATTCAATAAATTAGCTTATGCAGTTAAACGTTTGAGCCGGAATAACAATCAATGAAATGCGGAAGGCACTGCTGTGTATTGTATTTATGTCCTCCTTCCTTCTCGTATATGCATGTGCATTCGATGCTGGGCCTCTCCCTGTCCTGTCGAGCATTGCCCTGTGAGGGTAGAACGTGCAGTTCAGTGACCCTATCACCTCAAGTAATGAGTTAGTTTGGACAAGGATATGAAGCAGAAAGTATCCGACTGGCCGAACTGCTGAGGGTTAATGAGTCCCGACACTCCGACAGCCCTGTGCTCTCAATCCCGTGGTGTCCGCCCATGCCGCGATCCGAAGCTGACCACATCATTGAGGCTTTGCTGTTACATGGAAACCCTCCATGCGCGACAACTAATCCGCGGATCCTCAATGTGAGGGCACCTTCCTACAACTGCCGTCTTACGTGAGATGGACCCCAGCTTCGTCAAGGGGATATCTGTTCCTGAACTCAATAACGCCAGTGATGCGTTTAGCAAGCCTGGACCACAAATAAAAAGTCTTATTTCTTCCAGAGGCACAGCTTCATCATCGCCAACACTAAGCCAGGAGAGATCTAGAGTGTGCCCATAAGTAGTTAGCACATGGAAACTTGTGCGGCGCGGGCCGCAGGGATATACCCCGAGGAATTATCCAGACAAATCAGCAGCCGTCAATGAGTCAATTGGTGGATCCTCTGTTCACTGCTCTAGAAACGGAGCTTCACGCCGTGGATACTGTCCGAAGCTCAACCCTTCGTGGAGAAAGAGATCGTCAAAGGCCCCCAAACAAAAGTACGACCTTGTCAGCCCTAGTGCTGTCTGTAAGATATAGTGGAGATGTCTTCCAACCTAACAGGGGCTGGCCCTATGAATGCCGGATTTAGACGCTAAGCCTTCGGACTTTTTGTGTCTGTGCGACGACCCGAGGCCGATTGAGCCTATCGTCTCAAATTCAGAGCGAAAAGTCCGAGCTGCTCGTGGACCAGGAGGTCAGGTGCGAATCCTCAAGGACTATTCAAGTTTGAAATTCTTGACAATAGTGAGCTCAGGCGAGGCGCTGCCAGCGCACATCGGGGGTGGCAAAGTATGGAGTTATACTTCGCAGGACCCTGGAATAATATGGTCCTTCCTTTTGTGATCTAGCCCGGCGTCAATTCACATGAAGAAGATGCAGCATCACGGACCTTTTACCCTCACCGGCAGAAGTTCACATGTGGATAATTGATTAAAAAGATTCCTTCGGGTCCGAGTTGGCGTTAAAGAATCCGAACTGCGGCGTATGATTGACTTGTTCGTTGAACTCTGTTCCATGTTTAGTCCTCGTTGAGTAACTGATGTTCCTATTTACAAAGGTGCTGAGGCAGATAGACATTTTCAGGCAATGATTCTCTTGTGGCAATGCATGAATACCTCTATGGCTATGCTCCGCAGTATCGACCTATAAGAGTCCTTTGTTCTGAAGTCCCTAGATCCTTTTACGGGGCTACCAATAAGACTCGCAGCTATCGTGAAACGCTTGAATCCTTCCTATGCTGTAAGAACAAGTCATCAAAGCATTGATAGCCGGTGAGAATAGATCTAGACCTATGCTAAGGACTTTCGAAGGATTCGAATGCAGGAGGCAAAGTGCAGACTACCTAGTCGGGACTCGAGCGATAGTCCGAGTATTCCGTTGCGAGTATCCTCTGGACGATCAAAGAAGAGCAGCACGAGCAGATTTATCGTTGGCTGAGATTCTATAAAAACTCCCAAAGATCCCCCTCAAGTTGATCCATCTCATCATTCACTCAACAGTCTATCCATTACTACTCAATCACTATCCGCAACTATGAAGGCCACATTCTTCGTTTCCCTTATCCTCTCTCTCGGCGTCGCTGCCACCCCCGCTGTCGACACTACCACCATTGAGGACGGTGGCTACACCTACACTGGTATCGACAAGGTGAGCGATTTCCTAAACTCTCTCTATTCGATCCCACTCTACCGTCTGCGTCAATTTGAAAGCTAACTAAGACTTCTAGCCCCTCCTTGCTCTCCGTGGTCTCGAAGCCCGATGCGACTGCTTCCCCTGCTACTCTCCTCACGCTGACTGCAGCCCCGGAAAGTGCCAGTGTGCTGGCAACTACGGTTGCTGGTCTTGCGGTGGCGGACGTATGCAGTGCCAGCCCGGCCCCGGCTCTGGACAGTGCTGGACCTAAGCTCTAGATGACTGGCTGAGCTGGAGGATATCACTGCACTCTTTTCGCTATTCTCCTGTACGAGATTGATGGGGATATTTCGATTCCTCGGTACATAGACGCTCGTTTATAAATTATATCAATTGCATTAACGAAACTAAAGTCTCATCCTCTGTATCCCGTAGAATCCTGGGCCAACCAAGGGACGAGGCCCTCTAGTCCAAGTCTTTGGACACCTTCTCAACCCAGGTGAAATGTGGATTAAATCCAACATGCAATGTAGTAGGCTGAAGTCTAGTCACGTTACGAAACATGACCTCCCGCTGAGGATACTCCGGCAGCGTGAATTTCTCGGGCTTACTAATTCCCTTGCCACCCTTGCCAAACTTTGACGCGACCTCGTAGATCTCGCAGTTCACAGTTACACGCCTGACCTTGGAGTGATCCTCCCACCAGAACTTCTCATCGTCCCTGACATTAGCTTTGGCGAGAAAGCCCTTCAGAACCGCATGGAGCAGAGGCTTCGTAGGGTCTTCACTGTCGTAAAGGTAAGACTTTGCCCAACTCTCTGTGCAAGAGAATTCGATAACCTCAAGGTTGGAGCCACGTGACACCGCCTCAGCCAGTCCATCCTGTTTTGTTGTGTTAGCAGAGTGTACATAACGTGTCTGAATATCTCTTTACCAAATCCTTTTCTTCCGGGGCGATATCGATCTCTTTTAGATGAGGGAGATTGTCAAGTAGGGTCGCAACGGTAGCTGGCTTCAGATATGGTAGTTGGTAGCCGGAAGTGACTCCTCCATACGATATACTGAGCTTTTCCAAATCTTGGTGTCTCAGGATAGCCTGAAGAAGGTGACTCGGAAGTTCTGGGTTTTCAGTGACTTCGAGTTTGTATTGACCATAATCGTCAAACTTAAGGGTCTTCAGAGTGTTGAACGAAGATAGGAATTCACATTTGGCGTCCGTAGTCTCTTGTTTCTGACTGTCGGATGTCCCCCATCCACGATCTCCCATGTCAAGATCCAAGCTCCGCAGGTGTACACCAGAACCTGAAGTTGCAGTCGAGAAGAGTCCGGTCAGTTCTCGGAACAGCACAGGCAAACCATCAGGCAAAGACTTGATAACCAGCTCTTGCAACCTAACAAAGTCAATCGCCTTCAGTAGCGCCTGGATGTGTTTTGGATCGAATTCGTAACCATAACTGGAAAGAGTGAGTGATTTAAGACATGGAAGGTAATGCTTCTGGTCTTTGGATTTTATGACTTGGTCCCATTTGTCGAAAAAGTCAAAACAGTCGCTGGAAACATCCAAGGTCTTGAGCTTGGATCTAGAATTCAGCAGGAGAGATCTGACGGTATCAGTCTGGTAACCAGCACTTATGACTAGATGTTGCAAGTTCTTGATTTTACGCAACGGGTGATAGTCAAGGTGTTCAATATCGAGAGACAACGCTTGTAGCTTTTTGTACCCAGCGAGAGATTGTGCCATTGACCTGGAGGTAATGGTTAGCGCTGGCTGAAAAGCTGAGCAAAAGCTCTTTGAGTGACAACTCACTCGGTGAGACATAGAGCCTCAAATACCTGAACATTTTTCATGTTTTTCATGGCCTCTTCGATGTAGCGATGCACGATATAATCATGCTTTCTGCCAGCCTTGACAACTCCCACAATAAGCTGCTGTACATACTCTGCACAAACAGGTGTTTCATCAGGCTTGAGGTCAGTCGGGTAAAGGTCTTTCTGGCCCCTGTAAGTGCCCTCTTTCTTCAGCTGCTTCCTTTGCTTTATGCTCAGGTGAGGCTCCAAGGTGCGAATAGCCTTTGCGATGTGGGCGTGAAACATTGCAGCAACGGAAATGCGCTCGTAGAGCACTGGGGCTGTGAGCGAGTAGTACGTTTTACATGTTTTACCGAGACGATTAAGAGTGGCCTTGTCTTTGATCTGGGTAATATTAATTACAGGTCAATTGACCTAAGGTAAGTGACTTACATTGTTAAAGACAATGGCAAACATTTCTGGAGACAAATTGGAGAGCCTGTCTATTTTCGGAATGTCGCGCGCTTGTGTTGTTGCCTTCCTTTTGCTCGCCGTAGATGCAGCCTTGATCGTTTTCTTCGCGACCTTCGCTTTTGGTCCCGAATCTGATACAGCAGCCTTTCGCTTGTTGTTCTGTTTTGGCTGTGGAGGTGATGGCGGCTGGTCCAATTCCGGTTCTGGCTCAATTGCAGCCGTAGCCTCTGTCTTGGCCAGCCTTGAACTTCTTCTTACAGACATCTTGTTGGCAACACGGAGTGAAGTTGTGGTGTGAAAGAATTAAATACAGATCTAGATTCTATGAAAAGGGGTTACAGGCAATATTATAGGAGATAAACTAGCCCAGGCACCAGCGCGCAGCCTGGACGTAAAATTCCAAGCTAGTGTTGTTTTCGGCGACCAAATTTACCAGTTCAAGGTGGAGTCAGTTCCTATTGAGATCTGGAGTAAAAATTTAGGCAGCCCCATCTAAGAATAGAATCCCACAAGGTCAGAATTGCAACGGTGGGACTGTCTTCGGGGACCTAGAGACACAGACGCGTCGCGACCAGGGGATCGCGTGAGGATACACGTGCCGATATTGCCGGAACTTGCTGACTCATGCTGTTGAGCCAATCATGAACAAGCAAAGAATTTCTAAGATAAAACCAAGCTTAAGCTTTTAACAACAATTTCACAGATAAGGTCTAAAGATCGGATGGAAATCGAATAAAATATTACAGTAGAAAATAAAGTAAGTATTTTTATTAGACCGAGTTTGCAAGGAATACAATTGCGGGATTCTCTGTCATTACAAATAAGAGTTTTGGTTAAGGGCTCGCCATTCACAATCGACAAATACCGCTGTTACATCAATTTCACTCTACTCACTACAGCTCAGCACATCGGAGTATCTTATTTCAAGTTCAACGCATAAAATAGTATTACTTCTCGAGACAGTATCTATTAATACATACACAGAGGGCTTCTGTGCTGTTGATATTGTCCCTAAAATCTTTAACTATAGGGTGAGCATAGTGCGATAGCACGGCCACACTGTGGCTGAAGATCCCGCAGCCACAACTTATGTCTTGTTACAACCGTGTCCCAAAACAGGTCAAGTCTCTTTTCATTGACGTCATCCAAATTCAGTTGGCTGCTGACCGTCTTCGATCACCAATGGAGAAAAGGTTCTTGAAACAATTCCTTCTGCTATCTTGTGATCTAGACTCCGTAATGAACGTAAGGAACCCATTGAGGCAACTTGACAACATCATCCTCGTCTTCTTCATCGTCCATCGCAACAATGTCACGAGGGTCCCTCTGTCCTTTTGCTCGACCTTCGATAGCCGACCTGGCCTTCCTCTTGCGACTCGAGGCTTGAGCTTGTGCGTCATACCACTCCTCTCGCACGACTAGTATCGCCTTGTGTAAGCCCTTACAAACAGACTCATCAGCCCCCTCCCCACGCTGTATGGCTTTATAGGTTATCCTCGCAACATCAACACTGACGTCATCTCCAACCTCCCAAAGGGTCCCGATTACATGACGGAACCCAGCGACTTGAAACGCACTGATAAGGTGAATGCTCTCTCATCGAGGAATTTCTCGTGTGCAATCTGGCCGGTGCCGCAAGCAGAGAGGTATGCTAAAAATGGCGAGTATTGCTGGATGTTGATGTCCAGAAGAGTCGACACTGTAAGTGGGTCTTTCTGCCAATCTTGTAGCAACAAGGTGTTTTGAGATGGATCAGGTCCGTTGGTACTACCGTGACCAGCGAAGTGGAAGACCTTACACTGCGGCAACTCGGCAACCACCGCCTCTTTGACAGGCTTCGGTTCAACCACATCAAATCCCTTAGACTCGCAGATAGGTCGCAGCAGTGTAACTTCATTCCCTGCTGATGGCAATGTACTATTTCCAGGTGTTCGGCCCATCGATACCAGCACTGCGCGTTCAAGCCCTGATGGATCACGGTCTAGACCCGCTCGGCTTCGACTTCGTATGATCGCCTTGACGGATGAACTGTAGGATGACATGGCTCGATCCATAATAGTCTCCGAAGACCCTTTGTAGTGTCTTCCAGCTGCATGGAGAGGGTAGATACTCAGTATACCAGTCGGTGTCCACCAAACCCTTGGCAGAGATCCTTCAGTCGAGCCTCCTTCAATCTCTAGTGCATTCAGTACAGGTTCCGCGATGGTATCCCAAAGCCACTCTAGTACCTTGGGACTCGCCGTGTGGATCTCTTGGCTGTTGGACTTGAGATCTTGGATGGTGAGCTGAGGCAATGGAATGCTTCGAATTTGATCTCGCTCCACAAGAATAGCGTCTCGACGGAGTTGACTGATGTTGATGACAACGATCGGACCACAGGAAGCAGCATTCTTGACATTGCTCTCACTTGGCGCTGTCAGAAAATCCTCGAACCCAGGATTATGACGGATTTCGCCGAGCAGCGCGTCAACATCGTGGGTTTGAGTGCCTGCTTGTGGGTCAGTTGCTGACGTTGTGGGCTTTTGGTGTTTGGGCGATAGATCAGTCAAGTTGGTGACAGTCTTCGAGCCTTCAATATGACTTCGAAGTTCAGTGAAGCGCCTTGCAAGGTCGGGATGTTCTTTCTGAAGGCGTCCAACCTCAATACGTGTTTCTTCAACCGATGCCGCCAACATACCACGACCCTGCTCCAGAAACCTCAACGCAGCAAATGCTCCCTTACCCGCAGATATAGCGACGGCTGCTGCATCAGAAGCCACTCCATAAATCTGAACCAGAACATCTTGCTTATCAGCGTTATTTGTGGTTGATGCGATGAGCTGGGGAATAAGGCTAATAGCCATCTCCGCTGCTTCATATGCTTTCTCCCAATCGGGCACAGCCGCGTAATATCTGAACAGCTCTTTCGCTGCACCTATCCGGCGATCCTCATGGCAATTGTAGCTGTGCAATACTGACTCGAAGTGATCAATGGCCGATGTAAGATACTCCCGCTCATTTGTCTTCCAGTACAGATCTCCGTATCGTATACCTTGGGCCACTAAACGGTTGGCTTGCTCTGGGTGGCCTTTCTGTGTTGCCTCAAGTACGACCTTACCATGGCTAATAGCCTCATGCATGTGGCTATCGACTCCCGTCTTCCTCGACATATCGCGCAGCTGCATTGCCAGAGTGTTGAGATACGCAGCTCTGTTCAAATGCTCTTTCGGCGTCAGCTCAACAGCCTTTTGTGCATTTTTCAGAACTTCTTCAAGATCTTCCATTCTGTCCATTGCGGAAAACTTCGTCCAGAGAAGAGCAGCAAGGTTATGAACAGTGGCTGCCAAGTCGGAATGGTGCTTTGGAACTGTTCGCACAGCTTCTCTTTGCATAGATATAGCCTCATCCAGAACCTTGACATTGTCAGTTCGGAAATATTCATGCTTCAGAGTGATCGCGAGGTTGGAGAAACATCGTTGCTGATCGTCATTGGGTACGATGTCGCAAGCCTTTCGGCAAACCTCTATTGCCGTCTTCAAATCAGTGATAGTTCCGTTCTTTCTGTACCTTCGACTGAGCTGGATGCCCAGATTGGTGAGACATCTTGGCCTATCAAAAAAGACCTCGTCATCCTGAACACGGTCGCACACCTTTTGCAGTGTTTGGATGGATTCATCGAGATCAGACACGTTTCCCGTCTTGAGGTATCAATCCCCAATAAATCTCCCGTAGTTACTCAGCTGGGCCATCTGCTCCAAGCTTCCTTCTTCCGTGATATCAATAGCCTGCCTCACGATTTCGATAGCTTCATCCAGGTCTTTCATATCTCCCAGTACATCGAATCTGTCGCTCAGGGTGATGGAAAGGTTGCCCAGTCGTCCGAGGAAATGTGGAGAGTCCTCCTCCGTTTGTGCCAAGACCTGGCCGCAAATATCCACAGCTTCGTCCAGGTTTTCTCGTTTTCCAAGGGCTTGATATCGGGCGGTAATGGGAGCAGCCAGGTTAGCAAAAAAGGTGAGGTATTTGGGATGATTGACTGGTGTCACATCTATAGCCTCGCGCTGGGTCTTTATGTTCTCTTCGATCACGCCGACGTCTCTTGTCTGCTTGAACAACAGCCCAAGCTTTGTGGCCAATTGGTCGAGTAAGGTTCCTCGATGTGGATAAGTGTCAGGCAGAGAAGCAATCGCGTTCCTTGAAGCTTGGATAGAATCTCCAAGACCTTGAACATTTGTTGAATCGCTGCCCGGGAACTTGTCATGCCAATAGACAGAAAGATTGATTATTCGCGCCGTTCGATTTGGGTGGTCTTTTGGTGTCAGTCTGATAGCGTCGGTAGCCATTCTAATGGCTTTGTCAAGGTCGGCCATGTGGTGGAGTCTTCTGTACCGAGTGAAGTGACGATGAGCGACTTTGAACATCTGGTTTGGTAGTTCAGCATCGCCATCCTGAATCTTATCCAGGATGGCCTGTTCGATTGCGATTTCCTCTGGGTCTGACATGATATGATACGAGTAGATATGGTTTGAGTTCAAAAATTCAGAAATAATTTGCAGACCTCGCACTGCCTAATTGCTACCCCACTTAACTTCATGCAGGTAAGTCGAAGGTGCATTAGTGGCCCGTTATTCAGGCCAATAGCTCCCTCGCTTGTCGTAGTCCTTACAGAAGTCCCTCCAAGGACTTGGAGGTTCTCACAGACAGCAGTGAAATGACAGTTCGTGTGATCAAAAGGGGTTTTATTTGGTACGCAGTGTTGGACATCTTATCACCAGATGTGTTATTAGCAAATGCTGAATAGCTGATATCGCATAAATCTTCCTTACCATTACCCCACAGCTTCGCATGAATGCCAATATTGTGGTCGGGCATATGGTCGAGTCACTAACATAGTCGAGCAATAGACTTTAACCCGGGCAATTGAGAAGAAAGTTCATTTAAAATAACCTCGCAATTCGCGAGGGGGTCCGTTCCCTGTGGAATGTGCCCTCCCCGATTCACTATGTAAGCCAGGAACCCATACAGAAAGAGGTCTTTCATTCTTTGTAACCATGGCCTGCACTCTAAGACATCGGCCGAGCACAGTCTTTGTCGTCTTTGTTGCCAACAAGATATGGCGGTATAGCCAACCAGCCAATCAGGGCACATGTCACATCGCTGCTGACACACTGGGACCTGAGGCACGCTACGTCTCTTTGTTAGCCATAGGCCTTTATTAAAGTCCAGCGCGGCCGCCCTCAGAGGGAAATTAGGTTCTGGCTACACATCCCCATCCATGACCATCAACAACAGAAAACACAATGAATTATGACAGTCATGTAGCAGACGAGAGCGCCGCCCTTGCCAGATCATACCAAACTGTCGAAGCCAGTGGTAGCTCGGATGTGGCATGGAACGACTTAGCGTACCAGCCCAGGTGCACTATCTACGAGCTGTTTGAGGTTCACAGGCGCTTCGTAAACCGTTACCTCAACCAGTACTTTGATTGTCTCGATCGGCTTCCAACCTCCAATACTGAACTCAACGAGAATGGCATATCTCAAGGTACGTACAATCAGGATAGCTATTGCCCGAACTCTTGTTAACTTCCTTCCAGAGCTTTCTACCCGTAAGGGCTTGAAAGCAGAAAGCAATATGTCGCTCTTGAAAATTTCACAAGCCACCGCGGTCCACGACCTGAAAATGCTAGTCGAGATTCTTGACATGATCAAAGAGCAAGAAAGGCATCAAAAGACAACCAATTCTCCAGCCCTGGCCGCATGGTAAGGTCACTTCGAGCCTTGTACTGCACTTAGCTAACTTCTTTCCTAGGACGGTCGCGTGCTCCATCCTTGCCCTTGTGACCCCTCACAAGGTATCATCCTCTGCTTTCCAAATTGGCGCGCTTGCTGGCGCGCTACTCTTTACTGTTCGTCTGCTGTGGAAGCCGTCTTCATTGGAATCGTTAGATCCCGTTCAGCATAAGCTTCAAGCGCTGTTGCGATCATTCGAGGGGGGAACAATGAAACATCACGATCGGAGGGAAGTTTTGATCGCGGAATTAAATCGTAAGATGTATTAGGCTTCGAAATGAGTAGTGGCCAGGTGTCACCGGAGGTCAAATGTTTAGTCGCAGAATGCTAGTTCTGGGATATTGTTATTTTAAGATTTACTGACACATGTTGAGATTAAGTGCCTGCAATGCGCCCTGTATAAACAACAATTTTAAGATCTTAATTATCCGATCTCCGCACCTGGAAGCTCCGCTATTCATGACAGGCCTGCACTTACGTATTGATTGACCTATAACTTCATACAGCTCTTGTCACTACCTGCTATCGTCGTGTGGTAGCATTTACTGTCCTTTAGTAGAATCTAGAGTAAATATACTTACCTACTTATTACATGGAAAAGGGAAGCTATTATGAATAAGGTTATTAAATGTTATTTTCTGCCTTTATCTTAACCTGAACCCTGCTTAATATGTTATAATATTCTCATATTGTCATTCCAGGAGCTAGTTCTGTACCAATCCTCGGAGGCTGTCATGATACCTATGCGCTCAAAGGTCGTTCTATCGCCTTGCCGTGCCTGCAATATGAGACCCCATGCCCTTGTTTTTGAGTAAATTTCCGAGATTCCTAATTGTAAGCAGGTTATCGCTAGGCCTGGGCGTCGGATGTTGTGATCTGATTTGCTGTCAACGCTAAGAAGAAGATTCATGTCCTTGTCACATTCTAATCCAGTGAACAACGTCCACTGGACTAGGCTTTGCTGTTCGGGAAGTTTGAAAGCGGAGAGGACCCCATTTACAGCGTATCCTGCTATAACCAACTCATAATCGCAAAATGGGACGGCGGGGTCAATGTCCCGTGAGGGGGGTGGTGCCTTCACAATTGAAGCTCTTGAGACAAATGAAGATGATGGGGGTGGCCTCTGATACAGCCAAGATCCTTCAATCGATGCCCATGACCAGCTTGGGAATCGACTATTGCGGGAGGGACTGTCTCCCAAGTTTGACCACAATAAAGAGTTCTCCAACGTAGACGACCAATGTCCGAGAACATAACTGCCCAGCATCGAGATATTTTCTTTCTGACTGTTGCCAACCTGTTCCGCGAGTCCCATCATTGCTTTCAACTTATCGTTCTCAAAGGTCAAGCAGCGAATGAGATACATCTCAATGAGATCGTGCCAGTATTCTCCAAGATCGCCACCGAGTAACACTGTGGAGTGCAACGTACGAAATGATTGAACCGATGATTCTGGTGTGCCCCAAAATATTTCAGGTGAGAGACAGCATTCGCACCACAAATCAGAGGCACATTCCCATACAAGCTCCTCTGGTCCGAGATGCAATGTTCTTGCTGACATCAGCCGCTCTTGAAATGCCCATGCACGAGAGAATAGAGGCATGGCCAACGGCGTCTCTTTTACGAACCGAATCTTTTCCATGCTGAAATGCATCGGAACCTTTGATATCTCAATCCTTACGTCGCCGCCTTTCACGTCCACGATTGAAGGCTGGCCCACAGGCCTGGGAAAGCAGGAAACACTTGTACCGGTTGAGGCATTAGCTGCGACAGTCAATAGAGCGTTTCCATAATAGCTGGCCATTTTCGACCCTTCCATCGTCCAATCTATCATATCTTCTTGAATGATACAGAGCGCATCGATCCATACGTATCGCACTTTGAGAAGGCGCGCAATGGATATTACCTGGCGAAATACCAGTGGCAAGGCACTCCACTGTATCCGCTTCTTGTGCTTTTCTAAGTTACTCTGGACTGTCCGAAGCGGGAGGAAGCGACCCCAGCAATAACTGAGGATTATGTATGGCTCTGATATGGTAATTCTTTCTCGTAATACAACGTCTAATGTGTTATCGCCCTGATTTACATCAATTAGACGCGTGGGCACCTCGAGCCGGCCTTTGGTCGACGTGCAAGCGGTATGACTGGATTGACACAAGGATATCCACGAGCGAATCTTGTCAATGTTGATCGTTGGTTTTGCTTGACTCCCAAGACGACTATCATTTGTCAGATGAGCAGCAACCGCTCGCTCATCTACTTGAAGAAGTCTCTCGTTCACAGCTGATTCCATCTTTGCGAACGAAGAAGATCCAGACGCTGCCTTCTGTTAGCTTAGCAGCACTACTTGTTTCTGCGTACAGTGGTTAACTGTGTAGTCAGAACATCCGTAAACTTACAATTGACCGACAGCCAATGGAAATCGACCCATTCGCGGGGCATACCAAGGCCACCATCCCTGAGTTTGCTTGCAATACCAACCCTAAGCCACTTAACTTTGTTCTCGAGAATAACAAAAGCAAATAGCACCGCGTCATCTGAGGACCCATGTCTGGGAAGCTTTGAGGAGACACCATCCCATATCAGCTTACAAGAAGCACACCCAGACTCTCCACAAGACCGAACTTGTGATAAAGACGGCTGCTCGGGTAAGGCTGTTATAGACGAGGGCTTCGCTAGTAAGCTTTTGATGACGATGCATGATGGGCTGGTAAAACTGTTTAGGGTTCTAAGTTTATCAAACCCTCTCAAGGTAGCCATTCTGGAGTTTTAGCTCTTCTATAGCTATTTGCTAATCATATCATATGCCACGAAATGAGGCTCTACGTCGGAGTAAGCTGATGCTGTTGCCTAAAGAACACGTGATGTTACGAAGCCACAATATGTCGCGTGGCAATCTCTGATTGATCAGATCAGAGTCCGAATAATTAAAATCTGGCAAAGCAAGATATTAGTTTATATCATTTGGTTTTCCCCTTCTTTATACCTTTTTCTTGCACTAAAGCTATAGTGGTGTCTACTTATTAGCATATCGGCGTAAGTAAAATCTAACACTGCACCACAATGGAGCAATTACCAGAGAAGCACGCAGCTATGGCCGACAATGATCAGAGCCAAGGTCCCGGAAAGATTAGGCAATTACGTGAAGTAGCCTTTCCCGACTACATGCTGGCACCGTTTGCACTCGCAGACGCTTTGCAAACGCTATTCCCAGAAATGTCAGCTGCTGAATTTGGAATTAATGTAAGCAATAATTCTCAACCAACGTCAGACGAAGATAACAAGCTCCTCCTGCATAATGTCATTCTAACAGCAAAAAAAAGTCAAAGAACGGCCAATTTGTATTCAACGTCCCCCGAGAGTTGACAGCAGTAGGTGGCTTTTATTCTCATACTTTGATAAACCTTTCAGGGATTTCAATCGCATAGTACTAACTTACCAACTTAGGAAGACCGAAGGGTGATCGGAAGATCACGAACACCGAAACCTAGTAGAGGATAAGTGGTGATAAGAACAAGTAGCTAAACCCTCGGTCAGAGTTACATGGTCTCATCGCTTCGTTGGTATATTAGCAGGCAAATGATAGCAGCAGTGGCGGTTTTCGCCGGGCTCCGGTGATCACGATATTACCCTCACTCTTTAAGACAGCGACCAACATGCGACTAAATTGCGGGTTATTTGAGATTTAGTCCTCTGAAACGGTATTAAGGAGTTTGAACTGGTTGGAAATAAAGCTTCTTTTAGAAGACATTGTATTAAACAACATAGCTTGCAGGGAGTTCACAAACTCCAAACTCTATTCCCCAAGGCCAACTTCCCAAAGTCTGTAGCGAGAGCTCATCTTATGGAAGGAAATGTATCCAAACAGGTAGCTGTTCAGGATCTGAAGATGTATGCCCCTGTCATTCAGTACAAGTCGCACTAAGAGTCACAAGTGTTAGCTTATCGCGGCATTCAATATCTAGACTGGGATTCGAAGCTTGCAGAGCACGAAGAGGGGAGTAGACGGAATAAAACTTACTGTCTCGAGCTTTCATCTTCACCTCGTCAACTATGTCTTCATATGTAGACCACGCATCTTTACTCTCATACCATCCTCTACTATGGATGTAATTTTGAGTTTCTCCGGCCTTCTCTTCCTTCCAAAAGCTACAAAATGTTAGCTGGTTACAAAGTGAGGTGACAAGACGGCAACACTGACGAGAGTACATCATTCGTGAGGCCGATCCAGGCAGAGAGATCAGGTATCATCTCCAAGAATTGGGAAATGTCTGGACAAAGTGCTTTCGGAAAGGCGAACCAAGCATAAGCTTCTCCGACGCCATCTTTGTCACGCATGAACCAGGCCCAACTATGTCCAGCCTTAGTGCGTTTCATCTGAGTAAAGCCATCTCGAGCTTGGAGTGCACAAGCAGTCAGGAAGTTAAGGGACGCCGAGACGATAAAGTTGGCGACGGTAGCGTCCCAGTACTTGAATACCTCATGCATCAAGTCTGCCCAGCCCTGTAGCAGAGGGATTGACTGTTTCTCTCCCGCACAGAATCGTGCATGAAACAATTGGAAGTCATCAAGATATGTTGCAGCCTCGTCATCAAGAAGGAGACCAAGCCAGGAATATATGCCGATGAATACTTGGACCTCAAGAGGATGATGAGGGAAGCATAGCTAGATATTGCTCAGTTCTGGAAATTGCATAGTTGGTTGTGATACTTACGACTGGATAGTTGTAACCAACCCTGAAACATTTCCCTGAATGCGTGCCTTCGTCATATGGTACACCTGTTTTATCAGCGTACAGGCGCATGCCTTCCCAAATGGCACTGTTATCTGTAACAGCGGGCGTGGCATAGTTGAGTTCATCAAGGACTGACGTGAGCTGAAGCTCGATGAAAGACCTCAAGTCCTTTGTGACTGGAGCAGTAGTTCGGTGCTGAGTTGACTCATGACTGAGCAACGAAATTGCCTGGAGCTTAGGGTCGAGTAGAGAGAGTGAGGCACCCATTGTGAAAGATAACGATTGAAAGTGATGGAACAAGTCAGCGGAGAACAGTCTCATATATATAGGCAATGAAGTGGAATCTCTGTTGGAGGGTAAGCTTTACGAGCTGTGTCAGATGAAGCGTCGCTCTAAAGTGGCATTGCCGGTGCAAGTATCCTAAATTGTAGATATGATTTGTTCCCCACGTAATTAGTCGTAGTAGGGGTCAAAGCGAAGCCTCTCTCCATGACAGCATGATACCAATTTGCATGACATGGGTCAAAGCGAAAGGATCAACAATCATTTTTGCTCTTTGCGGAGGTGGGATGAAAATAAGGGTTGCTCAATTCAGACTATTACTTGCAGGTGGTTAGAGTTTCAACGTTGTTGGTAGGACTTTCCATGCTGTTGGTCATTCTTTATTCTTGCTATTGGAAGGGCACAGACCCAGTCCCCGCACATCGCAGCATCTTGACACTTAAAGATTACTTGGATAGTCTGACGGTTCTCAGCTTACAGAAAACCCCCACTGCCAATTCCAGGACCAAGTTCCTGGTATCGATTGTGCGTGAACCGGTCTTTAAGGCTGATTGTGCGTCATGCAGAATGAGTAAGACTGCACAATCAGCCTTATAGACTGGATCAGACCCACAGGCAGAGCCGCACATACGAAGGTTGATGGAGTATTATTGGTGGGCATTTTGTTGTACCCTTGCAATCGGCTTATGCAGTCAGCTTTTCAATCCACTTTGACTCAGTCACGAGCAATCTAGCTCTTACCAGCAACCTACCAATTGGGATCTCGTACTTCCATTTGCCTTTATCTGTGTCTTTTAGTCTAGATTCCGCGCTAGGCATCGTATGCGGAAGTCCTTCACGGATTCTTGGTGCGGTAAGTGGTTGCCTGAACCTTGAAGTGGGGGTTGAAGGCTGAGGTGAAAGCGATATCAATTGATACGAAGAGGCTGTTAAATTGAGGCTGTACCTTTTTCCATGAAAATTCGAAGGTCAGATGATAGTACCTAGACCCCGAATCGGATTCAAGAACAACTCGTCTACTGATAGGCCCAATATGGCGAGATCTCTGCCGTTAGTGGGGAAGAGCTCCAAACAAAACTTCCGGATAATATGCCAAATGTTGTTACCAAGATATATTAGTTTAAACAAAATTGTTGTTTTATGAATTACGTACTGCAGACATCTTTATCACCAGACGTTTCACTAGCAGACCCCGAGTAGTTACCCAGGTATGGCTGCCCGACTGTCTCTGACACAGTCCATGGTCAACGAACTGTTGGCGAAGAATTATATCGATATCTTCCTCGGTCTCCATCGCTTGAAGTTTCCACACCGTCTGCATCAAGTCGAAGGGTGTCAAACCGTAGAAGAGTACCCGCTTGAGTTAGTCTAGAGTAGAGACCTTACAAGGACGCCAGTGATCAAGGACATGCGCCAAGTTGGAGCAACAACGGGACAGTATATGCGCAGGTCAGATCAAGGCACGTAAGTTCGATTTATGATGTCTGGTGAAGCCCGGACAAGATGGCGGCGAGTCTGTCAAGAGGAGATTGGGCATCTGGCGAAGATGCGAAGTGGCGATACTGGTTGTGCAACGCAGCGAGGGTATGACACTGCCACATGCGCTCTTTAAGCTCGGTTGGTCAGCTGGAAAGTTTGTCACGATATTGGGCCAGGTTAGCCATGAGGTTGTGCTGATGGGAAACTTGTGCTATGAAGTCGGAGAGGTCGTGGAAGCTTTTCCTCTACGCTTTGTTGACCAGAGAAGTATCTGGCTCAAATGTGTAAGAGCGGAGATTTTATACAAGGTGCCCAAACATTCATGTCCAGTCCTCCAATGCCATCTAGCAACTGGGTCTGCATAGTCTCCTCATTGTGGAGTAGACTTTGAAATTTGAATAATGAGTCTTCGGCGCATGACAACATTTGAGTCAGCAAATGAGTCCACAAATAGCTGACCCGTAGCTACGATAAGCATACCATTAGAGTTAAGTAAAAAGGGGGACTCATCGAGATTATGATGGCCTTTTCGGCTGTCACGCCAAGGTAGTCAGCTTTGAAGTGGAAGGATGCGACCTTATCGTGCGGAAGGGGCTACTGGACAATGGTGCATCGATGAACATGGAGATTGTTGAAACCTTTCAAGGAATCTCCGGCGGGAAGGAACATTGATTGGGATGGGAAGCATCCTCTCGATGCCCCTGTCAGCGAGATACAATCGAGAGGATCCCGTTCCTATGCATGAGTTGGTTTTTTAACACAATGATAACTTGAACATTCTTCATGAAGGCTTTGGGATGCCCGACTTTCTTCACAGCTGGCGTAGTAGCATCTTTCACACGTAACAAGAGAAGAATATGTTGCAGGCAGATGTGAATGGGTTCATGGTGTGATAAAGATGTCTTTGTCAAAACAATCACACATATTGTACTCAAGAGGTTCATCTCGTGTAGCTAGGTGACTGAGATTGGTACGCCAGAACGAGAGTCCTATCATCGCATGTAGAGAGATAATAATGTAAAAGCTTAGTATGAAGCAGATACCTAAATATATATTAATTGCTGTCGCAAGGTAGTCACGCGACAGACTTGATAATCGGTGATGGTCAGACCCTGCCTGCCAGGTCATATATCTCTGTTTTAGTTCTTAATCTGGAAGGTTTCGTGGGTAGTCTCATGCTTTTCGGTGCGGCTGACGAGCGGCTTCAATCCAGGAAGGGCAACGACAGTGATAGCAAGCGCCATCTCGACCATACTGAGAGGGTCTGAAAGTCATGTTAGCTTCTTCTCCATGTGCTCTGGATTTGCGAAAGATAAAGACTTACAGACAAGGTTCTCCTGGCCAGTTCCAACCTTGAGGGTGATGAATCGGACCATAGTGGTGCAGATGGTAAGAGCTCCCAAAATGAAGGTAACAGTGACTCCGGTGGAGGACTTCAGGACGCCTTGGATAAGCAGGATCAGAGGCAGGGCGTAAACAGCAAAGTAGCAAGCCAAGTTCAGAGTGAAGTTGAGAATGAATGGCTCGGGTGCGTAAAAGACACTGCACGCGCCCTCCTCTTGGGACCACTGGACGGAGACATCCTTGCCACAGAAGAAGGTATCGTCGAAGAGGATGACGAGGTATGAAATGCAGACAAAAGCAGTGATGCCGTATAAGGTCTTGCGCATAGCGGAGCTGACACCGTTCGAGGGGAGGAAGTAGGCCCAGTAAAAGGCCAGCATGCTGAGCTTGGGGAAACCCATTCCGAAGTCGTAGAAGTAGTTGGAAGCGAACGAAATCTAGATACACACGTTAGTTGTACTTATCACAGTCGAGGCTTCGAATGGTCTTACCTTTGACAGTCTGACTGATGTCTCATACTCGTCCAAAACACCCATCTGATAAGTGAGTGTATCACAGATGATCAATGCAAGGGCATTGAGAGCGGAAACGATCAGCAGCCAATCCGACGTATCGAGCTTCTGACGGGCGCGGAAGAGGCGAGCGTAAATCCGGGCGCCGACAAAGACGTACGCCATTGCCAGTAGGATCCATTCCGAGATCTAGAACTATGTAAGCAATTGATCAACAGAGACAGAGTGTCGCAAACTAGAAATGTAACTCACCATACAGTCCTTGCCAGTGATTCTGAACGCCATCTTGAAGGTTCGTGGTCTCGTGGACTAGAGTATGAACGTTGACCTAAAGAAGAAGAAAATAAAGAGAGGGAGGAGGGATGCGGATCAGCTTCTAACATGCAAGACACATTGGACTTTTAATTCAAGCACTCTTTAATTCTGGACGCCACATGGAAGAAAAAAAGAACCCACCTCGGTTGCAAAATTCATCTGCAACGCATGAAATGTAACACAAAACGTTCCCTGGAGCATTCGTGGCGTGATTTTATCCGCTGCATGTGGGAGGCACATAGTCAGACGAGGACCAACACCAATAACCAACCAGTGTCAGATCAGAGAATGAAGAAAGAAGCAATTTTAGTATGCAACGGCTTTTCAAGGGTTACGAGAGAAAATTGGGGTTGCATGGGGCCCCCTTGCAGAGCTCTGATATCCAAGTGGATTGATTGGTTCGCGGCTTCTTGTCCGTAGATACCGGCAAGCCCAAAATAAACCCTGCACCAACATCCTGCCACTTGGCCAGGGAGGGAGTAATTGAGACGTTGCATGTGCGTGTTGGTTGGGAGTCTCAATTTGCAGCAGTGCAGAAGAGAGGCAGAGTTTTGGTTTATACACCAATGACCGACTACATGGCCCTCGTAGACGGAGATTATGCTTATTTCAGGCTTCTACGCCACTTTATGAACCCTGAAGATGTTGACAGTTGTGGAATTGATCAGAGTGGATTTTTGGCTTCTTTTTGCAGGCAACGTCCAGTAGAAAGTCTTAGTCATTATGGGTCTTGGTTACTGTACAGGTGTCAAATCCCATTTCGTGCAAGAGTACCAATCGCACGTCGTTTATATCCGGCTGTTTCCCAACAAAGTTCTTCCGTTGCATCCACACTTTTGCTCCCTCTGACAGGCGATCAATACTATTTGGGAAAGCTCCCGTCATTGCGGTCTTTCCCCGTCCCCTTCCCTCCTGCCGCCCCCTGCCAATCCTCGTCTTCTCTTCGCTGGTAAGTCACGCTTACGCGGGCCGACTTGTAAATCCCATGGAGGTTTGTCAGCTCCACTTCGCTACCGGAGTCCTCCTCGGGGACTGCGGCTACACGCGCAGTGTGTCCATAACGGTCAACATGGCGATCGCGGCCGCTTGAAAGCTTGTTGAAGTGACTGGCCGAATTGACTGTTGTTGAATGTTTGTGGTAGCCAGACCCCGTTTCCGTTGTTCCTTGTTTTGTAGAGCGCAGACCAAGGCCGTGTAGGAGAGATTTAAGTGCTGGCAATGACACCACGACAATCGCGGCGGCAAGTTCAGTCATTGATAGCACGTCTAAGTCGGAGATGTAAGTAACAGTGGTCAATGCGGTTGGAAGCGACAGCCAAGACTTACAAACATTGGTCCATGCGTGAATCACATCAATTGTGACAAATCTGGCAATACTTGCTCCGAGCGTGATGATCCCCGATGCAAAAATGGCCACCAGACCCACCTTGTACCGTCGGCTGAGTTGAAGTCCAAAAAGAAGAGGAAAGGGAAGGCAAAATACTGAATTGCTTCGTTAGAGCTAATTGTACAGGTCTGGAGGTTGCGACATACCGAGAATGTCAGAGACAAGATTCATTCCCCAGTCAATGCGGAAGACGACCTTTGACTCATAGGTGCTACAGTCTCCCTCAGGATCCCAATTGACAGCCACATTGGAACCACACCAAAATGTATCGATAAAGCAAGTCGCGACCATGAACGTTCCTGTCAATGCCGTTGTTACATAGAGACATTTGCGTAGCGTAGGAAGCGTCGGTGGGATGAGCTTGAAGTAGAGAGCCAGCAATGCCAGTTTCGGTAGGTAGATGCCCGTGTCGTAGAAGTAGTTCCCAGCAAAGGTAATCTTGGCCAAAGCTATTTGAGTCTCTATAGCTCGTGGTGGCGCATCGGGATCATATTCATCCATTCCTCCAAGCTTGTATGCGGCGGTGTCGGTACCAAACAGAGCAGCGGCATCGAACCATGACGCGACAAGAAACCAGTCGCTTATCGTGAGGCTTTGATGTTGACGGATCGTTCGAAGGGTCAATCGAGCAAGGACAAGGAGTGATGCTACTGTAAAAAGCACGGCCTCGATGGGCTGCAAGATCGATCACCGTTAGCAAGCGAACATGATCTAGGAAAGGATTTGCAGTGGAAGGTTTTATTCAACTCACCACGACGGCCTCTTTGGCAACGCCAGACATAGCGATAAAAAGGAAAAGCAAACTGAGCAAAGGAAGTTTCAATTAAAAGGAATGGACGTTGGTGACAACTTTACGACTAACGAATATGGGATTGGCGTCAATTAAATCTAAAAGCCTCTCCCGCGTCGTCTGACATACATGAAGGCAAGTTATGGCACGTCAAACGTCACTAGGAGATTAAGTTCTCGTCGGCACAATTATCCTACGACATGAGGGCTAGAACGGCAACCCTTATGAGAGTTTGTAAGGATCTTCTGTCGACGAAAAGCTGGGTTCCTACCACACTAATTTGGTAATTTGCCTACTCAGGACCTTCTCTGACGCGGAGATATGCATCAGGCTCAAAGTTGTTAGCACCAGGGGAACGAGGTACCGATGCAGCCGCTTTAAGAGTACGGTTGGCCCGTATCATTCGGTAGAATGCAAGGGATATGCGGCGAGTGGCCGGAATCACTCTGTTCAGTCTGTGGCAATGGGGAGAGGCAGGGGTCACGAAACAGCTTGTAAGGGAGAGCGCAGTTTTTCGGACAATATTACTGGCTGGCCCTGGTAAGGATCCAAAGGCTCGTATCAAGCATTCGATTTCTTTTTTCGGCCCTTTGAGACAAGTTGCTCCCTTATCAATTGAGTTTATGCATCAGAGGCACAGTTACGGCAGAGTTGCTCCCTGAATTACTAATTTGTATCTACTTGATGCGGGGGAGAAGAAAAAGGGAGAAGAAAGAGGGAGAGAAATGCGATTGATTCTCTCCAACTTGTGAGCTTTTGACTAACTACATCACGACAGCCAAGCAGGCTGCAAAGGGTACGTGAATTACGAGTCTCGACAGAAGGACATTGCGGTGGTATTTGGCTAATTGTACAGAGTCTTTGGTAGGGTATTTCGGAGCGAGTCCCCGAAGAGATCGACCCGACCGAAAATCCGGCAGAAAGTTGATCCCTGCAGAAACGCTGGTAAAAGATGAGCTTGGCAAAGCAGATCAACTGGGGCAGAACAGGGTTACAATACGGAGGATCCTCGCTTAGCTCTATCGTGCCGCTCTTGCCGAGCTGCAAAAAGTGACATGACTGTCGTGCCAGTTGAGAAAAAGAAAAGTCCAATGAAGGAAAAGTTTCAGTATTTCCAGCTGAGGGCCTAATGAAACCTTACTTAAGAAACAGAGTGGACTTAAAAAGCAAAACTCGTCTGATTCAATGATCCAGATAAGGAACCGGAGGAGGAAGAGAAACATGCGGTTCGGGGACTCCCACTAAAATGAGTAATAAGTTTTGAGTTGAGGCCAACGGGATTGAAGGAGCGGAGGGACTTTTGAGTTATAATACATGTTAGTATAGGTACCGAGCTCGGATAAATAATCTTACTTTTGCCAAGACAGCCCTTGTAAGATTGCCAACGTGTCCCGAGCTCTGATCAGGACAGTGACATTAGGACAGACAGAGAACAAAAGCATCTATCAAAAGTGAGTTTAATAAATGTTGTGATGCAGTCCTTACTCACAGGGCTGTATTTCAGCGTTTATGAGTAAAGATTCAACGCTTACTATGCGTCGGCTGCTTGGGGTTTCTGAACATCGCTAAGTTGAGTTTAGTAGAAGAAATGTGTATTAATAAATAATTTTAAAGTTACATATTCAATTCGCCAGTGTTAAATCTCTGTTGATTTGGCAAGGTAACAAAGAAGCGATTTAAATTACACTGTAAGCACGTTTTATTACACAAAAAATTCTACCCCAGGTCTGTAAGTAAGTCTTGCTGTTGACGTTGCCGTGTTTAAAGACCTGTAGGGTAGTGTCCAAGCTGCCCCGGAGACACTGGGCTGATAAGCTTATCTTATCTGCATAACCTTATCAATTTTAACAACATTCAACGGTCGCGCTGGAATCACCCATGCAGCCTGTTGGTGGCGTCATGTGGCTGACAGGAGTGACATTTCCTGGGAAATGCTTCTGCAGTGTTCCCGCTTTATCACCAACTAGATTGATCAACAGAGAAGTGCATATCGAGTGGCTCGACTTTACGGATCCCAGGTCCATGGGTTTGAACGGTAGTGTGTCATTAGTACCATTTCATTTATTGTATATGTCCTCACTATGGAAGATGGTAAATGGAGACAACTGATATTACTGTTATGATTGCTTATAATTGTGGGAAGACACTTTATGATGCGATGGCCATCTGAACTGTAAGTCTTGGTAGTAAAGGAATTTCATAGGAATTGAATTTGAAGGCAGAATACACTGCAACGAGTGCACAATCCCTAGTGATACGACTGAATTTCCTATTATAAATAAAACCACCATTGCAATCTCCGCAAAGTTGTGAATAGCAAGTCATTATATGCCCAGTCCACGTTGCTCAGCATACCTGGCAAACTCCTCATCCTTCTCAAGCTCAGCGAAACACCTCTCCTCAAGACCGAAGCAAACTTCGATACCCTCATCCTGACCAGTGTTCCTTATCCCCGCTCTAGTCGGGAGAACGAAGAAGAAGCCCTCGAAACTGGGATGCGGCCACCTCAGCGCCGCAGGTGTTCCGAACCCAAAGTCGTGCTTTTGATACGACTTCATTGTATGCCAATCGAACGCCATACAGTCTAGGCCAAGCACCCAATGCATGTCTAGCTCGGACCATTGCAGTGTAGGCGCAGCCGCACCGTATTTGACAAGATCGGATAGATACTCGGGGTTGACTGAATTGGTACTCTCCCGGACTCTTCGAGCAAGAACTGGTAATGTGCTTTCCAAATCGCCGAGAACTTCAGCAACACTGAGCTTTTCTGATTGCGGCATGGTGATGGCAGTGCCAACGTATCGGTCTGAGATGGGCCAGCCTGCACGACCACGACCATTGACAGCGTGGACGGCCTTTGAAGGAGCACTTGGGTTAGGCTTCAGCACCGATGATTTGGCCCGCACAGTTGCACGCCACATAATAGACAAGATTGCATCGTAGGTAGAAATCCAAGTGCCCGGTTCTAGTCCTACACTGCATTGCGCTTTGAGAGTTTGCAACTTGCTCTTGGGAAAGTGCCAAATACGTGTCTTCACTGCTGGCATCTTGAAGTCGGCAGGCGGCGGAGCAGGGGGCCCATCTCGAAGCTTCATGGTGGGGAACTTGGCCACAAGTCTCTCTTGCTCCTCAGAAGTGATCTTGGGCTTCTCCTGTAACGTGAAGATCTCGCGGGACGGTATCTCAGCCTTGGATTTGCTGAAGCCATTGATTGACTCCCCTCTTGTAGCTTGAGCTGCATGTTTTGACCAGATCGTTAAGAAGTTCTCGAAGCCTGGCCCATCGCAAACTTGATGGGTAATGGCAAGGCCTATGATGATTCCGCCTTCAATGAAGGTGATTTGTGCTCCTCCGACTGCAGGTCCATTGACGGATGTGTCAAGACCCGGAACGGGGAAGCGTGCACCGACGAAGGGCTCTGGTAAAACCTTTGGTGCGTCGAGAACATGAATAGGAAAATCATTCTTCTCGAGAACAGAGAAGGAAGGGATGTCATTTGTTGACGCGGTCTTGATGTGCAGACTGAGAGAGGAATCGGCCTGCCTCTTCACCACAATGCGCTTCGTATCATTGTCAAAGTGCAAAGTTCCTACCATCAAGCATGAGTAACTTCCCTAAACCTTTATCTAGAGTAGCTTACCTGTCAAGATAGGATAGTCAGAGAGTGCACGCTCCAATCCAACGATGAGTCTGTTGACGAGCGTATCCTTGGGGGTGTTTTGTGGCAGCTCAAAAATCTCAATCATATGCACGTAGAGCTTGGGCATAAGATGATCCAAGTCAGATAGCTGGAATATTTCGTCAGGGGCGTCTTTCCCAACCCCAATGGGCCGTACGTTGATTTCTCGTTGATCACCCATTCTGGCACAGTGTTTGTCGAAGTAAACAAGAAAGAAGAGAATTCTACGGAGGCAAACTCAACTCTGTGACAAATGTGAGTAACAGTCGACGCAATAAGAACCAATGTCACGAGATACGGTCGTACCAAGGACCAATAACAAATGATCAAGCCTTGTATTTGTGCTACGGTTACTTCAAAACTACTACGTAGTAGTACGAACAAAGGCTGTAGATTGGAGGGTTCTTCGAAGGATTCACTAATGTCGGCCCATTTCAAAGGGGAACGAACCATGCCAAGATGGTGCCAGTAGAAAACCCTTGACCCTGGTAGCATTCAGGGTCATGTGCCTTGTCGGCTCTGCGAGAGCGCTGCACTCAATTAAAGCACAACAACCCCGCATATTTTTGTGATAGTAGAGGTGCATTGTATCTTCTTACGAATATAGTGTAAGAAAACGTGTTTAAGATTGCATCACATAATAAAGCTCCCTCGATTGTCTTGATTGTCTCGGGCGAAACGTCTCGAACGCAAGGTGGATATCGGGATATCCACCTAGTGGCGGACCACGAACCCGGAAACCAGTAGGATCGCAAGCGCACGAATGACGGAGAGACTTCATTTAAGCGAGGTTTTACAAAATTACAGGACGATTTAGCGTCGTGAAAAAAAAAACAGTGAACTAGTGACGGGTGATTCTTAATTGGCGCAGATCTGAACTGCTAAACTCCTTCTCTGGAGCAAAGCCACAACCCTATATTTTGGGGGCCTTTATCCAAGAGGTAGTACCGTCCGTAGTGCTTATCCCAGTGGAGATCATAACATTCAAACCTTCGTCGTTTAACAACTTAGATCGATTGATCCTGTATTCTTCTCTGCGTGGCTTGGTAAACACTGCATGTGAAAATCTCGCTCCCGGAAATACGGATCGCTGTTGGCTGATGGATGTTCATCTGCAGCCTCATCTGCGGCAAGAGAAAGCGAGACTTTTTCTTCGCGACGCAAGGGGCAATCGGACCACCAGCGCAGCTTCTCGACTAAAGACCCGCCTACAATGGAACAAAGACCCACGAGATAATCAATGCCGCCAGGATCCAGACACAGGCTTTGTAGGAACGTTTCCACGCGAATCCTTCGGGTCCGAAACAGCACGCTCTATGGGTCGTTTGCGAAGAAGCTTGTTTGAGAGTTGCTTTTTCGGACTCGCTTGTGTCATGGAAGCTTTGAATGGCCCATCGCTGGGATTGAAGGATTGTTTCTCGTCAGTTGAGCCATTGGCAACAATTCTCCGTACCCTGGTGAAATGTGGTACCTGCAGGCAGCGAGTCCCCTGTTTGACGGAGTTTTGATCTCGTCAAGAGGAAGACAATCCTTTCACTGAGCTTGCGTCCACGGAACTTTCAACCTGGCCACCAAAAACAGATCATAACACTTTGACTTCGATGCTTATGGTTGCTACCTTAACACGTCTGCAATCATATATAACTCATGAACGTCAACTCTACGAGACTACGACACGAATTCACAGGGCACCAATGCATAGTCCGCCATGGTAGATGAGAGTGCGCGATCTGTCACACTGGAGGGCTTCCCTCTGGCGATGACCACCATTATCCTAGTATCCGTCGTTCTGGCCACAATCACAGTTGCTCTGCGAGCGATAGTCCGGATGAAAGATGGTACCTTTGGACTTGACGACTGGCTGATTGTAGGAGCTGTGGTATGGACTAACCCCATCTCCTTATGTGGAACATACTGACTTTGCAGGTAATTTACATCGCTGATACAGGTCTCGCCGTACATGCAGTCTCAGTCGGAATAGGTTCGAAAGACGAAAATCTCAATCCGTATTTGCAAGCCGAGTCGCAAAAGTTTTACATCATTTGGATCACCGTCTACGTCGTCGCTGTCGCTCTCATTAAAACCTCCGTCTGCGTAACGCTTAGAAGAATTGCTGCGAAGGCCGTACCGATATTGCAATACTCCATTTGGGTGCTCTTTGCATTAACCTGGGCATCATTCTGCGTAACGTTCTTCGGCATCTTAACGTTCTGTCGACCTGTTGAAGCCAATTGGAATACGTATCTGGTGTTGGAAGGAAAGGCTACTTGTGCGAGTACCGAAACCTTGATTGGAATCAGCCATACCAATACAGCCACGAGTATCGTCACCGATGTTGGCTGCGTCGTGTTGCCTGGAATACTGCTATGGAAAACGCAGATGCCATTCAAAGCAAAACTGCAAGTCCTTGGACTCCTTTCTCTAGCCTCTGTGTAAAGTCTCTCATTCGAACCCAAACTGGCTCCAACTAACTCAGCTCCAGCGCATCAATTGCTACCGTCGCTAGGGCCCCGTTTATCTCGCATTACCGAGAGCCCGAAAACAATCTTAAATGTGCCTTGGACTCTGTCATTCCGACCTGAGCTTTCCCGCTAACGAGTAGCAGATTACATTGGCATGATAGTCCTGTTTTCCTGTGTCGAACTAGGAATCGGATGCATTGCGGCTTCCCTTCCATCTCTGCGCGTCCTTTACAAACGAGCCTTCGGACGCGAGACCCAAGCGTCATCCGGAACCCCCAACGCGAATACTCTCATAACAATTGGCGGTGGAAGAATAGGCGATAGTAGTTCTCGGGGCCAAAAACGGGGCTTCACTAATCCCACCGACCGAGGGATCACATCTACCCACGTTAATCGTGGAGACAACAAGTGGGAGAGATTGAGTGATGATGGCTCGGATAAGGGTATCTTGGCAAATGGGCAAAACGCAGGCATTCGGGTTGATGACACCTTCACTGTCGAGCTTGAACCCTACAGCCATCAAGATACTCGTCGCGTCCCTCAGAGTGCCTCATAATAATAACTCTGGGTCTCAATAACTGAAGAGATCCCATGTCAGCTCCATAGCTCTTGGAATGAGTTATTTCAATTATGTAGCGAAGATGAGCCCGTGTTATGCTACCTCTCATGATGTCGACATCAATGCTACCTTTCATGCCAATAACTCTCTTCGGGACCATACGCCCTGTAAGTCTGCTCTAAAAGAAGCCGCAACAGGAAATGACTTTTCAATTGCCGAAAGACTGTCCATGATGGAATCTTGCTGCCAAGTCTCCCAAGACCTCGCCCCAGCAACTCGAAGTGGGAACAGAGTCAGCAATGGCGAGATGGAAGCCTTGAATAGGATCTCCCGTGTATGTGTTAAGATGTCGCCGACATGTCCTTGTATCTCATCTTCGCTTAGAGTCGGGGCTATTATACCCATATCCTGCCAATATGGCATCTCGTAGTCAAAGACTCCCGATAGATAGATGCTCGTTGCTGCGAAGAATGCTTTAGTAAGCATAAAGAAAGCTCCATCCGTGGGTTCGTGATTAGCTGCCTTCGAGCTTTCAGGCCTCGTCATAGCGGCTTCCCAATCGACGAGAGCTTGCCTCAAACGGAAGCCTTCTAGAGCAATGCCATAAGCGTCATCGATGTCCTTCTGGGTGTGTCCATCTACTTGCGCGTCAGGGAAATAAAGAATTGGGCGAACTCTAGAAAAAGTCAGGAGACATGTTCTTCGACAGTGGGTACTACATACCGGACACGAAGCGTCGAACATAAAGTGATAATATCCAAAAGGGAATTTAGACCACAGTCCTTACCATGCTCGTTGGGATGTATGCTCGCTGTGAGAAACCTCCACTCTGAGTTCGCAAGAAAGGTGGGCTCATTGAATATAATAGCTCTGCAAACCTCAAAGATACGTATCTCAGTGAAGAATCGCCTACCCCGACCTGTGAGGCACACTGTGGGACCGGCAGCTACGAGAGCCTTGGAAGTGCCACCTACTAAATGTTGTACCCAACCTTGTCCAGTTGAATCTGTCATAAGCTTGGCAATGTTAGCAATTACTATTATTAGTGCGATCTAACAGAGCGACACACCTCAAACAACCCTAGCAAGTGAGTGGTCCACAATATGGAATGGAGCGCGCTGTCCCCATGGTTGAACTTGCTCAGGGCTTGCCGTAGCCCTGTTACTGAGTTTAAGTAGTAGTAGACAGCTGAATCGTACGCCTTGTTTGGGGTTATACCCTCTGATGAACCAAACTTGACAGCCTGCATGGCCCCAAGCGCAAGGACAGCGTTGCGGAGAAAGCTGTCGGAGCCCTGGTCCTTCATCAAGGTCGTTACATCAACGGAAACTTTTGATCCGGGGTTGAAGTTGTTGTGGTGCAGAAACGCATCGAAGTAGCGAGGTAGATAATATGTCTCGCGAGTTGAAGGCGCGATCATCAACGGACCGAATGTTTGTATGCTGGGAGGAGCACAAGCTATGCGACAGGAAACCCTTTCGTCAGGATCTGTGTGGTTGATCCAGATCTGTTGCGACTTCTGTTTCTCGAAATTACAACTGGTCCGTTTTCTTTGACAGTTACTGCACGGAAAGCTACCCGAGCACTAGTCGCATAGATGGTTAGCTGCGTATGCAAGACGTCGTAGGCCGGTTCAGACCTTGAGATGACTTGCAGCGCATTGAAGACACCGTGATCGCTTTTTGCGCCTATCAAATGGACCGACAGGCATTTTCGGGTGTTGTGTTGAAGTGCCGTTGCTGATGATGTTTCGGCAATGGCTATCAACGTTGGATTTATACTGAAAGCGGCAGTGATTGCGCGAGATTAGGCGCAGCTGGCTGCTATACCGAATTGAGAAATAATTGAGCGACGCTAAGGTCGTGACGCGATTTTGACCAATGATGTTTCTCGTTCTCATTGAGAGCTGAACTTTAGTTTCATCAGCGTCGTAATCCTGGTCACAGCGTATCTCCCGTTAGTGGGGGCTCTTCTCGTGACAGAAGTCAACTCGCCCGAACTTGACCACATGCGGTACATGCAGTAAAGCTTGGGTTTCTAGAACATCGATAGAATTGCATCAAGTGTCAGCGTGCTTTGACAGAATGGTAGTCCAATGTGTTCGGTATATAAGTAAGAGTTTAGTCCCTCCAAGATTGTTTCATTTCATCATCGCTCTCTTCTTTATTTCTCAACAGCTAAACAAATCCATTCGCCCAACCTAAAGATGAAGTTCTCCCTTCTCCTCCTGTCCCTTGTCGGACTTGGCAATGCCATTGAACTGCCGAAACCAAACGGACCTTACAGCGTGGCTGTTCGTACCAGCGCCATGATCGACAAACATCGCATCGACCCTTACGACCCCAGGCGAGGTCACCGAAATGTCCTTGCTTCCATTTTCTGGCCTGTCCCCTCACCATCCTGCTCTAAAACCACACTTCCCTACATGACGCCGGCTGTTGCGAAGCTCTACGGACAGAAGGCACAGAGCATGGGTCTTTCGAATGAGACTTTTGCAGCCTTTGAGTACTCTGTTTGTACACCTCTACATACTCCGAAGGGCTGTGGAAGCAAGAGGCAATTTCCTCTGATCATCTTCTCTCCTGGTGCTGGCAACTCCCGCCTCCTCTACAGCAACATGGCCCGCTCGTTCGCTAGCTTTGGCAACATCGTGGCTTTGATTGACCATCCTTACGATGCTGATATTATTGAGTTTCCCGATGGTAAGACAATCATGACTGGGAATATCCCGGAGACTACAAAGTCTCTCATTAAATTGACCAAAGTATGTTCCTCCACATTTTCTTTGTGACTTCGCTAATGTGTCTCCTAGGTCCGGGCTGAGGATATCTCTTTTGTCATCTCGGAAGTTCTGCAATCCTCTCTCTACAAGAGTGTGCTGAAAGGTCTTCCGGGCTCTGTTGATAAGAGCAAAATCGTCGCGCTCGGTCACTCCCTCGGAGGCGCTAGTGCAGCAGTTGCGATTCTGTCAGACAAGAGAATCTGTGGCGGGATGGACATGGACGGACAAATTTTCGACCCTGCTCTCAGTCAAGGTCTTGAAAAGCCGTTCTTCCTGGTCGGCCGTCCAAACCATAGCAAGGAGGACGCCACGTGGAACAAGTTCTTTGCAAACCTTCGAGGAAGCAAGAAAATGATCACGATCGACCGTACCGTGCATGGATCGTTCACAGATTACCCTCAGCTGATCCAGGCGCTGAATCTCCCTGCCTCGGCTTCTAAGGCTATACAGCCACTCATCGGAACTGTCAATCCCTCAGATCTCGAAAACGGTCTTTCCAAAATTGTAGTAAGCTTCGTCAAGGCATGCTCCAATATTTAGGTGTACAATGGTCGAAGATCTGGTGGTGGCTCATTGATATTACATAGAAATGGAGGATCGGGCATGGATGGCGATACATAGAAATTGGTAGAGTTTCATTTTAATACATGTTTATTTTTCTCAATACTTGTATAGATATTTACTGAGACAGCCTCACAGCCTTGTCCAATACCTTCGCTACATACTCAACATTCCTACTGTTCACTGTAAAGATACGGATTACATTCTGTTCTTTAGAGCGAACCACGAATTAACTTACGTCCTGCGATGGAACTGTGGCCTGATGCCAAGATATAAACATGACTTTCTTGTTGGATAGATGCAACTTGCTCTGGCGTCAATCCTGTGTACGAGAACATGCTGATCTAATGACGTCAAGGTCAGCCTCCTTCCGATAACATTCCACTTCCATATCAACAGAATATGTTTACCTGCGAGACAATATGATCCCAATTACCTGGTGTGCCAAGAGCCACAAGGTTTTGATAAAGGGCTTTCCGCATGTCCTTGATCCGATCACTCATTTCTACAAGGTCCGTCATCCAGTCTTGGAACAGCCTCGAGTCGGAGAGTATGGTCGCTGCAAGTCTCGCTCCATGTACCGGAGGTTGAGAAATTTGCCCTCGTTGAAGGCGACAGAGGTGACCTCGAACCTTGTGGGCCTCACTCGACGTGGCACAAAACATGTGTAGAGCACCAACACGCTTTCCGTACAGACCCATATTCTTGGAGAAATACTGGCAAACGGCCAGTTCCATAGTACCACGATTCAGAAAATGGCGAACGGCCTACGCGTCATCATCAAGATCTGTTGCGAATCCTTGACTTGGAAGATAATATCTTAGCAAAAGCCAGGGAAGGATGGGACTGATATGAGGTGACATGACTTACTAGGCACAGTCGAAAAATGGGAAGAGGCTTTTGTTCTCACAAATGTCGGCAATTGCCTTCCATTGCTCCTTGGTAGGATCGACACCAACGGGATTGTGAGCGCAAGCATGGAGCAAGATAACATCTCCAGAGGCAGCTTCAGTCTAAAGTCTGTTGATCAGTCTATCAAAGTCCAGTTTCTTAGTCTTTGCATTCCAATAAGGGTATCGTTTCACATCGACACCAACAAGACTCCAAATGTTGGCATAGTTGACCCAGCTGGGGTCCGAAAGCCAGACAGCACCTGGTTTCAGGGTTTCAGATAGGAAGCGTGCTCCAAGGAAGTTGGCTCCTGTTCCTGAGATGGTCTGGATCGAGACCAAATGACTGTCATCGTAGCCGCGGTGACCGAAAAGGATTTGACTAGCTGAATAGACGAAGGGGGAAAATCCGGCTTAAGGCCGGTGTCACTCGGTCGCTGACTATGTAGCGCTAACTAAACGTGGATGTCTCAATGTTGTCAATTGCATTGTAAGAGTCACGTAAAACACCGAGTAGTGTTAAAAAAGTCGAGTCAACACAACACAAGTTCAGTTTCATAGAAATTCTTGTAGTTACTGTAAACAATTCTACTTATTAATTATATTTGATTTCCAAACAAACCTGACTCTCTTGGCACCGTATCGCCTGTTCTGGATCGCGTTGAGAGGATTACCCTGGAGCGCTGGAGGACATCGGCCAACCCGATAACCGTACCGAGTTCCCTACAGTGCGAACAGCTTCACCTGTTCGACTCTTGCGGGTCTGCCTGAAGAGCTGGCAACTCAAATAAACTTGCAGCTTCTAACCTTACTTTTACCTGCAACTTTCAAGAGTTTTCCAATTTTTCTGATAAAGATAACTGCAAAAGATAGACCCGAACAGAATCCAAAGTTCTATAAAATCAAAAAAATGGCAACAAAACCATTTCCACCTCCCCATGGCATGACGTCTTTCTGGCGCGCTACTCCAGGATCACTGGATGATTACCGGTCAACACCGGAATTGCCTTCCAAATGCGACATTCTTATCATCGGCGCAGGTTATTCAGGCGCATCGATTATCACTCACATGCTATCGCAACCTGAGTCACAGGACAAGTCAATCGTCGTCTTGGAAGCTCGCCAGCTATGCTCCGGAGCCACAGGGCGAAATGGTTCGTAAAGACGCGTTCATCATCTGAAGTTGCTGACACTGTTGGGCAGGAGGACACATCAAGCCTGATGTCTACAACTTGTGCGCAAGGATGGCTTTTAAGCATGGAGTCGCTGCAGCAGCCGAGATCGCCGACTTTGAACTTGCCAATGTAGAGGCCGTTAAAAATTATGTCCAAGGCCAGAACGTCGACTGCGATTTTATGATGACACAAGCTGTCGATGTGCAGCTCTCGGAAGATCACAACCGCGCTCTCAAGTCTGGCTACGATCAAATGGTCAATGCTGGCGTAGAGGCGACTAAGAAGGCATTCTACGTTGATGGGAAATATGCTGAAACGGTAAGTGCAATTAGAGTTAATGGGAGTTGTTTCAAAACGCAGTTCTGCCTTGATATCTATATTCTAACCCATTGAAACAGGTCTCAGGCATCAAAGGCGCGAAAGGAGCGTTCAAGTATGCCACAGGTCATTTATGGCCCTACAAATTAATCCACCATATGTTTTCTGAGGCTTTGAAACATGAGAACTTGAATTTGCAGACCAACACGCCAGTCAACGAAATTTCAGCTACACCCAATACCGATGGCTTCTGGTCCGTGACTACTGGCCGTGGTATCATCAACGCCCGCAAGGTAGTCATGGCTACGAATGCATACACTGCTGCTCTTCTCCCAGAGTATCACGAAAAGATCATCCCTTACCGCGCTATCTGCAGTCGGATAGTTGCACCGAACCCGCCGATGCTGGCTGACTCGTATGCCATTCGATTCAGTCCCAAGGATTTTGACTATCTCATCCCACGACCCGACGGGAGCATCATTGTGGGCGGTGCCAGGTCAGCATACTTTAGACGCAAGGACGATTGGTACGGCAATGTCGACGATACAAAAGTTATCGAAAGGGCCAAGGACTACTTTGAAGGATACATGCAGAGATACTTCCGCGGTTGGGAAAACAGTGGTGCTTACACCGAGCAAGTGTGGACTGGAAGTGAGTATACTGCTCTCGTCTCAATGGCTGTCTCTTGCTAACTCGGAATAGTTATGGGTTATTCCTCCGATGGACTTCCGCGGATTGGACGTGTACCAGGAAGGGAAAACATGTTCATCATGGGCGGCTTCACTGGACATGGTATGCCCCAGGTATTCCTCACCGCCAAGGCAATCAGTCGTATGGTCCTCGGGGATTTGGCGTATTCGGATACCGGACTTCCCCGGTTGTTCCAAGAGTCGCAGGTGCGGCTGGAAAGTAAGGAGAACTTTCTGCGAGATATGGCCGATAGCGAGCCAAGTTTAGCAAGAATTTAGGCGATAGCAGCGTTGTACCCATGATGGCTGCCGGAACGATGGATGCGCCAAGACAATTGGTGTATATTACTTAGGCAGAAGTTTTACAGTGCGAGGCTTTAAATGACCCCAAATTACCTGGTTATCGGATTCATACCCCGCATCTCCTTTAAACTTCTCAACGTAGCTTAACGTTGGTCAAATTAATATTAACAGATCTACTGCTCCTGGTTTGAATGGCCGATCTTGCGGCGAGGTTCGGAGCTTGTTTTATTCCCGATGCCCCGCCATTCTTTAGCACAACTTGATTTTCATCATCTGACTTAAAAGATGGTAATATTCTAACTTGAGTGGTTTTGATTGGGTCGGCTTCTTCAGAATACATGGGAAGACTTTCCTCTTTGAAATTCCTGGGTATGGGCTTCTGACTCGCCGCAGATTGATGGCTCACAAGAACAAGTATCTTACGCTTCAAAACTTTTGATGATTCTTTTATTCAATGCCTCAAATTGAACTAAGGTTATAATACAATAATATCGCTTATATGTGTTACTGTAGCCTCGCTGAACTATTTATTTAAAGCTGTGTAGTCTATTCCCTTCGCGGTGTATCTTTGGAACGATACCCTGTGTCATGTCACTCTACTGTTCCTGGGCGACCTGGTCCTGACGCTGAAGCGCTACCAGCTCCCTCTCAGCCTTAGTGACAGGCTCCTGAGGCAGGAGCTTGAAGTACCAGGGCGCAACGATGGCAATAACACATCCCAAGCCACAAGTAGCAGTTAAGGTAGCGAAGCCAACTAGATGTTGTGGGGCGTTGGTGCTAGGCCATAGGTAACTTCCATAGATGATGGCCAAGTGTCCGAAAGAATTGACAAAAGCAATGGCGATGGAGCGCTTTTGATCCGGGAAGGGGATAGACTCGCTCGTCCAGTTGAGCATGAGAGGCAAACCGGTGTAGAGCCCAGCAACCAGTAGGCACATCATGACGTACTTCGCCACAGCAGAGCTAATCAGGGCGGAGACGATACAAGCGATGGCAGCGAGACCATACAGGCCGACACTGTGCCACCTTCTATCTTGACACTTATCTGAGGTCCAGGACAGAGCCAGTTGGCAGACCGCTCCAGTAATCCAGATCGGGACAGTCATCCACTGAGCAGTGACACTGGTATATCCCATAGTTTTGAGGATCGTGGGCACAAAGTATGAGATGGACATGCCGAGGATGATGATGCTGTAGGCAACGAGGAAGAACCAAGTCTTTCCATCCGTTACAACAGCCTTGAAGGCCTGCCAGGAAGTCATTCGACGGGTTGTGCTGCCAACACTGACTTGCCTGTCTACCAAGATTCGAATCTGGGCAAGGCGTCGCTGATCAGGCGAGAAGTGGCGGGCATTGCGAGGGTAGTCCGGGAGGAGCAAATAAAGAGCAAATCCACAGACTACTGTGAGGACGCCTTCTACAATGAAAAGCCATCGCCAGCCAGGAATACCTCTCGCTCCTTCCAGACCCTTGACAATAGCACCGGCCATGATTCCACCCAAGGCTGGAGCGATACATCCGGAGGTATAGAAGATGCAAAATCTTTTACCTGTGATAGCATTAGTAGTGATTCAAACCCTTCGGACGGCTACCGTGCTCACCAATTTCCTTCTTTGTGTACCAGCATGTTAGAAGATAGATTGCGCCGGGAAAAAGACCAGCCTCAATGCAACCAAGAAAGAGGCGACCAGCAAGAAAGCCCTTGTAGCTCTTTGCTTGCGACAAAGCAATGACAATACAGCCCCAGACCCAGACTATAGTAGGCAGATATATCGAAGGTCGGCATTTATTCATGATCATATTGGACGGAACCTCGCAGAGGAAGTAGCCGACAAAGAACAGGTATACGAGGAGAGAGTAATCTGTCACATCGGTTAGATGGTCTCTGGTCTAGTGGAGATAGAAGTGCTACCATTGTCCTTCATGTTCAGACTCTCGCTCATTCCAGCTGCGTTGGCGTTGGCCTGTAAGTGTTAGTGGGTTCTCCAGTAATCAGTCAGTAAGTGAGCAACTTACAATGTTGCCACGATCCAGGTATGCAAGAACGTACATCCACCAAAGACATGGTAGAAGAGTAAAGTCGATCTTACGCACAAGGCGTTTCTCCTCAGCAGTGTCAGGGACATAATTCGCCAACGCAATCGTGAGTTCTTCATCTTCAGCCAACGCATCGGCAGGCTTTATGATTTCCCCATCAACAAGGTCTTTCGAGCCACGTGGCTCGATTTGAGCTTTGTTATCAATTTGCGAAGCCATTGCAAGAAGGCAAAGATGATGATAGTGTTGGAACAAATTGAAGTCAGGAAGCCGGGCCGGTCACGGTATTATAGGCCGGAGTACGAGCCAGTTTTAGTTGCCGACCTGGAGACATAGTGGATTTAGCGCCTTTAGCGCCTTTCCCCAGGTTCTTATCTACGCTATCTGCGGGGACGTCTTAGTTCCGGCGTTTCGGCGTTACGCCGAAGAGATCGCTAAACTTTGAGTCACGTATGTTGAATAATGGAACCCTTGCCTTCGCCAAGAAGCACGATAGGGAAAAGGTCCTAACACATAGTGCTGCTCAGGTCTGATATTACGCGGTTGTCGGTATTTATTTATTAGACGATTAGACGTGTCAACTCCTATTGTATTATATCTGTATCATAACTTTCGGAAGGACAAGTTATTGTGCGGATTTACAAAGTCTCACGTGATTCTGCGGGGGCTTACAATCTAAAATATCTCATCTCACCAAGCCATTTTTGATGCTGGGCAAGCAGACATCTAAACTAATATCTTTGACAAAGGTTGTATTCTTGCTGTGTTCGCTACGTTCAGGTCCGGTCAGAAAATAATATTTATCGCCAAGAACAATGCCTCAAATATCCTACGTGCTTCCTGGACAACCTTCAAGACGCCTAGGCAAAGAAACAGAAGCCGTCCTCAATGAAATGCACGAGATGATCCTGGAGAGGTTGGGCGACAGTGGTAAGAAAATGATCGAGCTTTTCGACAACTCTGTTGGTCAAACTCGGGGCTGGGGAGAAACTCTGATATTTGCACCGAACAGTCCTGAAAAGGTTGTTCCTCACGACTATGGCTTGGCGGCAATGATAGGAGAGAACACTGACTACACAGAGGCTTGGGATGAGTATGTACCTGATAGTATGCAACTCCGTAGTGGTCACCAGCTATGTGTTGCATGCAAAGCCACCTTCAACTATTTCTGCGCGTTCCAAGCCGACCCAGAAAAGATGAACAACAATGTCTTGCACTCGGAGTCACTGCTGTCGGTCTTCAGGTCTGCCACATCCCGCCGTTGCTACATCTGTCATCAGCTCTGGGAGAAGATCATCAAGATGTATCCAAATATGGTACCAGACATGTATCCCGACTACAGAATCGAGTGCTGCTGGACCACCTACAGAAATGATAATAAAGAGACCAAGATGTGGATGATCATGTATAACCATTCAATGCGGAAGTTGCCTATCTATAACTATCAGCATGTACTGCGGATAGGTATCTGGTCAAGAAAGTACTTTGGCAAATACTTTGAGAAGAGTATTAATAACCGAGACGTTACTGTTGCGGATGAAGGGTCGAGTGACACTGCGGATGGCTATACCAACGATAATGACGATGCGAAGGCTCTGGCTTTATCATGGATGGCGAGATGTATGCAGAACGCCGATGGACAACATGATATATGTAACCACCGCGACGAAGACTACCTCCCAACTCGTCTTCTCGATGTTAAAAAGGCTCTACAAAACAAAGTGGTACGTCTAGTTTGCCCCAGTAAGAACGAAGAAGCATTCAGGGGTACCGAGTACGCGTCTTTGAGCCATTGCTGGGGTGCTCATGGTGTAAAGGAGAACCCCAAGTTGTTAACTACCAACGTTGACCGCAGACAAGCTGAAGGCTTAGATTGGAAGAACCTACCCAAGACGTTCCAAGATGCCTTTGAAATCGCATCTTGGCTGAGCCTGGACTGGCTGTGGATTGACTCGATGTGCATCATGCAGGATTCCGAGTCAGACTGGAAAGCTGAAGCGTCTGTGATGGACCAAGTCTACATAAACGCCAAGGTGAACATTTCGGCGGACAAAGGTCAGGATAGCCGATCAGGTTGCTTTGCACAACGTCAAGATGTCGACATCACGCCTCTTCACTTTCAGGCCACTAAACTCGAAAAAGAATGGATGGTAACTACGGAGAACAGTTTCGGGTGGATGGAATCTGCACCTTCGCTCTCAAGGGCCTGGATCCATCGCGAGAGGCAGTTGTCAAGACGTATCCTGCATTTCACTGACAAGGAAATTGTATGGGAGTGCTGTGGAATTGGAAAGGCCTGTTTCGCCAGCGAGACCATGCCGTTTGGTTCGCCCTTCAAGAAGATCTTCAATGGAGAAACAAAATTCCAAATCCAGATTGCAGATGCCATGGATACGAAGCTGAGAAGACGAGAACAAAAGGATAAGCTGCACACACTCTGGAACTCCACGTGTCAAGACCTCTCAAACAAGTCTGTCACCTATGCCTCGGACCTGCCTATCATACTCTCAAGTCTAGCTAGGGAATTTCATACCCTGTTCGACGGTGATGAATATGCTTGCGGCCTGTGGCGGTCAACTATGGCCGAGTCACTAACCTGGTGGATACCCGGCACTAAACCAGAGTATGAAGGCTACATTGCACCATCATGGTCATGGCTCAGCGCTGCATGCCCAGTAGAGCTGTACCATCCGGGACATCAACAGCACAAACGAGCCGTCGTTGACGTATTATATATCTGCAGGGCGTACGAGTCGCACCTGGATACTGGCTTTGGAAAGCATGCCGTTGGAACATCCATGGGTGTGAATGGCTTTTTGCGCAAGCTGCATTTTTACTATACGGGTCCTACAGCAGATGGTATCGTACTGAGTGTCGTTGAAGAGGATGGCCATGGCAATGATCTTATCCGTAGCATCGGCGGGGATTGGGATGAAGACGAAGGGATGATGTTCCGCATGACGACGGATGGTTGCCTCAACCTGCAATCCCGTGAATTCGAATGTTACGGTCTTTTCACCACATTGGACGAGTGGGCACCAGATCGTAGTCAATGCCGTCGACGGCTGGCCTGTGTTCTTCTTGAGCATGAATCGGCAACTAATAGTGGTCCCCATACTTATCATCAGTACAAGAGAATCGGCACGCTTGACGATATCAGCGACTTCTACAGCTTTAAGCTACGTTACCGAGTTACCTCAGACGCAAGAGTTCCAGAGGCTGGAGTGCCACGAGATGAACGGGACGAAAATGCTACAGACTACGCCGGCCCGCCAGCGCCTGAGACATGGTTCCAAAAGGATCATGGTCCTACCAATGGTAAGCTGGATCGGAAAGAACGTGGGGAAAGCTGTCGAGTAGGGACTATTCTGAAGGGGGATGACCAATCTTCCTGCGATGAACAATCAGATCATGGTGACGGGATGAAACGTGAACCGCTAGATGACATATGGTACTTGCTAGCACAATACGTCGGTTGGGTCCGCTGGATAGCTATTCGCGAATCCAGGGAGAACGAAGAACCAGAATCGACTGTGTACTCGACTTCCGGAGAGTCAGAGACAGATCAGAGCGAATTCGAAGAAGAGGAAGAAGGAAGCCAGGATGACCAGCTGCATGACAATTGTGCAGATAAGGAGAGTAGTGCAGGTGATAAAGCTGCCATGTCGAATAACGACAACGGGAGCAGTGGAAAGATATTGACCTCTCCCAAGATGGACGGCGGTAACGGAGAGTCCTTGAAGGAGACGATTCCTGAGGGACGTGGAATCCACTCTTCTTCATCTACAGGCTTTATGCCCACCACCGAAACAAACGGAGGGAACCAAGATGCGGAAGATGGAAATAGTGGCAAGGGTGATACAAAGGAGGATAAGAAGGACGAGAAGCGAAAGAGAAATCGTCAAGAAACTTTACATCTCGGGAGTGTGATTTTGAAAATCCATGACCATGCCTCTTCGGGGCTTGAACCCATCACTGGCGCTGAGAACGAAGACGAGGCCTGGGGTCGTCTACAGGAAGTGCTATGGTTCGAAACACAAACTCGGGCGTACGGGGCAAATTATGGCGAGGACCCCAAGGCTGCCATGTATCAGTTTGACGACGTATTGGAAACGTGGCAAAAGACATATGGTGTGGTTCCATGGTTAGAAAGGTTGGATATTTCCAAATTTGGGATAGTCTAATGACCGACCTGGAGTTAGCGAACAGGGATAAGTGGAAACGGGTCTCTGTTGTCATACATACTTTATTGAAATGAGCCTTGCGAGTAGCTCGATCCGGATATACAAGAAAGACATCATTTAACTCCATCCACCCGGCAGCCCTGTCGCTTCCAGACACCAAGCGTAAGGGTAGACTAGCCCAGATCTAGAACATAAGTCCTTACTAATCCAGAGGGTGCTCTGGGAAAGCTAGCGCAAGTTAATGCTAGTGTAGGTCGTGATACGAAGTGTATTTTCAGTATCACAGCGGCGAGCAACGTCAACCCTGAATGCCACCAGGTTATCTCGTGTCTTAACCGAACTTCCTAAGTCTTTCCCGTAAGTCAGACCCTTGACCATTGGCTGTTTAGTGGAAAACGTGATCTTGATAAGTGATGAATATCAATTAAAAGAAAAAAGGTTTAACACCCAACTCTCTAGCGCAAGGTACAGCATGTTTATTGGAACAGTCTCAGTTAGCGTTGATGATCTGATGAGATGCAGCGGTGGCCTTTTTAGCATGAGGCTTGTTTCTAACCCCGGGTCTAGCAGGTGATTACAATGGAATAGCTTATTTACGTTTCGCAGTCTCGCATGGATTTCTATTGTTTGGATGTTTCGATGAGGTCCATCGGTGGTTTACTCAACATAAGAGTAGTCTCTAACACTAGCATTCAAAGGATGCGACTTTTCTTCGCCTTCACATTATTCCCATTAATTAAAAAAAAACCTCATTCCGATGTTTAGACCCCTAATGTTTAGAGGTTGCAGCGAGGATCAATCCTAAATGTTCTCCTACTCAAATGGCCTGACTCGTAATCTGCTCAGAGAGTGTAAACATACTCTGAGCCACAGTGCCACTTCTCCGTCAAAGCCTTAGTCGCACTTCCATTCAAGGTACCCTCGTTCTGGATATCATGCTCCCTTGCCTTTTCCAACTTTCTGTTTCTCCAAGCAAGGAAGAACCTCAACACAGTCGCCATAATAATACAGAGCCCACTGAAAGCCACGTTCGCTACGTTTGCCTGCCAATATCGCGGGCCTTGAGTGGATGGATAGAAATATGAGGCATAGATGGAAGCAAGGTTGGACCCCGCGTTGACAACTGCATACGAGATAGCGCGCTTTGTCGACGGACGCGGCAGGGAAGATGATACCCATGACAGAATACAACCGAAGGATCCATAAATTGACATCATCATGAATGTAGCGATATAGCGAGCAGCAGTGTTCAGAGTGACAGCCGAGATGATGAAGCCGATACTGCAGAAGATCTGCGGCCACACAACATGCAGCCATCGCTCGTTGACACGATCGCTATGCCACGAATTGGTAATACCTAGAATAGCAGCAAAGACATACGGTGGCGCAGAAAGCAGGAGTGTAATGGTCGAGCTGTATCCAAGGGTCTTGACAATGGTGGGGAAGAAGTTGGTGAAAGCGGCAGCAGTGTTGAGTCCAAGTTGCATGATCCAGATCATGTAAAGTGCAGGGTCGGCAAATGCCATCTTTGTACCTTCCCACGCTGACACATCTGCTCGATCATCTTCCTTGTTTGCATCTTCTGCCATTCTCAAGACGGCGATTCGGCGTTCTTCGTCGCTGAGCCAGCGCGTGGTGGCAGGATAATCTGGGACAACGAAGTATGTAACGACTGCGGCGGGGTAGGTTGCGCATCCTTCAATGATGACTGCAAGATTATTAGTCGAGGCTCCTCGAGAAAATGGAAAAAGAAACGTACAAAGCCATCGCCAATTTGCAAGGCCTGCTTTACCATCCATTCCAGACATGATAGCACTTCCAAGAAGACCACCAAAGGCACCGGCCATTTGGCCAGCAGCGTAGAGAACCGATATGCGGACGGCAAGTTCCTTCTTGGTGTACCATGAGCTGAATAGAAACAGAGCGCCGGCTGTCATCGGTCGTTAGTCATGATGCGAGACTGGTGATTGGGTTCAGCTTACGAAAGAACGGTGCCTCGACGAAGCCAAGGATGAATCTAAGGGCAATCATGCCTTCGTAGTTCTGCACGGCTCCAGTACAGGCGCTGACAGTTGCCCAGCAGACCATGATAGAAGGCTGAAGAGTTAGTTAGGATCTCAGAACACAGAGCACCACCAACACGTACCAAGAAGATAGACGGTCGCATCTTGTTTAAAATCATGTTCGTAGGCACCTGAGTGAGGATGTAACCAACGAAGAAGATACTGATGACAGTATTGTACTGTTCATTGACAAGACCAATATCTTCTTCGAAGTTGCCAAGTCGCGCCGTCGCGATATTGTTGCGATCGAGATAGTTAAGAATATCTGTATGGTGAAAACGTCAAGCAGGGGCGAATTGCGACATCTTCTAGACTTACACAAAAGCATCATCAATGGCATCATTCGCTTGTCGATTCGTCTCACTAGAGCCTTCTCCTTGGTCGGTCGGTCATGAATATCAGCTGAGGCTCCATCCAAAGTCTCGAGCCGGACCTCGTCGCCGTTGTCCTTGATCATGTCTTCACCCGCCATGTTGACTCGAGATTGTGTTTCAAAATAACTCAACCTTTGAGATGGAGGTTGTTGGTCTCAAAAAAAAGCAAGACTTCGGTATTTATTGGAACCACACTCTGCACTACTTCCAGTCTATCAACACCCAAGTTTGCCGACGACCCACCGTAAAACTGGAGACCTGGGGTAAAGTGTCTGGGGAAAACAAGTCGAGCGGGGAAGGAACCCTGCGAGCGCAACCTAATGAATCATGTAGTCTACCTCTCCTGGCCAATCCACGCTCATTCCGACCACTTTCCGATGGATCGACAAACCTCCGCCAGTGATATCTTCCTGTGAACAGCCGAGCCGAGGAGACGCCCTGGAGGTCCATTCATCTTACATGTTCGCGATATCCGATCGGCATGATGAGGAGCTGACGGACAGTAGACCGATATCTTGCAGTTATTAAAATCACCGGTTCGTTTACCGGTCGCATCTTAATGTGTTCTGCAGATTATAAGCCAAACATAAGACCTACTGCTGGTGCGCTGATACTTCCGGCTACTCCAATTTACCCCACACCTTACTCATCCCTCACGATGTCAGCTGACGAAAAGCCTACGATTCTCCATATTGGAGATCCGATTAAATACAATCATGAACTTTACGAGAAGCTTGAAGCGAAATTCACCATTATTCGACCTTCAGCAGAAGAACGCCAGCGTGGCCCGTTTATAGAAGCCCTTCGACAGAAGAAATGGGGTGACTTTCAAGCCGTCATGCGCCCATTCTGGATCACAGGTGGTGAAATGGGACGCTGGGACCGGGAATTGATTCCGCTTTTGCCCAAGTCGGTCAAAGTGTATGCATCGGCTGGGGCTGGCTATGACTGGGCTGATGTCGATGTCATGGCCGAAGCGGGCATTCTATACTGCAATGGTGCAGCGGCATCTTCTGAGGCAGTTGCTGACATGGCACTTTATCACATTATCTCTGTCTTTAGAAATATGCAGTGGTCTAACATGGCGGCTAGAGGGAGCGAGGAGGAGTTCAGAGATGCTCATGCTCATACCCAGCTCACAGCATACAACCCCCGTGGTCATACACTCGGTATGATTGGGTTGGGCAACATCGGGTATCAGATTGCCCTCAAAACTTACAAGGCACTGGGCATGCGCATCGCCTACCACGATCCTTTTCCAAAGTCACCAGAGCAAGAAGCCGTCATTGAGGCAAAACACTATGCAAAACTCGAAGACATGCTGGCAATCGCCGACTGTGTTGTGATCGCTGCCCCGGGCGCGGGTGGAAAGAAGATTCTAGGACGAGACGAGATTGCCAAAATGAAGAAGGGATCACGACTGGTCAATATCGCACGAGGTAGTTTGGTGGATGAAGAAGCTGTCGCCGATGCGATGGATTTGGGACATCTGTTTGCGGTGGGACTGGACGTCTTTGAAGATGAGCCAAGACCGAATCCGAGATTACAGAAGATGAGGAATGCTTCATTGACGTGTCATACGGCTGGTGGTGCGTTGGATACTTCAATTGGGTTCGAGAGGTTGGCTATGGAGAATGTTATGGCTGTGCTTGAGGGCAAGGAGCCAATTACACCGGTTAATAAGCACCTATTCAAGTAGAAAGGGATAAGGATTATCTATAGATATTGATTAGACTCAAGAATACAAGTGCTATTGAGCTATTTATGCCTATAAGACAACTCTATCTCAGGTCTAGGATTTACACGTAAAAGATGCCCATCCCCAGAGCAAGCACCAATGACTTGCCAAGTCCCCAAGAACTAAGCTTCAAACCTGCATTGTCCTCCAGCGAGGCAGTTACTTCTGCCACTACACTGTTGGTCGCGGATGGGGTGCTCTCCGCGGTGGTAACGGCTTCGCCTGCACTGGTGGCCGTGCTTGAAACATTCGAGGATTCTGGTGCGGCGGTCATTGTCGTGGAAGGCGTGGTTGTTGCAGTCAAAGCATCCTTCCCAGCGAGTACAGACTTGGGGCATTCCTTGTCCATTCGCTCACGCATATCTTCAATCCATCCGTTGACAGGGCTATAAGAGCTGATGTCAAATGCCCAAAGACGTCTGACGTAACAAGGCTCGCACATATACTTGACCGGGAGTCCACTGGCATCGTAGTCTTCGTCCCCTTCAGGGAACTCGTCAATGATGACTGTTCGACAATGTTAGCACCACGAACAAATTGAAGAGATCCTGATACCAACCGTTGCAGTATTTTCCTGTCTTGGCATCCTTGTCACAAAGCTGGTTACGGCCGTCCATCATAGGAGGCTCTCGTATCGCTTCCTTCGCGCAATGTTTTTGAAAGGAATCATGCCATTTCTGAAGCGAGTCGCCGCATTTCTTAGCGCAAATGCCATCGGTTATGGCAAAGTCGTCGTCGCCCTCAAGGGTGCCTTCCCAACCTGTGCTTCCCATGTCTATAAGGTTCTCATCGCAGTCGATATCGGATAAAAGTACCTTGAGACAGGCTTGGTTGTCTTTCATCCACTCGTCAACATAAGGTGAATTGTAAGGGATAAAGGCACTTGAGCCCCAGATGAGGGGGGATGCAAAAACGAGCGTAGAAACCAACATAATGGCGGTGCGACAACTGAAAGAGTGAAGTCGTCGGGATTCAAAATGAACGAATGGAGGGATTGACTGCCAAGTAGAGGCACAACTCTATGTAGGGCTGGTCAGTTTACTTTATAGCGAATGGCATGGACCCGTCATTTAGAAACATGCGATAAAACCCCTGGCTTGGTGGGACTGCCAAGACGACAGCCTAGAATAAAATTAGCCAAGCTCGCCAAGTCGGCTTGAAAAAAGCTGTAACCGAGCTTCTCCCAGCTTTCACCCGATCACAGCTCTTGAACATGTTGTTGGTTGGTGATGACTGAGAGCAAAAGTCCCATGCTGACTTCCCGTGACATTTCCAGGTGGAGAATTCATTAACCTTGACCGACGACACTTCGGCCGTTTACAAGCTTGTGATCAGATCAGTGCTTACTTTGGAGTTCCTCTCAACTTACCCTATAGTATCCGCAGTCAATTGACAATGGAGGCATACTAAGTCGACTCGAACCTCGATAACCAAAGATAATGTTTTTTATTGCGCTTGTGTACTAGGGTCGGAAATTTTTGGAAACTAGGATTGGAATTGTTAAAAAGGAGTACTGAAAGGCTGGAAACGCGTGAATAAAACCTGCGTTTTGGGTAAAAAACAATTTAGCAAAAGGTCAGTAGAAATTAATAAAGAAAATATTGCAAGAGTAAGGTTTGGCCTAGAATCATAAAATATTAAGCTACCTTCTTGGTTGAGTGTTCAAATACTTGATATAAGCCATTTTCCCTTTCTTGTTCTTGTCAGTAATTGCTATCCAGCCCTTGGGCCGCGCTTTCGTTGTCATCAAGGTCAATAACCAATTTTTACTGTCTCAACCAAAACCTCATCGAAGCTACTGGCTGATATGAAACAGTGCTTGCAGTAATGCTCGGCTTGCTGGGCAATGGGAATAGATTGCTAAGAGCCTGGTTCCTTCTATGACATGTCAGTTTTTACGGCAGCCACTTTGGTTTCAGCTCATGCAGCCACTTGCACAAGTACAGACATATTCAAAACCAGGCTTCAGAGTTCTTGTAATGATAGTAAGGGATCTCGACGGACTTGACATCATTCCTGGACTGGTAAATCTATCTGTTGATATGATAAATCATGTCCGAGTTTCAACCTACTTGACGTCTACCTATGATGCCGGACTGGCATATTGTAGCGGGTCACGGGCGCCATTGTTCATCGAGAGCCTGATTTCGATCACAGCACAGGTGTGTGTTGGTTCCATATCCAGATCATATCGTGTTGCACTCTGATTGGGGACTCTGACGCTCAACTGTACGAGAGGTTGCAGAAGCTGACCACTCCGCACCCAACCCGGCGTTCTTTCATTGGTGATACCAATATCCTAGCTGGGGTTCTTAATGTTTGCCACGAGAGTGAGAGGACCATTCTTGTCCGCAATATTAGACTGATATCCCCCCGTGAGAGAATCCTTTGTCCACTCGATCCATTTCCTGAAACAAAGTCCTCCCATTTTTGCAATGCAATGCGCGTTGGTACATATAATCGATGGACCCCTTTCCACATTTCACACCGCGCCGTCAAGTCAGACGAAGCGACGATGTATCTGCATACGAGCCTTTTGACACCAGCCAAGAGCACCCTGGACTTGGTAGGCCCATGGAGAGACAACTTTGTGACGTCTCAGAGATTGCCGCACTGCTAGCGTGCTTTGGCTGCAGCATCACTGGCTTGATCTGTTCTTTCCATCCAGCGACGGCAGCATATCTGGGACAAAAGTATCAGCTTATCATCGTTGGCTTGATGCTGTCTCTTATGTACCTTTGCACCAGCAAATTGACAACAATTGTGTTTCTGCAACTCGAAACAAGATGGGCGAGTCTCCTCCAGAACTACGATTCGATTATTAAGCGAAGTGTTTTGGGTAGTCTTCTGAACAGGCAACAAGCAAGCCAACGATGGACATTACTTCTAGCGTCATCTCTCGCTTTCCCACTCCTTCTCAGCGTTAGTTACAAGACATTCGTTGGCGGCAAGATCACCACCGTACTACACACAAGTGGGGGAGACTATGGGCTTACCGGCCCTGGCGGTCTTGCTAATTTTTCTGCCGGCTCTTCTCTCATGATCAACGCGACAATCCCATTCATGTCCACCCACGCCACAGAGCTACCCTTGCCACCCCACCCATTCGGGTTCAACATGTTGTTGTTGGAAAACAGCTCAGTCGCCATGCTCGATGCACCGAGTTCATCTTACATCAATGCTATACGAGAAAACCTTCACAGCGGGCAGCCATATACTGTGGCGGCGGAAGTCAAGGCTCTAGCATGGCACCTGGACCCCGAAGTTGATCAACATCGGAATGATGAAAGCTGGTGGAATCAGTTTTACGATAAAGGTTCGGCTAAGGAACCCGTGTACATCTCTCTTTATAAGTGGCATAAGTGGCATAAGTGGCATAAGTGGCTGTCGACTCTGTGGAAGGACGATCAGATCTCGGACTTTTTTGTTCTTCTTACTCCCCATGAGAAAGACAGAAAGGTGAGGCCGACGAAGGAGAGGTTTCAAAAGGAAGCACTTAAGTTCGCTAGCCAACATCTCATTTGTGATGGCAAATGGAGGATCACTCGCAGCACCGTCGATCTTATCGCGGGTGACTGCACTAGAAGATTCGATACACAGCTCCCTTCCGGCTGCATAGCTTTACACCTCAACGACGCTGTATTCCTGCTTGGAGACTTTCTTGGTGAATTGGAAACAGGGAAACTTGACGAAAAAGGCAAGGTTCGTCTTACAGCTGTTGTTTCGTCGTTATTCTGGTCTCGACTTGCTGCGTACTGTGGCATTGATTCTCCAACAAATCACTTGTCGCGGGATGACCTAGCTCAGTTCAAGTATCATAGGGCAGACCAAGCCTGGAAGACAGGTGTCGTGCTCAAACGCAGCCCTCTTCTGGCACTCGTTCTTCTGGCTCACCCGATCGTTGCCTTGGCACTCCTTATCGTCCGCATTTCTTTTTGTTCGGCATCTGTATCCGGTGGGTTTGGTCTCATCAGTGTCTTAGCGGGCCATAGGTCCAATGAAGGGGATATCTTAAGCGGAGCAGGGTTATCTGGGGATGCAAAGGATGCCATTGAGCTGTCCTTCGACACACGCGGCGGGGCGTGTGATTACGGAGGTGAAAGACTAGGGTTTCAGCTGAGGAAGGCAACAAACCTAAGGCATCGAGATCAAAGGAAACTGGTACCTAAAGTCAAGTATCACTGACTGAGATTGGCATAGAGTGTAAATTGTCATGAGTAACTGGAGTGTCCACTATCGTACGTTATCATTGCTTGCCATCTGAAACCTTCATCTCATGTAGCCTAAGAGCCAGATCTTGGGAATATCCACAGATTGTCCTAGTAGGATTTCAACTACCCGCAGTTGGGAAAAGAGCGGAGCCAGTAACATTAACATTCTCAATACCATGAGGGCGATAGAGCTCATCTACAGAACTACCGACCTCCTTAGGTCCCATGAAACAAGTGCTTGACTCATGAACAACACCAGGGATTCGAATAGTTTCGACTGGTGGTTTCGTCTTGCACCATTTGTGAGATGCCTCATTCCACCATTCGATACCAGACTGGTGCGCATCGCCGCCTGCCATTTCTTTCGTTATGTCGTAGGAGCCCTGGTCCATTACATCCCAGGCGGTACGATCCTCGTCACTCAAGGTGTATTGCAAGGTGACGTTGCAAGTCGGGTCCGTGGCTCGGGTAATTGACACCGCTTGCGATGGTTACAGCACATGTTAAAGTCAATCCTCCTGACATAGAGCTGGTCAGCTGCATTGTTGATAATCGTGGGTAGCTGCTCAAATCTGCGTCGAGATACCAATCTACAGTGACGTATGGCTGACAAACCTGGTGAGCGGCACCCGTGTGTATATCGCGCTAGACGAGGTCCCACGTGGATATTCCGTTGCAATAGACCAATCACTTTGTGACGCCAAGATAATCAATCAGGGATGGTAAAGGGGACCTTGAAATGCGGCTATGATTGATCTACATCACTGTCACGTAACAATTATTGGAGCGCTGTATGGCCTATCGCTTTCTGATAATGCTTCCTGTGACCAGAGTGGGATGTGACCAATCGGCACCACCTGCGAGGCCAGCATGGATCTAGAATCCTGGTCCCTTAATACAGGGCAAGGTTAACTGGTAACAAGTGTAAGCCGGCCCTAGGAAAGCCAAACCTAAGTTACAAAACTATTAAATCAGTCTGCATAAAGAATGACAGCAGAAGCGCAGGATAGTTCAAGCTTTGCCCTTGGAATTTTAATTTCTGTACAGTAATCCAAATTATCTACTATGTCTAGAATCTAGACAGACGCGGAAGCTATTGTAATCTTACATTGTTATTGTTGCAAGGAACCTATTGCCTGCGCCGACGGGAATATGTCCTCTGTACTGGGTTACTTGTTGGCGTATTGCAGCCAGTTAATTAAACGATCCCACGTTGCTATAAGAAAATAGGTAGAAATACTCTCAACAGAATAGCATACTCAATTTGTCTTATGTAGTATGGTGGTTGCACGTTAGCCACTTAAGCAACTTCTTCATTAACAGTTGCCTATTCATTGGCTTTGCAATGTAGTCATCCATACCCTTATCCAAACAATGCTCCATGTCGCCCTTCAACGCGTAGGCGGTCATAGCAATCACAGGTAACTCTATACCTTTACTTCGTATCTGACCCGTCGCCTCGTACCCATTCATAACAGGCATACTTATATCCATAAGAACCAAGTCAAACTTGTCAGGTGCTCCCAAAATGGACGAAACAGCCTGGGCGCCGTCTGAGACCACAGTTATGTGCTGGAATCCAAAGCTATGGAGCATTCCGACAAGAACTTTCTGGTTGATGATGTTATCCTCCGCCGCGAGAATCCGTTTTGAAGGTGAGATGGTAGCAAGTTGTCTGAGTGGCTTGGCAAGGTCTTCGCCATCGAAAGACTCTTGTGGTAATTGTTCAATATCGGAATCAGGCAGATTCTGAACGGGTTGGGCTTTCTGATGGGAGTCGAGCTTCCGTAGATTGAATGTGAACCAAAAGTTACTACCCTGGCGTTCTGGATTTGGTTTATATCCAATATCACCTTCCAACATCGAAGCTAGTGATTTCGCGATGGAAAGCCCAAGTCCAGTCCCTGGGCGACGTTTGTGGATTGGGGTATCCAGTTGCGTGAATGGCTTGAACAACTCCTTCGCATCATCTATTGTAACTCCATAACCAGTGTCGACGATCTCTGTCAAAATCGTGTAGGTGGTTGTATCTTCAGCGTGAGGCGTTACCCGCACCAGAATGTACCCAAGTTCGGTAAACTTAACAGCATTGCTGAGAATGTTTTCAAAGATCTGACGGTATCTCAGAGGATCGCCCTCTGCAAACTTCGGTAGGTGTGGTGAGAGGCTCACTTTCATAGAGACTCCCGGTTGGACAGCGGGCTGTAATGCACGCACCACCAACGTAACCAGACTGGTGATGTCGACCTTACCCTTCTGGATGGTAAAACTGTCAGCTGTAATCTTGGAGTAGTCGAGTATATCATTGATAATTCGCAATAGCACGCGACCAGATTCTTCAATCATATTGGCCGTCTCGCGCTGTTCCTCGGTCAAGTGACTGTCAAGGAGGAGCGAACAAGCAGAGAGTACACCATGCATTGGTGTACGGATTTCGTGACTAATGTTTGCCAGAAAATCATTCTTTAACCGTGCGCTCTCCTCGTGAGCCGCAATTAAACGTAACTCTGCCTCTTTTCGCTCGGTGAGGTCTCGTGTGACTTTGCCGAAGCCGACGTGCATGTTGTTCTTGTAGATAGCCGTGATAACGACGTTAGCCCAGAACCTGCTACCGTCCTTACGATAGCGCCAGCCCTCATCCTCCACTCTGCCTTCGCGTAAACAAATCTCCAGTTCCCTTTCAGGTTTCCCGGATTGGGTGTCTTCCTCGCCGTAGAATGTCGAAAAATGTTTGCCCACGATTTCTTCCTTCTTGTAACCTTTGTTCAATTCGGCTCCACGATTCCAAGTCATGACGTTCCCACGAGTATCGAGCAGAAAGATAGCATAGTCTTTAACGGCTTGGATGAGGATGCCAAAGGCATCATCAATAGGTAGCCAGCTCTGTACCATTCCGCCATCGGCTACGGTGACGTGGATCTCAGCTTTTTCCCATTCGACCACCAGGCAGAGGAGTTCATCATCCTTGTGTACGGGCTTGATGCGCGCCGTCCAAGCGACGTCATTCGCAATGTACGCCGCATAGCATAGACGGAGATCTCTGGACTCGATGGCTGTCTCGATAGCGTATACAAATGGTATACGATCAAATCGTTCAGTCGGCGAACCTTGGTAAAGAGCAACAAAGAGGTCTTGATCAATAAGGCCCTCACGACTTCGACCCCAGGCTTCCAGTAAGCCGACAGAAACCCTCTGTATACGATAGGAAGATGATACGACAAGGGAGGGTACGGGTAAGTAGTCGAAGATATCGTTGGTAGTAGGGATATAAGCGCCAAGGGCCTTAGCTGCTACGTCCATCTCCACAGCAGCTGCACGAGCAGAGTCTTCGCTAATACGACGTCTCTGTTAACTCGCAATATCAAACCTGCTTCAGGTGGTGGGGGAAATAAGATGGAGAAAAATTGAGGGGTTTGATTGTCCAAATTTTTAGATGCCGGTATGTACCTAACGCGTGAAACAATGACGTCAGAATTTATTCATACTTAGCAATGCAATTCCCTATGATGAAACTAGGGCACTCTGGCAATAAATAAAAGACGATAACTATTACAGGAATTCTATATACTGGATATATTATGGCTTTCGTAGGGTCTTTTGCTATCTCTACCCTATTGGTATTTCACTCTTAACCCTTTCTGCAGAGCCTACCAGAGTTTAAGTTGTAATCCCAGTCATCACTTCCCACACCGGAGAGAACCCAAAAGCTGTTACTGGCATCGTACTTGCTCTTGATCCTTAGCAGCTGGTGGTAGTAATTCCCATAAAAGTCCGTCTTGAAGTTTGAGTGGAAAGGGTTTCCCTCATTCATGTAAGAACCGGTCTCTGGAGCCCACTCCCGCCAGAGACTCTCAGGGTTAGGGTTAGGGTACTATTAATGTAGTCAGATCCTTTTCGCCGCAACACCTCTACAATTGTGAGGTAAAGCGATAAAGGCATCAGCCTGCAATTCCAGCTGACAGTAAGTTTCTCAAGAGGTTGCTGGTCCATATGTTGCAAGAATGAAAATTGTCTTAATTGACGGAAGCCGGCAACAGAATCGCGCATTGCTGAGTTTCTTTGCAAAAGTTCAACATCTGAGTACGCACGTATTTAATGGTGAGACTTCTCCGCTGAATGTCAACAAGGAGTTTCTATATCAATTGCTGCTTCTAAAGATACAACGTCATTATTCAACTATGGCTCATTCATCAAGGCTAGCGCCATCGCCCCGTCCTTCTGCTGGCCCTTCTTCCGTCGAGCGCAGCACCCAATAAAACCCTGCACAGTTGTCGCAAACCACAGCAGCATGCTGACTAAATTCACCCAGACCGCCGCGTGCATCCTGCTACGTGACACCACTGTTGAGAATACATCGTCGTCTGGCCTTTCTCTGGCTCCCAGATAGATGCTAGCAAACACCCCAAATTGCGCCAGCCACAAGACGAAGAGAGGAATGTCAAGAAGACCCCAATACCAAACAGCTGGGGCGAAGAATAGATGAACGAGACAGAAGATGATTGATACCCCGGCCACGATCTCAGCGTAAACCCAAGCGCTTCTTGCCTTGGTATTATTATTTGTCGCTTGTGCAAGATCGAGGCCGTACAGAATTGCGACAACGATGGCAAATGTACATTGCAATGTACGTATGGCAGCGCGGAAGGCTAGGCTTGGCAGCCTTTTCTGTTCCCGGTAGCTGATCGTATTCATCGCGACCATCGGCAACTTGTTGGTAGGAGAACTGGGTCACGACCTTTCCTTCTACGAACAATTGAGTGCAGGGTTAGAAAAGTTCCTTTGGTGTCATAGCGTACCGAATATGAAGTCTTCTCACCTGTTTGTGTTGGGAAGATATGAGAGGGTTACTCCTTCTCCAATTGCTGTAATTGCGCGGCGAGGGAATTTCCAAACAGAAAGACTCCGGGAAGGAAAGGAACGCTGCATAAATACGAGAACTTTTACTTGTTCCCACCTAGGGCTGTGTGAAATAATGGGACACAGCTCACTAGCTGCTCTTGGGAAAGATTTACCATTCGACATCTTGACGATTAAGATGAACCAGCCACTTTCGTCTTCTGAGAATAGTGGATTGAACTTCATGATACCTTGTAAAGGCTACCTCGGGTAATGAATTAACAAGATGACAAAGTGGAGCAAAAATGAGAAAGCGCAGAGCTAGGCTTCCCTGTGGAGTAACAAGAGACCTATCGTAGAAATCTCGTATTCAAATGCGAAAACGTACGTCACCTTGAGACTAAAGCGGTTAGTTGACCGGATCATTTCAGGCGAGGCCCATAGGCTCCATAGCAAGTGCTATTACCGTATCGCCGGTGGAAACGAGGGTTTCTCATGCCCGATATTCTTGCTACCTTTACTAAGACAGAATGACACGGAGGCAATTTAAGCTTGGTGTCACAGAACATGTTCATAGGCAATTCGACAGACGTATCCGACCATTGCAGATGACAGTGAGCCAATATTCACATCCGTCTCTCCAGAGTATGAAGACATGTATTAAGTTATATCAAGCAATGACTATTATAAGCGAAAACAAGTTCAACTCAGCTCACACCCCCTCTCGTGACACAATGGTACCTAGGAATCTCTTAGATACTCATTTCTCGATGCATCGTATGTGCAGTATCTTTGCCCTTTTCCTCATCGCCGCTGGATGATGGCGGGGCAACATGCTCACCTCGAGTCATGACCACACTGTCACGAACCCCTTGAGTCAAACCACCGAAGCCATGTCCAACATCACCAGCAAAAATATTATCGATCTTCTCAAGAGAAAGACCCTGTGTCTCGGGGTAGCAGAAATACACCAGTGGCATGAAAGCAAAGTTCATAGCGATCCCTATATAAGTGGCACGTCAGCACAGCACATTGGTGTGGTAATAGAGGCGGGGAGTACTTACAGACAATCCAGTATCTCCAGTTGATCTGCGACAGAGCAATAGGTGTAATAGTAACAACAATTCCGTTGACTAAAACTGGTTAGTTTTCGGAGAACAGATTGAGCTACATAGAAAGACGTACAGAGCCAATTCGATGCAGACGCTAAGGCTGACCCCTTAGCTCTCATTTGCAGATTGTTGATCTCGGGAGCGTAGAGCCAAGGAATGTTGAGGTAGCTGACGGCGAAGGCATCGTAGAACAGGAAAAACATGGTTGTTACCAGAATGCCGCCCCCTCGGCCTCCGATATTGAAACCAGCCACAACAAAGATGAGAGTCAGCATTTGAGCAAAAGCGCCCCAGATCATCCATGTGCGGCGGCCAAGTCGTTCAATGACCCAGATGGGAACGAGAGACACAATGAAGAACTGGACGGCAGCTGCTGAGGACAGGATCAAGGCAAGGTCATGAGGAAGATCGACATATTCTTGGAGAATGACAGGCATGTAGTACGCAACAGCACTGTTAGGAAAGTCAGTACAAGTTGGAGGTCTAGAGGATGAATGGAACTTACTTGATACCAGTCATTTGCTGTATAAATAGACCACCAACACCAAGCAACATTCGGCGAAAGTTCTGCTGTCCGCCGTGTCTGAAGATGTCGAACATGCTGCTGGAAGTACTCTCGGCTTCCAAAGCCTGTTCAATTTCGCCGATGACCTGTTGAACTGTAGGGTCGTTCTGGCTCGAGCCGTTTAACCGAGCTGCCACTTCACGTGCTTTCTGAATTGAAACGTGATGCGCGGTCCATCGGGGCGATTCGACGAGGAAAGGCGCTATAAAAATCAGACAGAGGGAGAAAATACATTGAAAGGCAATGGGGAACTGCCATTGAAGGGAGCTGGTAGCGTGAGACGCGCCGAAACAGATCCAGTTAGAGATGGCGAGGCCGAGGATGATGAGTGCTGCTTCGACAGTGATGAGAGCGCCACGGCTGTGGGCGGATGAGACTTCAGCTTGCCACTGTTATCAACGAGTATTAGTCAAGTCTGGCAGGAGTAAACTGAGAAGATCTTACAGAAGGAATGATAGCTGTGTTTGTACCTACTCCAATGCCGGTGATGATTCGTCCAGCGATGAGTTGGCCTATGGTGGTGGCTGTGACTTGCAAAATGGTCCCGATGATGACGATAGATGCGCCTGCACACTTCAAATAGGTCAATCGAAAGGAAGAATAGTTTGAATCTGCTCCGGACTCACAATGCATGTACGCCGTCTGAACTTAGACAAACCGAACGTTGTCAAAAATCCTATCAAGCATCCTAGATCGTATAGACCAACCACGAGACCCTGCTGAGTTGCCTGGGAACTAGATTAGATCGCAGTGAGGTGAAAGAAGGGAGGACTTCGCACGTTAGGGTCATGGAACCGCTCTTTGAAGGTAGTCGATCCGATCACACCTCCCATGACACCTTGATCATCTGTTGTGGTATCGATCAGTCATATCCTTCATAGCTACTGAAAGGTCACTTACAACCAAACAAAAGAAAGCCAAGACCACAAACAGTGGTGATGGCACTCATGAGAGCTTTGCCTCGAAGATACATGATGCCTGATATTGTAATAATTAAAGTGCTTGATGAAGGATGATGTACCGAAATAATCCAAGATTGACCGCTGCTTTATATATCCCCCTGGCTCGTTCGAAACATGAATCTAACCCAGGATGAAATCTCTAGTCCTCCCCGCAATCGTACCCCAGAGTCGGTAAACCTTTGTGGGGGAACTCGGTAACTAAAGTGATTGGCCGATGAATCTGGGGGAGCCAACTTGGTGGCTTTCGCTCGAGCTAGCCGTTGGAGAACTACAAATGGCAATCTCGCGCGAAATTTCCACTTTTGCTTATCAACTTTTGGCTGGAGTGAGACACACCCTGCGTGTACCGCGAGTCATTCCAAAGCCTGGGTGGAATTGATCTGCGGAACGCATCGAGCAACATGCGTTGGATCTGAAAGAAAGTTAACACGTATCAGGGGAGGATATTTAGTCAGCATGGCCTGCGATGGGTATAAGACAGCTTGGAAGCCTGGGCTAAATTGAAGTACAGCACACCAACTACACCCATCAAACCCGCGGCATTAATCCTTTGTTCTGCGATCGCAATGGCCCCATCGAAGACCCAAGAGACACCTGAGCCTTCGTCCCACAAAAGTGCCGACCTTCTCAAGCACTCGGACGAGTCGGTTCTTACAGACGAAGATCGCAGAGAACTTGTTTTTACCGACAAACATAGTTCCCCGGATGTCTATATTAGCTACAACAAAGATACTCTGTGGCATCCCTGGACAGGAACATTAGAGCTCAAGCCTCTGCGCTTTGAAACACGCTCTGGACATTTCGTTGTATCGCTACGAACGCCTGTTGATGCTTGGCTCGGTAAGCACAGGCACCGGGGTACCGTTACAGCTGTCACAATGTCTGGAAACTGGCGATACAAGGAGTAAAACTGTACGTCCAATTAATGGTAGACATTAGCTAACAATGTTAGGTACGACTGGGTTGCCGGACCTGGTGACTATGTCGTTGAGAATCCCGGAACGATCCATACGCTATCCATGGGTGCTGGATCAGAGGTAGTGTTTACTATTACCGGCAGTCTTGAGTTCTTCAACGACGATGATAGCTTGAGACAGACGATGGACATCTTTAGCTTTGCACAGTTATATTATGACCATTGTGAGAAGGAGGGCATTGAACCGAACTCGAAACTGTGGTATTAAGAGATATATCGATCTGCAGTATGTTAGTTAGCACATCAAATTGATAACTTTATAAGATGGAAACATAACTCGCTATCATACTGGTGTAGGCAGGTGATTCCCTTTCCCTTTCCCAAGCCACATACAAGTCACGTACTCGATATTTAGCAGCCCAGCCAAGATCTTCCTCTATATCACACAGTAATCTAGCACACAACTCCTGTTCCCGTAGCTCAGTCAAACATCGGCCAGCTACTATAGTTTAGTGGAAGAACTTGTGCGGCCATGGAAGAGACTTACCGTAGTAAATAGCCTGCACGGAATGGACCCGAGCTCCTCCGTCCGGCTCGCCCAGAGCTACCCCGCAAATCTGCAAGGCGTGAGATCTCAGCTTCTTCTGGAAAGGCCATTAGTGTCAAATTAGTTCGACAGTGGCGTCCCTGGCGTAAGCGAACCTGAATCTCCTGTCCACTCTGGCATCCTTGATGGAGACCCGAAGTGAGAAGGAGGATATTGCATAGATGGTACATTTGCCATGCTGAGGCTGCGGTGCCCAATGTGAAGTATATAGTGTCGAAAGAGTCATCTCCTTGTCTTGTTACAGAGATCGGTTCGCATGTCGTAGGGAGGGTATCTTTCCAAAACCTCAGCATACTCGTCAATCTCTTACTGTCATGGTCTAGACGATCGAATACTCGAAGCGAACCACTTCTGTCGTTGCAGGAGTAGGCTAAGTGGCATATCTGAGCCAGTATAGTAAGTATCCTGTAGCCTGTCAGCACCGGTGGTTCATTCATTACAGAGGTGTGCATACCTCCTGTTAGCCATATCCTCTCGGCCTACCTCCGTGTTTTGTCCCAGAATCTCGTACCATGATTCTGGATCTATCCTCGGTTTGCTTCGATTGATCGGGCAACAGACTACCTCCTGACGAGCAAAGCACCAAAAACCAGCCTCCTCCAGCCCACCACAAGTTCTATTGATACCCCGTATCTTACCGATCTGGGATATCCCCTCTAGGTGAGCTTGCCAATCGGATCCGGTGGCGTCTATCATTTCGTAAACGCTGCATAGCACCGTGGCGACGAAGGTTTCGGGTGATGGTGCTGGACAATCTATGGAAACTTGGCGAATCAGCTGCTCGATGGCAATGCTGTAGGATGCCTGTGCTTGCCTCATCCACTCATCGGCTTTGGGAGTTTGTGGGGTTGACAAAGCGAGTTGTTTGGCCGCGCAAGCGACGCAACATTCCTTGACTAGATTGGCTCTGGTGGCGAAACGAGGGACGAGCTTGGACCATGTTTGGCTGAGATCGGAGAGATCCATCCATTGTCCAACGACTTGAGCGAATCTCTGCAGTAAGGCTGCCTCATTGGCTGTCAATGACACTGTCGGTGGTTGATTAAGAAAGTCTCCCCACGCGTTTCCAAGAGGTGTTGTTGGGTAGTGACCTGGGGGTGTCTCGTTCCGGCTGACTGGAGAGGAAGGTACCACAGGGTCGGAGTTGTCTGTATCGCCAGTAAGGTACCAATCAGGGTTTGATCCCTGTCCCTTGGGTTGCCCAGGAGTCGATAAGTATGGCGACAAGACCGCTTGACTATGCAATCGGTTTTTCACAATATACATAGGAGATGAATCCTTATCGTCGACAATGACAAGATAGCCATCAACTATAAGCTCTGTGTCGTCAATGAACTTAACTGCTCGACCATTAGGAATGCCTGAGCCGTTGGGACGATGTACCTACAGGGAGCACTGCTTCGCACCCAAACATGGTCTGGTGGAAAGTCCCAATTTGCTTGTACGGGTACCCTGTCCCGGAACTGACTGCGCATGCCGAAATACCTTAGAATCGTCAAAAACACATCCCCGTGATCCCTTGGTGCATTGTTGGCATCTCGGGATTTGACCTCCACATTTGACTCGACGTTCTCGACATGTACGACTTGATCGATTTCTCGTTAGCAATTGCCCTCGAGGATTTCGTCGACTGACTCACCAGCGACGCGACGGGCGTGATGAGGTGTCCATGAGGCGCAGAGACGGACTTGAAATTGTGCAAAGGCCAAAAGCTGTACAAAGATGGCAAGTTTCCCGAGGGTTGATAGTGCTTATATCGTTGCCCCACGTAGCCAAGGCGTCAAATGACGGCAGTAGAGAACAGCTCGCGACATGTTACCTTCAAAAGAAGGGAAATTTCTCGACCCCACGGGGCGGCGCAGAACATGATCTAGCGCCGTTCGGTAATAAAGAGCAGTATAAGTCACGGCGATTGCTTCTGCTACCAGATATCTAAACAGAATCATCTTCGTCACCTCAAGCATAGCCCTCTTCAACTGATTGCCATCTTCTATAACTCCCCTCTTCTCATTCCTCATGTCTCTTACTGCAAAGACCCTGGCCGGCAAGATCGCCGTTGTTACAGGTGCATCTTCAGGCAATGGCCGAGCTATAGCACTTGCTCTCGCAAAGGCTAGCTCCAAGGTCGTCTGCTCTGACCTCCAACCCGAAGCACGACAAGAAGGATACGAGAAAGATCTTGCCATTCCTACCCATGAGCTCATCAAGAAACTTGGCGGCGAATCCATCTTCCAGCGATGCGACGTGTCAAACAGCTCACAGATACAAGAGCTCGTGTCCAAGGCCTCGCACGCATTTGGACGTCTTGACATCATGGTCAACAACGCTGGCATTTTCATAGGTCTCAAGAGCATTCTTGAAGAAACTGATCAGGATTTCGATCGTACCATGTCGATCAACACGAGGGGGACGTACTTTGGATGCAAGTACGCTATAAAGCAGTTTCTTTTGCAATCTGAACCTGCGACAGACTCGTCTGGAGATGCTCAGTCCCACCCTGCCGTTGGAAAGATTATCAACATTGCTTCAATGGGAGGCCTAATTGGTCTGGCCAGGGAACCCTCATATTGCGCTTCAAAGGGTGCTGTCGTGAATCTTACACGACAACTCGCTGTTGACTTTGGTCCTTCTCGTATTAATGTCAACGCCTTATGTCCCGGATTCCTGGCTACTGCTATGGTGAGACCCTTTATCGAAGATAAGGCTCTCAACAAGTCTCTCCATGATGCTACCCCGTGGCCACGACTGGGATCTGCTAAAGATGTTTCAGATGCCGTTCTCTTCCTCGCTTCGTCACAAAGCGATTGGGTCACAGGTTCAATCATGACAGTGGATGGTGGTTTTACTTCGAAGTAAAGCAACTGAGTATCTCTACCATCGATAGAAATAATTAATCTTGCAAGACTTATAAAGCAAATACTGTTTCATGAGTAATGAGCAGCTCTATGGAAGAAAGAGGACATAAGAACAGGAGATAAGTAGTAGAAGCGAGAGGAGGGATGGGGATAAGGAAGGCAGAGGAGCACTAGCAAAAGTGTCAGCTACGGGCCCCCACTACCTGGGACAGAACTGCGAGTATCCTCTTCTGCCATCTGTACTCAGCACGATAAAGAGATTTTGATATTTGGTTACTGTTCAACTTATCACATAGGCTGAGCTTCCAGGAGCGCCCGGTATAACTCTGATACTGACCCCGGAATACTTTCTCCGCGGATCTTATCCATCGGCCTATAGTAGCCGTCTTAGTAGTCGGTAACCAATGGGAAAATCTCAACTTGACGTTCATAGTTAGCTTTTGCGTTAGGTCTACCAGGATACCTTTTGAAGGAGCTGCTGATTCATTCTTGTACAAAGGCGTTGGCTGGTCTTCAGTCATAGTAGAGGAACGGGACAACAGCGTCGTCTACAAGGATAACGAAGGCGTCGTAAAGCCCTTGGAGAACATTCTTGTCGAGGATGGTGTTAACTTTACCCCTGAACGTGTCTGGACTGTTGAAGGCGACTATGGAATCGACTACAACATACAACTGGCCAAACGAGCCTGGAACGCAGGATTGCAACTCGGGCTCAACTTGCACTTCAGCCACACCTTGACCAACCCTGAACAGCAGGATATTCCCTCTGGCTGGCCGACCGATACCGATGGATAAGAAAAGAGGTGGTGGATTAATGTCACTGAAGTGGCGGAGACATTTTATGCTGAAGGTCTTTTCCCCCTCACAATCACGATTGGCAACGAAATCCCAACCGGCCTGCTTTGGCCCACTGGACACATCGACAACCCAGAAACCCTCTCCCGTCTTCTTCACACTGCTGCGCAAGCAGTTAGACGATCATCACTCGGAAACAAGGTCTGTCTTGACTCATTTCGCTCATGGATACAACAAGGAACCGTAGAACGGGTTCTATGACGTCGTTTTAGCGCCTGGCTATCTTAAGCTTGAGGATTGGGATGTTATTTCCGCCTCTTTCTCCCCTGTCTAGGGTGAGGGTGCTACTTTCACTGCCTTGACTAATTGACGTACCTATCTGTCGACCAGGTTCGGTAAAAAAGGCTCAGGTTGTCGAGACCAGCTGGCGTCCTGGCTGTCCCGACCCTAAATATCCATCCCCTGCGGACCAGAAAGATATCCCCTTCATCCCCTTTAGTCAGTGGGACTATCTCAAGCGACTGGCCAATACCCTCAAGGCCATCCCGAAAGCTAACGGTCTTAACTAATGGGAGTCTGCATGAGTCAACAGTGCTGTCTTAGGGTCGTCCTCCAAATACAGCATTATGTTCAACCCTAGTGGCACGGGTTATGATAGCTTGCCAGTGTCTAACCACTTGTAAACAACAGTAACAACAGTAATAGGATCTGAGTACTTGAGCTAGAAGAAAGGTTATAAGTTTCCTCGGATGCACCTGATTTTAATAGTATCTTGTGAAGGCAGTACTGGGACCCATCACTAGGATAGCTTTATTCCTAGACATACACTCGATCGTAAATAGCCTACTTGAAAATACATCGCCCAGGTGTGCGGGGAGAGTCATAACCTAGCGCGACTTACTGTGCTAGATCTCCTCCTTTAACAACCCTGCAGGCTATATCTGGATAAGGTTGCTAGCTTGTTCATGGCTTGTGGGCCTTGTCGGAAGCGCGTTCCCTCCCGCGAGGGACGATCTAATCTGTAGCGGGACAACCCGTCTAAATACCCAAAACGGTGTCTCGTGCTCTTTCTACCTACCCGAAGTGGTATTCCGTATCGGTATTACGACTGATCAGCAAGAGACTAGTATTGCAAGGTTCAAGGTTGCGAAACCTCGATGTATCAACTGCAGCTACGCTCCGACCTTCTTTCTCCGGGTGTGTTCCGGGCTATTTGTGGAACTCGTCAAGGAACATCTCCCACATCCCGAAGTCTAGGCAATAAACAAGGAATGCAACAGCGAATCAGGAAGACTCGTTTACTCAGATCATGATGATGCAATCGTGGATTTAGGAAGAGATCAGCATATAGCATGAATGTTCATCACAAATCAGGAAATTGATAGATAACGGAGAATTCTCGACGTAGTATTGCCAAGACGGCAGAGAAGGTAGATGCATCTATTGTATCAGTTAGGAAATTTATTGCGACAACAGTCGGTCTGAGAATAGTTGGCCTGAAAGTACATAAAGGAAATGAAGTTTTCCTTATCTACGGTTTGATCAATCAACCTCTCAGCTTAGTTTACAGTACTCTCATTGTCCAGTACAGCCATTATGCGTTTTTCCAGCTCGATTGTCTTAGCATTGGCTTCCTTCACCGCCGCTCACCCAGGCGAGGACCACCACGATGAGCTTGAACAGCGTCGTTCATTCGAAGCCAGTTCTGAGAGGCTGTCTTTGCGTCACTGTGCTGAAACGTTGAAGGCTCGCGGTGTGACTGACCGTAACATCAAACGTCGATCAGCTCTGATTCAGGCGCATCGCCAGAAGTGTAAGCTTCGAACATCTACTACTTGACTTATGAAACTTTCTGATGTGGCTCCAGGTGGTATCAAGAAGCGTGATCTTGAGGACGTGCTCAACACGGACCACAACAAGACAAACCTCGGTTTCACACCTAACACCCCGCCCGACACTCTCTTTGCCGGACAGAATTCCTGTGTCCTTACCCCCGAGGTTACTATCGGTCCCTACTGTGAGTTTTATTCGGATTCCAAGAAGACGTGCACTAACAGTTTCCAGACGTCAGTGGTGAGGACATTCGTCGCAACCTCAAGGAAGATCAAGAGGGTGTTGACCTTATTCTCGACTACCAAATAATCAACGTTGAGACCTGTGATCCTGTGCCAGAACTCTATCTTGATATTTGGCACTGCAACGCTACTGGTGTCTATGCTGGTGTGAATAACGCGGGCAACGGAAACACCAACGACCTGACCAACATCGACAAGACCTTTGGTCGTGGTATCCAGCAAACCGATGAAGATGGTGTTGCTCAGTTCGAAACACTCTTCCCCGGCCATTATGTCGGCCGAACGACCCACATTCACCTCCTAGCTCATGCGAACGCTACGTTGTTCAAGAATAAGACCCTTGGAAACGAAGGCTACAGCAGCCATATAGGGCAGACCTACTTCGACCAAGACTTGATTCACGAGGTTGAGAGTCTTACCCCCTATAACACCAACAAGCAGGTTCTTACGACCAACGCTCGCGACGGAATTCTCGCCCAGGCTGCCAACCAGGATTATGACCCCGTTGTTGAGTGGACTCTTCTTGGTGATACCGTCGAGGAGGGTGTTTTTGGTTGGTTAGCTTACGGCGTTAATATCACTGTCACCAATAAGGTCGTCCCGGCTGTTTTCAGATATAAGGATGGTGGGCATGCAAACCCTGAATTTGGAGCGGGTGGTGGCCCAGGTGGTCCTGGTGGCCCTCCTCCCCCAGAGGCAGGTAACTAAGGATGCTGCAGATATCGCTGTATAACTTCCCGTAAGAAAGAGGGTTTGCTTCCAGATAGAGCAGTGACAAAGTTCTATCAATATATCAGCTATAAAACCACAAGATGTATGCACCGTCAACCGCGTGAGGCCCTGTATTAAAGCGACAGTAGTACCAAATGACCTTGTATTGACTATGCTAACTCCTACCTGGCCTACTTTGATCCTGGAATGAACTTAGAATTCAAAGCGCCCCTTAAGTCTTAGGGTTAAGAACTGCTATTTAATTTATAAGCTATTTGTAGACTTGCAGCAGCTCCAGTTCAAGGCCAGGTTGTCCTCCAACAAAACCTTGTCGCTCATGCGTTCTTATCAGCGGCGCTAAGAACTGTCTCTGAATGGAAGGTTTGTCTGAAATCATCGCAACACACCTCGCTTTGGATGTGTGACCCTGCCAAAGAAAAACCTTGTTACACCTTATTCCGAGACACTGTCGGGTCAGTCAGTAGAAGAGAGTTCATTCATAGACCTAGATGCCTTTTATTGTACTACTGCTAAGGAAGCCTCGTCAATCTTGATAGAAATCGCTTTTAACTTAAAGGAGATAGAACCATACTCTTGCAATTTGCCTAAAGCAGAGGCAATAGTGCCCTCAGCATAAACAGAGTACATCCCAGACTTCAAGTTATACATCGTAGACAAGTCCACAGTCTAAAAGAGAGAAGATCCCGCTAAGAGCTTCTTGAAGTTTCTGGTTTAGAGCCCCTCGTAGTATAAGCTTAGCTTAATTCCCTTGAACAGATCAATGTCCCCTGGGACAGGTTAGATGTTAATTATTTAGAATTCTTCAAAGTACATACCATTCTCATCCACGAGTTTCACTTTCTTAACTAGTCTCTCATCAAGAGATATCCCAATCTTAAGTAAACTTAAATCATTAGCTCTATTGCTTGTGATTGTAGCTTTGACTTGCGTTGCCTTTCCCATAACTGGTATCAACAACACACTCAAGTTGCCAAACTATCGCACATGCTTGCTAAAAGAGATATGCGACTGCACGCCAATAGCGAGATAGACCAGCAGGGTAATTGATTAAGAAAGGTACATAACGTCGAATGTAAGAGTAAAAGCTGCTCCCTTATATTTCGAATTAGTTAAGACCGAGGTTAAGTATAAGAAGAAAGATATACACAGGCCATAGGAGAGGGAATAGATATTAATAAAACAACAGGGACAACTACTGCATAGAGTTATATGCCCCGTACTAAGCTTACTATACAAGAGCGAGACCTCGTTTACTTCTTTAAATGCAATACCACAGGTATCGCTCAGGCCTTAACTAATCTCTTTTTATGTAAACGCTAGTTTTAGACACGAGGTAGTTAGACTTTATTTAAAACTTTATTACATAGATAGATAACTATTACTACAGATTTTCAGTTTATCTACTACTTAATTCTAAATCTTATGTAGTACTATCCAGTTATCTATAGGTAGTTTATACTAAATATAAGATCCTTCTAAACTTAACTTCCTATACTAAGAATATTACATAGGCAGGCTATTTTTACATAGCTATAGATATTTTATAACACTTCTATATTAAGTGTTAAGGGACTATCTACAATAGTCAATGTATTTATTATTATAAAATACCCTAATAGCGCGTAAACAAGATAGTATCCAGGCTTCTTTAACTTATTGACTTTCTATAGCTAGCTCTTATTTAGTAACTTAACTAACTTAATATTTAGAATAAACTTGTTAAATTTAATACCACTCTATACTAACTTAATTATCTCTTATAACTTATTATAATAGTTATTAGCCCTACTATTAATTGTAATAGTTATTAGAGCTAATAACTATTTCTTTATATATAGCCCTATATTTTTTACTAATTATATTATTAGGATATTTAATAATAATTAGGACTAAGCCTTAATAATTAGCACTAATCTAGTACAATTAGTACTAATCTACTAAAATTAGTACTAATCCTAAGATAACCTTACTAATTACCTATAATTAACTAAGTATATATATATTTATTTAGTATTAGTTAGTATACTTAGCTTAATAGCTATTACTAATATAATATAATCCCTATAGTTATATTACATATACTTTATATTTTTCTCTAATTAGGGCTTAGCTTACCTATACTTACGTAAGCCTTACCTAAGCTTATAATACTAACTGTAAACTTACTTACTAGCTTACCTAAGTTATTATAAGCTTTCTCTTAAAGCTTATAACTATACTAGTAAGAATATTATATATATATATATTCCTTTAGTACTAAATAGAATACTTAGCTTACTAGCTATTAATAAGACTTCTTTACCTAAATATACCTAACTTACTTTATTAACTATTAAGAAATATAATACTTTATAATACTTAGTATTTACACTTTATATATCTATTAATATAAACTTAGTATAGATTAATTTATTTCTTAGAAATTATAACTATTATATATTAATAGCTCTTATTTAAACTATACTATGTAATACTAAGTAATACCTATATAATAGCTTTTACTACTTTAAACTAACCTTTTACTACTTAGTATAGCTAGTAGCTACCCTAGGTAACTTTACCTAATACTTAGCTTACTATAGAGAAGGGAATTAATCTCTTTATAAATACTAATAAAAAAGATAAGGTAAATATTACCTTTACTTACCTAAGTAGCTATAAAAAGGAAGTTATAAAACTTAAATAAAAAATCTATAAGCTTAGTAACTAGTATAATAACCTTCTTAATATAGCTAGGTTTAACTTAGAAGTAGCTAATAACTATATTAAAAACCTAGAAAGTAAGGTAGCTAATATTACTAACCTTATAGAAAAACTAAGTAAAGAAGCTAAATAAAGCTAAAGCCTTTATAAGAAGTATATTAAATATACTACTACTCTTATTATAACTAGAAAAAACCTAGGAGAAATTCTTTAACTTTACTAACTAGACCTTTATAAAGGTAAATTAAATAAACTATAAGGATTCTTTACTAGTTTACATAGTTACTAAATATACTACTTTATATAGTTTAATACTAATAAGTATTAGGTATAGTATACTATAAGCTTTCTTAAGAATAAAGCCTAGAGAGTTATAGAACCTATCCTTAGGAATTATATTTATAATCTATTATATACTTTATAATATACTATTATAGCTTTTCTTATACTACTTTTAGCAAGTCTTGGGGCTATTTTCTATCTATTATTTACTAGTATAACTAGTACCGCTTTAAAAGCAAGATACCCTATACCTTAATATTAAACCCCTATTATATATTACAAATATACTAACTAAATCTATCTACTAGCTACTATACCTTCTTTATATTCCTATCTACCTAAGTACTAGACTATTATATAGTTATTTCTATTTATTATAGCCCTTCTTATTAATATTACCTAAATAGCGCTTAATAAGTATAAATATTAGGTACCTTAGCTATTTAACTAGGTAAAGTATCTTAATTACTTTCTTTTATAACCCTTACTTAAATTTTAGTTAATAGTTTAATAAAGTATTTAGTTTGATTTTTATACTAAGTTAGATAACTTAGTAAGTTTATATAAGGATAATAGTATATTTAAAAGTAATAATAATTATATATTAAATATAAATACTAATCCTAGTAATATTAATATTAAGTTAGATAATATACTATATCTTCTAGGTAGTAGTAATCTACCTTTTAAATTTTTCCTTTATATATAAGATAACTTTAAGGAAGAAAATATAAATAATACTATATATACTAATAGTATAACTTATTAACTTAATATAATTAAGTAATAGTAAAATATATATATTTAACGTTTTATTCTTTTTTAATTTCTTTTTTTATAAGACTACTAATATCTCTTAGTTACTATAAGTATATAAAATAAGACCCTAAGTACTGTATATAGTATATCTTATTAAGTAAAATTAATATATTTTTTTACTAGCTCTTTACTTAAAAGACTAGAGTTAAAGAAAAGGGGCTCCCTAGTATAAGATCTTCCTATACCTTTAAGTAATACTAGAAAGAGTTTTAACTTATATATAAGAAGGAAACTAAAAAAAAGATTAACTTTATTTTAAACTATAGAATACATAGGGTATATATATTACTTTTCTTAGTTATAAAAGTACTAATATATAACTAATTAGGTTCTCTAAGAACTTTTTATTAATTATAGTTTAATAGGAAAGTAATATAAAAACTAGTATATAACTATTAAAGATCTTAAGTAGTAAGTAAAAATAACTATTAGTATAACTAGGTAAAGGTTTTACCTTAGTAAGTATTATATTTATACTTTTTTATTTCTCCTTCTTATTATACTAAGTAGCTCTAGATTTAAAGTACTTCTTTTTCTAAGATTTAGTAACCTTAAGCTTTCTTTAGTATATAATCCTTAAGGTAGCCTATACTGTATTTTAATTTAGTTTAGGCTTTACTTTACAAAGACTTTCCTTAGAGAAAAAGAAATATAAGTAATATACCTAACTATCTTTAACTTAAGCTTACTACTTAGTTTATATACCCTTCTTCTTAGTCTTTTATTTTATTATAGTATATTTAATACTCTAACTCTTACTTTTTCTAAGTATTTAAGTAAGCTTAATATTTACCTTAATAAGTATAAGTTACCTTTACCTCTTAAGTAGAGTATAAATAATATATTAATCTTTTATAAAGCTACTAAGATAGGAATAAATATATATATATTATCTATAAATAAATAGATTATATATAATATAATTTCTAGCTAAATAAAGAAGCTTAGTAGACTAGCTAGGTTTAGTATTATTATAATCTTAAATATACTTTATTATAATATAGGTAATAAGTTTAACTAATACTATGTATATATTCTTTATATATAAATATAAATTAACTAAAGAGTAATATAGTAAATATTAGTAATAGACTTTATAACCTTATACTTTAATATACTAACTCTAGAACTTTTAAGAAATATTACCTTAGCTATATTATCCCTGTAGATAC